TTTGTTGCGCCCCCTAATCATAGAACGATTCAGATACCCGGAAATACTGTTTCTAGAAAAAATCTCAAGAAACTTGACGAGAAATGTGTGCAGAGAATTTCCACAAATGCAGAAACAAATTAATGTTTGATCGAAACAAAAGTAATCACCATTAGAGGAGCATTTATCAAATCGCAACAAACAACAATTAATTATTCTTCTTCTTCTGCGGCTTCCCAGCGCCGACGACAATGATCTCGTCGCCGCCGTACGGATTTCCACCGCCGTAACCTCCGGATTGAACAGGAGGGACTCCACAAATGTAGGCGATCGAGTTGAGAATCGAAACCGTGCCATTCACAGAGAGACAGTTCTTGTTGGCCGTCTTTCCGGACGCTTCCGAGCTGGCTCCCGATGCATCGATGGACGAGAGAATGACGGCGCAATCGTCTCCGACGGCGTTCGTCGGTTGTCCGTCGGACCAGGACTGGAAGATGGTGGTGCCGCACGTGTGGTGGTCGGTGAACTGGAAGAGCTTCTCGTCGGAGCACAACTCGTTCTTCGACCACGTCGACTCTTGTCCCGACGGACAATCTTTACGGCGGTAGGCTCCGATCCAAACGGCTCCGTTATTGATTTTAGCCGCGTCTTGCGCTTCTTGAGCGACTTCTGTAAGACGAATGAGTTAACGCTCATTGGTTTGGTGGCGCTTACCTTCAACCCATCTCTTTTCCTCCAAAGACTCGATTCCGGAGAGGTGCGCTCCGTTGGTCGTGCACCGGCATTCACGCTCCGCCTCCCACCAGGTCATGTTTCCGAGGAAAAACTGGAAAAAAGTAGAGTACATGTCAGCAGTTTGTGCTTGAATACCTTGATGCACCATCCGCCGCTCTTTCGCTTAAACAGTTTGTATCCGCTCGGACACTTGAGTTCGGGTCCGCACTCGTTTGAAATCGGTACCATCATCGCGTCGACGAACGCCAAAAGTGCGGCGAGCACAAGGATCGAACGAATCATAACGTGGCAAGTGGGTGAGGACGAGGAAACTTGCTGCTTTCAGCCGGCGAACGCTTCGTTTTATATTACCCTCGTTTACGGCGCTTTATATCGTTTTATTGCAGTTCGTTGCGGTGCTCCTTCTTCTCTCTTCATGCTTGATCTTTTCGGGTTTGAAGTTGAAGAAGCATCCAAGGACGGGACTGCACGGTTGGATTGTGGTGGTGCGGTACCGCAATAGCCTCGGCGTTTTCATGAATTGAGCAGGTTTTCTCTGATTTTTGTGGTCAACGGCGATGAAAAATGCATGTTTGACATGAAAACACACTAATTCTCAGAATTAATGACGTTTTCGCGCATTTTTCGCGGACTTTGCTTTTTCGCCTTCGCCGCCTAAAAACCGCACTTCTCATTTTGCGCTTTCTTGACCGTTTTCAGACAGAATTGATTTTGAGAATGATAAATCACGTAAATACAAGCATTTTGAGCGCTCGAACCGCGAAAATTACCGAAAAGCAACAGAAATTCACGCAGTTTTAGCAAAAAACCTTCAAACGGATAAATGTGATTTGCGACTTGACCAAATTTAACGCTCTTGCGCTTAAAAAATTCGTAATAGCCTATACAATCGGTTTATCAAGAGACAAATGAGAAATTATCGGTTTTTCGTGGCTAATCTGGCAAAAAACACAAATTTTGCTGTTAAAATTTGAATTTCGCGCCAATTTATCGCTTTATTGGGCGGGGCGCACTTGCGCTCAATGTCAGCTCTGGAGACCGTGATACGCACGATTTTGCTCTTGTCTGCAAATGTTAGTCGCGGTGTTTACGTACCATTCACGGCGGTTTTCCCGGATTTTAAGCGGTACGAGTTTGGCAGAAAACCATGAAAATCATTACTGTTTTGTGATTATCACTTGTGAATCGTTCAATTTGCCAACACCGCTAACATTTTGTGACGACGTGACTATTTCAAACATCGTGTTCAAATTGCGTACAAAGATTAAGTATGCGGGGATCAAAATGCGATCGAAAATTGAAAAAAAGCGTTTCGGCGACAATTTTGGCACCAAAAACGCGTGAACTTGTGATCAGGTTTCCACTTTTTTTGCGGGTCGAAACGAGACACGCAAATGCGGTGTCTACTACTTTTCGCTGCGTTTTTCGTTGTCTTCGAGGCCGGTGAGCTTATTATCCGTCATGAACCCGTCTCAAATTATCACTTTTTCAGTTCCACTATCACCTCGCGAACAACTCGTCCAAACCTTCTTTGACACGAACAAACAAGCGATCAAGAGCTCGAAAAATGACCGTAATCCTTCAATTTATACCCACCGTACTCATTTTTCCATTTTGTTTTCAGCCACTCTTTCAAAAGCCCTTGCTGCGTCGGTCAACTTGAGCCTCACGACGATAGCTCCAGCGTCTGCGCTAGCCGATGACACTGCCGAAAGTGTTGTGCTGATGGGTACCGTAGTACAAAAAAGGCCCCAAAAAATTGAGGAGAAAGTTTAAAAGGGTTCAGATTCGACGACAACTTGCGATTCGGGTTGGACAAAGTCGAGTGTGAACGGACTGTGCTATATGGTACTTTTATGCGTTTCCTGATACAGAAAGTGTGCTCAGGAAGTGTGTGTTCAGGTCGGAAGTACGGATGGGACGACGTGGTACGACGCAGAAGACTGGTGCTTCAACCAGAGGGACGGATCGCATCTGACATCGGTTCACAGTCAGGCGGAAGCCAAGTGGATTGCAGGTACTTTCAGTTTCTATTTCTAAACACTCGACCTTTCTCAGCCACCTACGCCACAAAAGGACTCTTTCCTTGGATGGACAATTGGGTGGGACTGCGACGAAAAGTATGTTGAACTTGTTTGACGTCACATAACATCTATTCTGATTCCAGTGCGACAACTCCACTTACATCTGGACCGACGGTACTCCCGTCGACTTCCTTTGGTGGCAAACCGGCTATCCGGGATCGGACAACCCTGAACAGAGCTGTGTGACCATTTGGGAGACGACTTTGCTCAAATTGAACCCCTCCTACGTGCCCGGACAGTTTGACGACATTTGGGATTGTGGCAGCGATTTGGCAACACCCACGTGTCGATACGATCCGGCGTCTAGTACGTTTGTTGAGCGGTGTCTAGCAAAACGTTTGATTTTTGTTCAGCTGCTCCTCATGTCAAGTACGATACGAGTTATACTTGTTCTCAAACTTCAACCGCTGAGACTACCACAACTTCAACAACTACAACAACTACTACAACTCCTACAACTACTACAACTCCTACAACTACTACAACTCCTACAACTCCAGCAACTACAACAACTCCAACAACTACTACAACTCCTGCAACTACTACAACTCCAGCAACTACTACAACTACAACTACTACAACTCCTACAACTACTACAACTCCAACAACTACTACAACTCCAACAACTACTACAACTCCTACAACTCCAACAACTGCTACAACTCCTACAACAACTACAACTCCTACAACAACTACAACTCCAACAACTTCTACTACAACTCCTGCAACTCCTGCAACTCCAACAACTCCAACAACTCCAACAACTACAACAACAACAAAACCCACGTCGGTCTCATCGTCACCATCAGTTAGTTGCACTTCACAGTGTGATCCGTTGTGGGTCTCCTACAATGGAGGGTGTTATGGCGTGAGTTCTCTTCAAACCAATTGACAATATTTCAAAAAATGTTTGCAGTTGGTGAAAGGAGCATCGAATTGGTATACTGCTGTGAACACGTGTCAAAGTTTCGCAGCGACCATTGCCACTATTTCTAGTACGGAAATGAACGAGGCGATGAGATGTGAGTGAGGTTTTCAAAGTGTTGAACAGAAAATCGATTTCAGTGGCGTTCAGCACCAACACCGACACGACGATCGACAATAACGCGTGGATCGGCGTGTCCGCCTACTCGAATTGGGCGACCGGCAAACCGAATCAAGCTCAGGGCACCAACTACACGTATTGCAATGTGGTACCTGACCTCCTCCTCCTATTCAACTCTCTTTTTCTCGTTTGCAGATGACGCTGTCAGTTGTGGATAGTGGTGCCGATTGGGGATTCGAGCGAGGCGTTTGGATCGACTATCCATGTACAATGCCTCAAGAATATGTGCTTTGCGAACAGAATTGAAGAAGACGAGCACAAAATTGTTCCATTTTTTCGAGTGCAACACGCACAGTGTGCCCATTCTAGTGTTATCAGTCATAAAAAGTCATAATCGTCTTATCATTGCGCTTTGTTAGACACTTCGATTCATTCTTAAGGCGCGTACTCGTTTTTCTATGAACAACCATGCACTACTCAATTATTCTCCTCCTATTCTTCAGTATACGGCTCGCCGAGCCCTATAAAATTCTAGTGTACACGAATTTGTTCGGTCACAGTCATGTCAAGATGTTAGGAGCGGTTTCGGACACGCTCACGGATGCAGGACACGATTTGGTTAGTCGGAAATTCCGCAAAGCCTTCTAAAAACGTCGATTCTAGACAGTTCTGATGCCGGCTGTCGACATCAAACAGTACAACAAGACGGCGATGAAATCGACGAAGAAGATCATAAAAGTCGAGCCGGGACAGGAAACGACAAAGACGTTGGAGACGATGCAAGAGTTCATGACACAACTCTGGACCGTCGACACTTCCAATCCGCTTTTCATGGCTTTTGTAATGGTTTCGATGAATTTGCGCACGTAAACCGGGCTGTAAATGTTCAGCACGCGCCCGCAATGTCCGCCATATTCGCGACGCAGTGCAGAAAAGTGATGGAAGATGGGCAGTTGTTGGACACGTTGAAAGCCGAGAACTTTGACCTCGCCATCACGGAACCCTTCGACACTTGTGCCTATGGTGGGTCTCTGTTTCACCCCCCTCTCACGGAACCCCAGCAATTCACGTGCGCTAAACAAGGCGCCTAACGCGTAATTTCGGAGCGTCGTTGTAGAGTTTCTCATTCCAATTTTCCCGTTTTTTTGCATTATCCCCATCTTTTCAGAACCAATCAGTGTCAAAACTTATGAGAATGATTGGAAATGAATAAAAAATGAAATTTTAACTGCTTCGTCATCAATTTCGAAACGTTTTATGTGAAAATTACAGAATTTTTTCCTTTTGGAATCGAAAATTTGCCTCAATTATCTCAATTCTGTATATTTTTCGACGGTTGAGCGCTTAAAAGATGCGCAATAAACTCCTTGTTTGACTGGACGGTTCGAATGACAGTGTTCGAACTCGATTCGGCAAATGTTCGTTAAAACTCCGTTTTTTTTCAGTAGTTTTCGACAAAATCCCTCAATTTGGTCAATTCTGAACGAATCTGCTCCGTTTCGCGCTTAAATCGATTCTTTTAACTCGCAAAGAACAAAATTTGAGTGTTGATTAAGAGAAAAACGAACGAATTCTGGTTTTCAATTGAAAAAAGAGACTCCGAGTCGACGGTGGATGCAAGCGCGCCCCATTGACAACTCGCGTGCGCATTGGAATGCTGGGGTTCCGTGACGCCTCTAAATCGACGCGCTAAAAAACGATTGCAGCGCTGTTCGAGGCGATTTCGGTGCGAGCCCACGTGGCAGTGCTCTCATGCTCCCGTCTCGATCACGTATCCGCAGCGATCGGACAGCCGATCGCGGCGAGTTACGTGCCCGGCACACAATCGAGCTACGGAGAGCGGATGACGACGTGGCAGCGATTCATGAACTCACTTCAGTTCATCATGGGCAACCATCTGTTCGCCTACATTGGCGACAAGAACTATGAGGCCGTCAAGGATATTGTGCACATCAAACGGAGTTGGCGGGTGAGCAGTGTTGTTTTTCGAGCTGTTTACACATCGAAAATATTATTTTTTTTTGCCGCGTCGAAAGTCTCCGAAAACCCGCAAATCTCGCGGATTTTGCAGTCCAAAGTCGGCAGAAATTTGCGGGAAATCCGGGGTGCGCACAGCTGAACGAGTGTTACCGTACACCATAAAACTACGGTATTTTTTGAAAATTTACCCAAGAAATTTGAAAATTTTCAAATATTCTCGAGAAATTTAAATTTTTCCAAAAAATACCGTTGAAAATTTACCCAAGAAATTTGAAAAATTTCAAATATTCTCGAAAAATTTAAATTTTTTCAAAAAATACCGTTGAAAATTTACCCAAGAAATTTGAAAAATTTCAAATATTCTCGAGAAATTTAAATTTTTTCAAAAAATACCGTAGTTTTATGGTGTACGGTAACACTCGTTCAGCTGTGCGCACCCCGGACTGCAAAATCCGCGAGATTTGCGGGTTTTCCGAGACTTTGGACGCGGCATTTAGGAAGTCCTTCCGGAAGCCTCGTACATCTTCACCAACCACATCCCTCTCATGGACTTCCCGGCGCCAACTTTCGACAAAATCGTTCCGATCGGTGGAATTTCTGTGCAAACTCAACGAAAAGCGCTTCAACTCCCAGCGAAATGGGATCGAATTTTGGCGCTTCGTAAGAGAAACGTGCTCATCTCGTTCGGTTCAAACGCCAAATCCGTTGACATGCCGGAGGAGTTCAAGTGAGCCAAAAGCCAAGATTCCCGAGCACCGTATCTTTCAGACAAAACATACTAAACGTTGCGGAAAGTATGCCGGACGTCACGTTCATTTGGAAGTACGAAAATGAGAAGGAAACATTGGCGGATCACGTGGACAACCTGTTTTTGGGCGAATGGCTTCCGCAGAACGAGTTGCTCGGTGAGTGTTTTGTGTACGTGTTGTTTTTCGATCGCAATACGCACGGTCTCCCACGGCGCGAATGATTTCAATGGGGCGCACTTGCAACAGGCGGGCTGTGTCGATTTACGCGGCGGCCGATTAATTAATTTTCAACGGGAGTTCGCATTCTTTCCATGTTTTCTGTACAATACACCTATTTTTTTGTACGCCTGGAACCTGGATTCGAATAATTAGAGCACTAGCGTTTTGGCAACAGAAATCTCGCATATCGTTGAGAATTAGCCGAGTTATTTCGATTTGAAGGTTTTGGCCTGGATTTTGATGTTTTTCGAATAGTTTTCGAAAACTGCTCAAGAAAACTAACCGCCGGAACCTGAATTTTGTGAAGAAAGATTCAGCGAACATTTTTATCGTTCGTTGCGCTCATGAAATGCAAAATGAGCTGAAATATAAAGGTTTGAAGTTTTGACGAAATGCGAAAAAAACGCTGAAAAATAACGGTTTCCAATCGGTAAAATATTGTTTTCTAGACGTTTTTCAAGTCAAAAAGAAAGAAATAATGGTCGTAAACTCGAATTGAACTCCATTCTTAGACCTGCAAATTTTCAAAAGTTACAACGACACTCCGCAATTTACGAGCGCACTGTGTTTAGCATTAGCGCCCCCTGGGAGACCGTGCAATGCTCTTCATTTACAGGCGATCCTCGGCTGACCGTATTCCTAACTCACGGCGGATTGGCCAGTGTCACCGAGTTGGCGTTGATGGGAAAACCGGCGGTTATGGTGAGTTGCCTGACGAATGATTTGCGATTTTTCAATATCCCAAACAGGTTCCCTTGTTCGCCGACCAGACTAGAAACGCGGAAATGCTCAAAAGACACGGCGGAGCGGCGGTCCTTCATAAATCCGACCTGGCCAGTGCGGAGACGGTTAGACGTACACTGAAAGAAGTGATGGAGAACGAGAAGTGAGCAATTTGGCTGAATATTTGATTTAGGAGAATATTTGAACGAATTTTTCAGGTATCAGAGGAATGCGGAGCGGTTTGCCGAAATGCTGAACAACCAGCCGACGAATCCGAAGGAGACTCTCGTCAAATACGTGGAATTCGCGGCCAGATTCGGAAAACTGCCGTCGCTCGATCCGTACGGCCGTCATCAGACCTACATCGAATACTTTTTCCTCGACATTATCGCCATTTCGCTTTTCGTTGTGCTCACTGCCGTTTATGCGTCTTTCCGTCTTGTTCGTTGTGCTTTCCGATCTGTTTTCAGTGTGAGAAAGGTGAAAAATGAGTGATTGTAAAGTGGAAGGATTATAATAAATGTGTGAACATCTCTTAAAAGTTACGTAACTTCGGTATTCAGAAAGAACCCCTGTATTTCCATAAAACCCTTGTACTTTCATGGAAAGTACTGTGCAAGCAAGCACATTATTAAGGCGACAATCTCTAGTATTGTCCGTTTCCCGAATCGCTCTGGCCGCTGTCTAGACTCGAGGCGTTTTGTCCGATCGGCCAGGAGACGGATCTGATTGTTAAGCGCGTTGGCCGACTATTGAATGTTGTTCCAAACGCGTCGTGTGTACTAACTACATAGTGTTCCCTCCCCACTTCTCTGCGTCAATTCCGTCTTTCTCTCTCGCGCGGGACCTTCTATTGTCTCTTCATTCATTTGTTGTACTCCGAATGCCCTACCGGCGCGTTCTTATACGTTTGCTATTGTGTTAGACCCTCCTCAACCTGATTATTATCGATCATAATAACTTCGAGTTCGGCTCAAGCACGCACAACTCGGTCCGTTCCGCGCGAACGCATTCAATCGATTCGGCATCTGCGTTCGTGCCATCTGCCCCCCCGTCTGCCGCCCGTGGGGGAACACCAAACACCAACTGTTCCCTGCGGGCGGAGGGACCACACAAATGACCTTATGGCCCACATCCTACCCTTTGGCCTTCTCCCCCTCAAACCAATCTTATCGTGTGGGCGAACACACACACGCACACACACATACAACTCTTCGCGTTCATTCTATGATAGATTAGATAGTGTCTGATTTTTGATATTGTTCATTATTATTGTTATTGTCCGCATCTTGTAGACTCTCATTTCCACACGACGTTGTGGCCGTGGCCTAGAAAGCTCTGGTGTGATCTCAAACTCCGTTAGTTCAGAGTTGAGCCGAAGAACTCAACGGAAGAACACGGAAGAATTTTTATCTTTTTTAGAAAATTTTTTCATGAAATTTGATCAACTGACGAAATGTATAGCAAAGTGAACTGTGCTCATAGAAAAATACTTGTAAATTTACGTTTTCATACAAAAAAGTTATTCGAGTTGTTCCGTGAAAAAGGGGGTGAACGAATAACAACTCGAATAACTTTTTTGTATGAAAAAATAAATTTACAATTATTTTTCTACGAGCAGAATTCATTTTGCTGTACATTTCGTCAGTTGATCACATTTCATGAAAAAATTTTCTAAAAAAGATAAAAATTCTTCCGTGTACCGCGCGCGCAGTCAACGTTGTGGCCGTGGCCCATTGCAGTTTGAGATCACACCAGAGCTTTCTAGGCCACGGCCACAACGTTGACTGCGCGCGCGGTACACGGAAGAATTTTTATCTTTTTTAGAAAATTTTTTCATGAAATTTGATCAACTGACAAAATGTATAGCAAAGTGAACTGTGCTCATAGAAAAATAATTGTAAATTTAACTTTTCATACAAAAAAGTTATTCGAGTTGTTCCGTGAAAAATGGGGTGAACGAAAAACAACTCGAATAACTTTTTTGTATGAAAAGCTAAATTTACAATTATTTTTCTATGAGCACAGTTCAATTTGCTCTACATTTCGTCAGTTGATCACATTTCATGAAAAAATTTTCTAAAAAAGATAAAAATTCTTCCGTGAGTTCTTCCGCTCAACTCTGCGCCGCGGTTCCGTTTATAAACAGAGTTATAGGCCCCCCTTCAAACATGAACAACTCGGCATTTCGAACGTTTGAAGCACTACCCGCAATGCCGTTAGGTATCATTTTAAACCATCTGAACCCGATTCAAGTGTAAGTGCGCCACTATTCCGACAATTTCGCGCCGACTTTTGCTTTTTTCTAGAATCGCTGGCGCACTTTTATCGAAAAAGTGTGAGCCTGAATCGGTGCTGAGTCTGAATAGACGAAACTTGTCGCCGAAAATCATTCTGGACGCTGGACGAATCACCTACGAGAATGAGTTGGCGTTGGTGTATGTTCAGTTCAAGGACGAGAGGGATCCGAAGAACTTTGCGCTCTCATTGCAACTCCCGAACGCGGCGTTTCCGGATTTGGAGCAGAGCTATGGTTTGAGCGAGAACTATTATCATGGGTAGGCGGAAATACTGTATGCCGCGTCCAAAGTCCCGGAAAACGCGCAAATCTCGCGGATTTTGCAGTCCAAAGTCGGCAGAAATTTGCGGGAAATCCGGGGTGCGCACAGCTGAACGAGTGTTACCGTACACCATAAAACTACGGTATTTTTTGAAAATTTACCCAAGAAATTTGAAAAAAATTTCCAATATTCTCGAGAAATTTAAATTTTTTTCAAAAAAATACCGTTGAAAAATTCACCCAAAAAAATTTGAAAAATTTTCAAATATTCTCGAGACATTTAAATTTTTTCAAAAAATACCGTTGAAAATTTACCCAAGAAATTTGAAAAATTTCAAATATTCTCGAGAAATTTAAATTTTTTCAAAAAATACCGTTGAAAATTTACCCAAGAAATTTGGAAAAATTGCAAATATTCTCGATAAATTTAAATTTTTTCAAAAAATACCGTTGAAAATTTACCCAAGAAATTTGAAATATTTCAAATATTCTCGAGAAATTTAAATTTTTTCAAAAAATACCGTAGTTTTATGGTGTACGGTAACACTCGTTCAGCTGTGCGCACCCCGGATTTCCCGCAAATTTCTGCCGACTTTGGACTGCAAAGTCCGCGAGATTTGCGGCGTTTCCGAGACTTTGGACGCGGCAGTATAAAGTTAGTTACTCTTTTATGTGTTTCAGAACTCGATCGATCATCTGCAAGTCGAACTCAATGGAGACGTTGGGAAAACAATTCGAGCATTTTCTGAAGCTCATCTCCGACTCATTCCCCTCGTTCCAACTGAAGACGGTCACGTTTGAGTGGAGTAGAATGCAACGGTTCCTGCCGAACTTGAGAAGCGCGCTCGAAAAGTATGATGTCAAAAGTGTGGAAATCACGTACGAAGAGCACTCTCTTGACGGAAACCAACTCTTGGCGTTGCTGTCGAGTGGAAAATCGATCGACGGTGTGCAGTTCCATCCGGTTCCGATCATGGACAACCGCAAAACGGCGTGGTTGACCGAGAGACAGTTCATCGCGCTCAACTTTCGGAGCATCGAATTCTTGTTTCCGACGTTCAACATCATTCCCTACTTCAAGGCGTTCTTGCGAAACTGGATGGCCGGGCGGAGCCGGGGAGTCGAACAACTTGAGCTTCACTTCAACCCATTTCAAAACGTGCGTCCGAACATGAATGACATTGTGCACGGACTCGGCGCAGTCGCCTGGAACCAAGCACTAAGGGACAAAAAGTACATGTAAGTGCGATTGCCCAAACGCGTACATATCAGAGATGTTGGGAATTCCGTGTTCCGTGTTCCGCGTTTTTTTTCAATATTTTTCCCGTGTTCCGTGTTCCGTAAAAATTCCGTGTTCCGTGTTCCGTAAAAATTTTTCCGTTTTCCGTGTTCCGTGTTCCGTAAAAAAATTTTTTCCGTTTTTCCGTGTTCCGTGTTCCGTAAAAATTTTTCCGTTTTCCGTGTTCCGTGTTCCGTAAAAAAAATTTTCCGTTTTCCGTGTTCCGTGTTCCGTAAAAAAAAAATTTTCCGTTTTCCGTGTTCCGTGTTCCGTAAAAAAAAAATTTTCCGTTTTCCGTGTTCCGTGTTCCGTAAAAAAAAATTTTCCGTTTTCCGTGTTCCGTGTTCCGTAGAGTAAAATTTTTATTCCCAACATCTCTGGTACATATTTGACTCATATTTCAGGAAGGAACGCTATCCACCGTACCACCTCACGTTCATCGACTTGTCCCGGGGACGCGACCTGATCCGAGCCGACGGGATCGTCGGAACCGTCCACACTTACGAGTACGAAGGCTCGACCGTACTCGCATTCTACGTGTGGACCGAGCTGTTTCCGATGCGCACTCGAACGGCGCCGCTGAAAGCGCGGCGTGACGAGGCGAAACGCTACCTGGCGGAGGTGGATCAGCGGATCGCGCACGAGGTGGCAGCGGCGCGGGGACGCAGCTACGAGCAGTTCTGTCCCGTCGGCCAGAAGATCATTGACGAGTCGGAAATTCGGAATCGCATCGAGTTTACGCTTAACGCTTACGAATCGTGACCAGTTTTTGTTTCATCTTTTTGTATGGTAATAAATGTTTGATTATGTCTATCATTTTGCACGTGAACTGGCCCATTTTTAATCCAACAAACCACCAAAAAACACCCCGGGAAAAAAACGGAGATTGAAAGTCTGGAACAGACACTCTTATCGGCGAACACTTCATTCTCAGTTTTATTCTGCGATCTTGTGTATTCGGTGAGTTGCGCCTTTTTTTTGCTCGTCTCCAAGTTGTTTTTTTTCGTCTCATTTCCAGAAAGAAACATGGCGGAGAACAGTGACACATTGCTACACCTCGCCCGTCTGGGATACAATGTGCTGACGCCGATCGTGCTTGCCGGATACGCCGTCGCGCAGTGCGGTGGAAAGGTTTCACAAACGTTCGCGCAACCGTTCTCGTCATTTTTGTTTTCGGGTTGCAGAAGAATAAAGCTGGCGAGGCGGGCAGTGGGCCTGGCGGCGCCGATGGAGCCGACGAGTCGCCGAAGCCCGATGAGAAGAAGGATGGGGAGAAGTCGGCGGCGGCTCCGCCTGCTCCGAAACCCGATGCTCACAAAGCTCCGGCCGACAAGGACGCGGTGGCCGGCACGCACGACCCCAACTACCAGACTCTGGCCGGTGTCGACGCCAATGTGTTCGCACAGAAGGACGGTGGAGCAAAGCCGGCTGGCGGCGGAGGAGCTCCTGCTGCTGCTGCTGCTGCCGGTGCTCCCAAGGCCGGCGGACCCGGAATGGCCGGCACTCACGACCCGAACTACCAAACGTTGGCCGGAATCGGAAACGACTGCTTCGAAAAGAAGGAGGGCGGCGCGAAGCCGGCTGCCGGAGGTGCGGCTCCGGCGGCCGGTGCTCCAAAGGCCGGAGGACCTGGAATGGCGGCGACGCACGATCCGAACTACCAGACTCTGGCGGGCATCGGAAACGACTGCTTCCAGAAGAAGTGAGACGAAAAGCAGACGAGATGAGAGCAAAAAAATTTCTGAAGATACGATTGGTTTGATGAATGTGAATTGATTGAATGAATGGATGAATTTTTATGCTGCCTCGAAAAATAGGCCTTTCTTGTGATTTGTTTTTACCGTCTTTTTAGTTTTATTACGCATGTAAATAACAAGAGCATTAGAATGGCCGAATCCTTTTTCGCCGTCCGGGTTGCGCGGATTCTGGACGACAAAGGCTTCCTTACTGAACTCGGTTGTCTTGAGCAACCTGAACCTCATCCCCCGGCCGTGCGCTATCGGTTCCAAAGGGCTCCTCTGCGATCTACTGTGGTCAGACCCGACTGATCAGGCGCCCGCTGGGTCCGACAAGGACGACCAAGGATACCTCCCGTCGGGAAGGGGCGCAGGACACATGTCAGAAGCCCGGCCAACACTAACCACTCGTTCCGAACTATTTTCTGCTAATTTTAGACTAATAAATCTCTTTTTGCCTTCTGACTTCTTGACTATCTAACTAGCAATGAATGAGTTCTCTGAAAAACGTCTTGTTGGCTCTCAAAACCTGGTTGTGATGCAAGTTTTCCCGAGAGAATGCTTTCATTTTTTTTTCGTTCTTTTGAATACTGTTTCGAAGAATCGATATCGAGGTTCTAACGAATTTTGCACGTTTTTTGAGCTGAAGTATAGATTTTTGAAACTGGCATCAACACGACGTTATCTATCTGATAACCTTCCGAGCCTTATTCAGGGCTCTCTCAGGCCTTACCAGGCAAGAAGCCGTAAATTCTCAGTTTTTCATCGGAAATATGCCCTTTTCCATTGAAATTTTCTCAAAATATCATTTAAAATGTAGATGCATTTTCATTGATTTCCGATGAAATCTCAAATTTTAAAACTGATTTTCATTACAGATGCATTTTTCCGCGTAAAATCACTTCTTCCGCAAAGTCTCCGGATTCCACTGAAGAGTTTGTTGCTCAAGACGAACGAGGTGGTTCGGCCACGGATTCTGAAGCGTCGTCTGAAAATTCGGAGCCAAAAATGCAGTTTTTGAAACTGCGATCAACAGGCCTATCGTTATCTATCTGATAACGTGTGCCAGAATGATGAAATGAAATCCAACTCGATGCCGCCCGTCCATCGACGAAAAACAAGTTCAAAATGGTGAAAACACTTCCAAATTGTGCTCTCCTGTTTCTGCTCCTCGTCATAGGTCGGTTTTAATCGCAACGTTTTGATACAACAAGTCTTTTGTCAATAGGACTGACTCAATGTGAACAGAGGGACGAGGAAGAAGTGGAGAAAAAGAGCCAGACGGCGGACATCGTCTCGAACATTGCCTACTTCCACATGCTCGGCTGCTATGCGAGTGCCGGACACAAGAATCCGCTGAACAGTTTGTTGCGATTGGTAAAAGACCGTTTCCAACTGGCCGGCTCCCACTTGGGCATGCTTTCAGAGCCTCGACGAGTCGCTCTACCCGTACGCCAAGTACCGTGCGGCCGCGTGTCTCTCCGACCGCCGTCTCTCGGTCCGCCACAATATCACCGAGGTGTTTCTGGTCAGTGACATCGAGAAGAGCCAGCTGAACGCAAAAGCTCGCGAGCGAATGCGCACCGACTCGGACGCCTTTCTCGAGGTCAATGAGCAGGTAATGAGCAGTCGCTGTACGACTCGAGAAACAAGGCGAGACTCATTGCAGGCGAGACTCATGCACGCCGCCTTTTACACCGATCAGTTCGGATTGGTGTTCGACAACGAGACGATGACGGAGAAGGCGGTTGTGGGACAGGCTCTCGACGGCACGTTCCGCTTCGGATGCGATATGAGTGTGTGCAAGGAGGACGGCAAGCGCAAGGCCATCACTGTCTGCCACTTTGTCAGGGGGTATGTCATCGCGAATCGAACGGACCACCACATCATGATCACTCAGAGTCCCAACTCCTCGCAGAACCATCACTAAAGCTGAAGCCGAGCGGCGTACCAAAGCGGAAAACACGTATTCCTCTTCTTTCTCTCTCTTCTCTCGACCCCTTTCTGTGCTACTTTTCTTGGCGTCTTTCATTTGAAAAAATAAAGTTTCTCTCTGCCTTGATAAAGTCTTGACTGCATATCAGAGTTGAGCGGAAATGGAATTTTGAAATCCGGAAGACGGCAGACGGCAGACGGAAGAAAATTTTTTTTTACGGAACACGGAAAACGGAAGACGGAAGACGGAACAAAAAAATCCACGGAAGACGGAAGACGGAAGACGGCAGACGGAATTCCGCTCAACTCTGCTGCATATATTCTCATTCCTAGCTCCAATCAAAAAATGTAGTTCGGTCTCGCCGAAACTTCTTCCGCTTCTCCTCTTTTAATCCGACAATAATTCCAAATAAGCGGATTGAGAAACCGACACTTAAATCATTCGTACTTCTTCCGTCCCTCACCCCTACCCTCAATTCCTGTGACACACTGTGATACTCGACAAAACTAGCTTGAGAACTAGGAAAATTCAGCAAAAAAAAAATTAGCACTGAAAAATCACTAGTCATCCGATCAATTTCAGATGCAGAATGCGTGCCCGGCGTGCCAAACACCTTTCTGTTCGGCTATTCGAATGATTTCGACGAGAAGACGGTGTTGGACACCAAGAATCTGCTATTGTCGAGAATTGAAAAGTGGCATCCGCATTTTATAAAGTTCGCGAACATTCGATTCGATTTGGAGAGCCCCGAGCAAATTTCGTATCATGATGATCTTTTGTGCGTGCGCTCTCTTTGAAACGTTCCCGGAAGTTTCGCCTTGCAGAAGTTTCAACCAATCGATCCTCTCTCACCTTCCGGATCCGTTTCTCGGGCTGAGAACGCAAAATGCTTCAACGGATGTGATCAATGTGTTTTCAGTTTGTTTTTTCTGTAGAAAGGGGCGTGGCCTAATCTGAGACGCGTTTTCTGAAAATTGCCGCAATTCCAGCACACTTTTCCGATATTTTTGTGTGTTTGATATCGACGAAAGAAAAAGAGAAAAAAACATTGAAATTTTCGTGAAAACGCCGCGTTTGCGACGTTTTTGCCATATTTCGCAATACGCTCTCCGCGGCCAATCGCCGCCGCAATTTCGGAATTTTCATACCGGCCGATGTGGATAGTTTTGAGACGAAGTGAGTGTCGGAAGTGATTAAGCACTGGTAATACAAGCATTTTAAACGTTCAAACGGCAAAAAGTGTCGGCGAATGACTGAAATTCGCGCATTTTCAGCACAAAACTTGAAAATCGATTCAATCGATTCATTTCTGAATGAAACGTGCTCGTTTTAAGCTCAAAAAGTGCGCGATGATTAATCTTTAAAAAGTTATGCATATACATCGTCGAAATCGTACAAAATTCGGGTAATTTTTGACGAAAAACATGAAAAATGGCGTTAAATTTCGAATTTCGCGCCAAAATGGTGATAAACCGTGCACGCTAGGCGCCACGCCCCTTTCTACGTTTTTGGTCGCCGTGTGATATCGATTGATCTGTCTCACAATCAGAATTTCCTCGCCAACACTGAAGCGCCACTATGCGGATCTGTGCTCTACGTTCTTCTGAAGCGTGACGCTCTTTCATACAATCTCAATTTGATCGGAGCACTTCAAAAACATCACATCTTTATTTTTTCAATTGTTAGTACTCATTTGGAGAATGATTATGCTTCGGGTGCTATTTGGGATGTGACCGAAAAGACGAACGGATTGTACGTGGTGGCGGAAGACGCGGCGATTGTGAATGTGAGTTCCAAAATCTTTAATGATATATTTTTATACTTTGGTTGGTCTAGGCGACATACTGGAATGCCCTAACTTTCAACTATGAGCATCCGATTTACGCGTACCAAGATACTGTTGTCGGAAGTGGAATTTCGGAACTCCTTCCTCTCGATATGCCCATTTTTGGTTCTAAAACTATCAACACTAATTGTGCCATCTCTTTTGTGTCATCAAGTTCGTCCGTACTCCCAAAAAAAAATAGACTAATATTGTAAAACTTTAAGCCGACAGACGTGTCGACGACTTCAACTCTCTGGTTATCAGTGTTCAGGACCGGGCGAGCGGCACCAATTCGACCGTCCGTTTGACGCACACCAATGTAATACCTCTGACAATTCGATATTAATCTAATTAGAAAGTTACTGATCTAAACGCGACCTAATTTTAGATTCGACTGTTTTTTCTTGGCGCAATCGAGATTTGAGCCAGCAGACGGTTGGCGTCAAACTTGATTTGAGCACTTATTAATCTAGCTAGAAGATTTATTAATCTAGCTAGACAATTTATCAATCTTATTAGGCCGCCGTTACATTAATAACGAAATGCCAGAGGGTTCAAGAAGCGGAAATCCGTTTTTATAGGAACACGAGTCAAGCCGCACTTTTGTGTTGTACCCGATGAGCGCCGCCACGCACACCGTCACCTTGATCTATGATTTTCCGACGGACGACAATATGCGTGTTCAGTTACGCATCAGAGTTGAGCGGAAGTGGAATTTTGAAATACGGAAGGCGGCAGACGGCAGACGGAAGAAAATTTTTCTTACGGAACACGGAAAACGGAAAACGGAAGAAAATTTTTCTCACGGAAGATGGCAGACGGAAGACGGAAGAAAACTTTTTTCCCGGAAGACGGCAGACGGAATACGGAACAAAAAAATCGTCAATTCAGAGCCTTTTTTTTCCGGTTTTTTTGAAAAAAATAACTAATGCAACAAAAACTTTTTGGATCTGGGTACTGCCCGTGGAAATTCGCGTTCTTCGGGACTAGTAAATGGCTCTTGAAAAGCTATTACTCTTTTACGGTAAGAAAAAAAAATCCCGGAAGACGGCAGACGGCAGACGGAAGAAACATTCTTTTACGGAAGACGGCAGACGGAAGACGGAAGAAAACTTTTCTCACGGAAGATGGCAGACGGAAGACGGAACAAAAAAAACCACGGAAGACGGAAGACGGAAGACGGCAGACGGAATTCCGCTCAACACTGTTACGCATGTGGACTTATCAGTGAGTTTTCTGTCGCGCGATGGAAACGCGCTCCGTCGGACTCATCTCCAATTGAAATTTTCTGTTTTTTCGTTGATATTCCATCAAAACTGTTGTTTTCGCCGCTTGTCTTGTTTTCTAATCGTACAGAACACATTTTTTTCATATCGTTTCATCGAAAAACTAGCGATAAATAGCCGATTTTGAGAACTATCAATTTTTGAGTCCGTGACAAAAGGTCGGAAAACCAAAAAGGTCGGAAGACAAAATGTCGGAAAGCCGAAAGGTCGGAAAAAAGTGACAAAAGATCGGAAAAAAATGCCAAAAAATTGGAAAAAAATGCCAAAAGATCGGAAAAAAATGACAAGAGGTCGGAAAAAAGTGACAAAATGTCTGAAAAAAGTGACAAAAGGTCGGAAAAAATGCCAAAAGGTCGGAAAAATACCTGTTTTCTGACTTTTTGTAATTTTTTTCAGACCTTTTGGCATTTTTTTCCGACATTTTGCTACTTTTTTCCGACCTTTTGGCATTTTTTTCCGATCTTTTCTCATTTTTTTTAGATCGTTTGGCATTTTTTTTCCAACCTTTCGCATTTTTTTCCGACCTTTTGGCTTTCCGACATTTTTGGTTTTCCGACCTTTTGTCACGGACTCCAGTTTTTGCTTGACATTTTCCTCTGAAACTGCACTGTTTTGCGTACAATTTTTTGCAAGATGTGCCAATTTTCTGGAAGAGTGTCCTCTGTATGATTTTCGAACAGGAAAAGTCGAAAAAATGAGCATTTTTGAAGAAATGTCAGCTGAGTGCAGCGGAGGGCGTTTGCTTCGCAGTCGGAAATGATAAAAAGTTTCAGAGTGCCGCCCACTTGGCCGCCGTTCCTCAATTGAATCACTATAGTGAATTTGATGCTTGAATTTCAATAAAGTCTTTGTTTTTTTCTCATCTTTTGTGGCCAACGTGACAATTAATGATAAACTGATAAGCTCCCGTTCTGTCTGGGAAGTATTCTTCGAACTTTTTTTGCGACAAAAATGAAAATGAGATTCCTTGGTTATGGCGTATGGCTCTCGCTCATTTTGTATCTTACCAGTGAGTTTCCGATCGTCCGCCGATCGAAAATGTATTGAAAAGCAGGTGTAAACGCGGGAGGCCTGTTCAATTTCCGATACGAAGCCCTCGAGAACTTCAACGGCGCGCGGAGACTGCTTGGATCGGGTCAGCTGACCACCATGATAAGTGTCATCAATAAAGCTCCGATTGGATCCAAGCTCAAACTGCCGGACATTGGGCCCGCAGCGAATATGTACAAATTGGTAGGCCGAACTGAACAGTGTTTGTGTAGAAATCAATAACCTTTCAGAAATGGAGTCGAAAGTTGGAGCAAGAAGCGTTTTTGTACATGAAAGAGCAGAGTATGATTCCCGAGAAAGGCGTGTTCAAGTCTTTCGAGCACAACGGATACATAGCTTTCACGTGGCCCGGAGAGCTAATGGCGATCGTTGAGAAGCTGTTGGGAGCGATTCCGATCAAACAAGTTGTGGAGGCCCTCAAAGCGGTTATGAACGCGGTACGACTCATTTTGAGTGTCATTCTCAAGACTGCACTTGCATAGTTGTCAAAATCTTGCATTTCAAATAGTGTTTTTGGCGATTTTCCTTTCGATCGGCACGGTCTCCAGAGCTTACAATGGAGGCAAGTGCGCCCCGCCCAATAGAGCGATACATTGGCGCGAAATTCAAATTTTAACAGCAAAATTAGTGTTTTTTGCCAGATTAGCCACGAAAAACCGATAATTTCTTATTTTTCTCTCGATAGACCGATTGTATAGGCTATTACGAACTTTCTTAAGCGCAAGAGCGTTAAATTTGGTCAAGTCGCAAATCACATTTATCCGTTTGAAGGTTTTTGGCTAAAACTGCGTGAATTCCAGTTGCTTTTCGGTAATTTTCGCGGTTCGAGCGCTCAAAATGCTTGTATTTACGTGATTTATCATTCTCAAAACCAATTGTGTCTGAAAACGGTCAAGAAAGCGCAAAATGAGAAGTGCTGTTTTTAGGCGGCGAAGGCGAAAAAGCGAAAAATGCGAAAAATGCGCCAAAACGTCATTAATTCTGAGAATTAGTGTGTTTTCATGTCGAACAATCATTTTTTATCGCCTTTGGCCGAAAAAATCGGAAAAAACCTGCTCAATTCATGAAAACGCCATTTGGCCGAGGCCACGCTCATATTGTCAGCTCTGGAGACTGTGATCGGCCAAAAAATCAATAAAAAAGTGAAAAGGCAGGATCAAAACCGTAAAGTCACAAGTATGTCTCTTCAGCTCAACCAGCTGCTGATGGCTCTGCTCTTGGCGTGGAACTATCCGAAAACGCTTCCGGTCGCTGATGACGTCAACTTGGGCGCCACCGAGGCTCTCTTCGCGCATCGCTTCGAAATCGGCTGCTACGCCGACATTCTCTATTCGACGTGTTTGATGAGCAAGTCAGTTGGCGGACTAGCTTATTTTAAACCATCTTTCGTAATTTTTTTTCGTAGAAGTCGTGCTGATGGATATCTGTACAAGCGGGGAGTTCCGTGCTCCGAGTGTCCGACGCATTGCGAGTTTTTCGAGCATTCCGATGGATTTGTGGAGGAGGGAGACCTTTGTGAGCCGCCCACGCATTCCGAAGTCGAAAAGTCTGGAAAAGCGTTTCACGGATCGCCTATTCTCATTTTCGTGTTTAGTTTGCTTGTGGCAATGAAATAAACTCAATTTTTTCCAATTTTAGTCATAGACGCGGCCGCGGACTAGAAAAATCTGCGGCCACACTTTTCTCCCTTTTTTCCCACACATATTTTTCATCAAAATGCGCGTTTTGTGCTCTTCCCCATCAAACTTTATTTCACCGCTAAAAATACTGAATTTTTAGCTTTTCTGTCAAAAAAATTGACGAAACTCAAAGCTTCACACTTTTCTCTTATAATTTCTCTATAATCGGGGGCCGTTGTATTAAAAAACATGCAATGAACACATAATATGGCCGCCCGACAGCAGTGAGAGATCATTTTCGCAGCGGAGACGCAGACGGCGAGAACAGTTTCCGTGTTTCATTCGCATTTTCGATAAAATCTGAAATCTGAAGTGAATTTTACCATTTTTATTCAAAATCCATTTTCCGGTATTGAAAAATTCTGTCAATACCCTTGGCGGCCTAGAAAACTCCAGTCGCGCGGCCGTGGCCTAGGATTCGCTGCGCACACTTTTCTTCGCGCACACCGAATTTTTATTCACGTTTTTCGGCGATTGTCCGTCTTTCTCGCGAAAATGCGCTGTATTTGTCGTAGAAATTCACAGAAGTCGATAATTCCCAACTGAAAATTTGCAATTTTCCACGATATTATCAATCATTCCAGGCAATTTTTAAACTTTTGCAGCAAAAATGAGTGAAGAACTTGGCAGAGGCCGTAGAAATAAAGGAAATCGACTGCGCGAAATAGTGCAAGCCGAATTGGCGGCGAAAAATTGGAATTCGGACGAAGAAGACGAACAAAGCGAGGATATTGATTTTACGAGAAAAAGTAAATTTTTGAAAATTGTTATGTAGACTTTCTAGAAAAAGCATTTTTTTTTTAAAGTTCGACAAAATTCCACTGGAGCGTACTTGCATACGCTAACATCCGAAAGTGTTTGACTTTCGACCATTGTACAATCTCATATTCACATTGTTCCAGAGTCTCGTCGCTCCAAGCCAACACCGCACAGAATTGGCGGGAAATTCGCGAGAATCGAGCCGAAAATCGAGGAAATCGAGGAAATCGAAGAGCAGAAACCGACGGCGCTGCTGAACAATGACGAGCCGCTCTCGACGATTCTCAAAAACCCGCCGGTCAGCGAACATTTCACAAAAGAGGAGAGCCTCGCGGTCGTCCGATTCGTTTTGGACGAAATCCGCAGCAAGACGGAGGGACGCGAGGGACGCGTGGCAAAACGAAGGGCGCAGCCGAAATCGATGCAGTTTTGGGCCCGGTTTGCACGCCAATACGAACACGCCCGACGCAAACCCGTCGCCTATTCCGAACAGTTCGTTGTTTACCTTTTTTGCTCGAAGAATTTTAGACCGTTATATCGAATTTCCAGTTTCGGTCGCTGCCTGAAATACCTCGACAAGACGCCGTTTCTGACGCTGGAGGAGAAAGTGGACCTGTATTACTCGCTGGACGTTCCGGTGCACAAATCGCTGCGAACCGCCTTCGTCGACCTTTTCGAAGTGAAATACAACGAAGAGTGGGTGATCACCGGCAGCACGGTGCTCGACCACTGGGACTACGTGCATCCGGACAGCGATCGAGAGGACCACTCCGTTTCTCCGATGCCTTCCGTCTTTTTGCGCGGCGGTAGTTCGAAATCAAAGACCGGAGAGTTCAGGTATCGATTTTCGCGAGTAGTGAACGTCTCAATTTTAGAATTCCCGTAAACTATCAGTAGAATGCCGCCAACCACATTTTTCCCAATTCCAGAGGCCTAAGACGATTCACGGAAAAAGAGGACGGAGTAATGTGGCAGTTCGTGTTGGATTGTGTGAATCGCAAAGCGGCGCACCTCTTCAAAAGCTACCATTCGTGGCGTGGATTCCGAAAAGCGCATCTGGATATCAAAGAGATTCCCGATCGTACCTCGGACGTTTTTAGGACTAGGTCCGTTGAAAAGTTTTCAGAAAACAACAAAAAACGTTTGTTTTTAAGATTCGAGAAAATACTGATTCCAAATCTGCATCGAATGCCGTTCGATCCGGAGACCAAAGCCGCCATTTATCAGGATTTAGGTCTTCAGGTTCCAGAAGAGTTCCGCGCGACGTTTGTGTTCTTTTCATTGTGTTCTTTACTGAAACTTTTTCAGACTGACACAAGAAGCCGGTGTATCATTGTCGGAAGACGGCGCAGTGATCGCAAACCCGAACCGCCCGGATTTCCTTGTTCTCCAGTCGAAACCCATCGAAAGTGCGATCGGATTGACGTCGGCGGCGCGAAATTCCACTCTGAAACAGCCGCATTTCGGCCACACCGACTCGGTTCCGTACACGGACGACGAGAATCAAGCGATTTGGGAGTATTTGCTGGAGAGACATTGCGACGAGCGCGGACGGCCGATCAGATATGTGGGCAAGACGAACGGCTACAAGTTGTGGAAGCACTACGTGAGAGATGTGCAGACCGAGAGGAGTTGGCAGAGCTTGTCGCGGCAGTGAGTGGAAATTGAGGAAAACTTGTAGAGAATTGGCAATTTCTAGCTTTGCGGAGTCCCTCACCAAGAACATCATGTCGACTGACTTTGACATCGTCACCAAACTTCGGCTCTACTTCATTTTCAATGTGCCCGTCGACGCGGAAGCGCTGAAGTGGTTTGTTCTAGGAGCGTAGCCACACAAAAAAAAAGCAAATTTTTTGCGTTTCTCAACGCATGCTTGTTTTTGGCTCAAAATGTGCGAAAAGCCAAGAAAAGGGCTAAAATCAGTTGTTTCCAATCTTTCATCACAAAAAGCCTCTTCAGCTTCGACACGATCTGCTCGATTCTGAGCCGCAATAGCGAGGGATGCATTCGGTACGCGATCGGACTCACTTTTGAGTTTGGCAATAAGAATCTGGCGTCCTGCTCGGCGGTGGGACACACGGCTTCGGAAGATACGGACGAAGAGAAGAATGCGACGGAGCACGGAGAAGTTGTCGTCAAAAACAGTGTCGACCATCCGTACATGTGAGTGAGGGAATGGCATAGGAGTTGGAGAGCGAGAAAAGTTCATGTGAAGTCATGTGAATAGTTTTAAAGATGGAGAAGTGCTAGATTTCTAAGCTAGACAAGTAATCGTCTAGAATTCTCCTAGAAAAAAGTTAGGCCATAGACAGAACAAATAATTTGGATTGCTTTTAGAAGATGGCCGCCGAGCAACAACTGGAAGGCCAATCGATCGGACCGAGGGAAATCGTCGTCGTTGGAGACGAATTCGGACTCGGCGTAAGCTGGTTTATCCCTTTTTCCCACCCAAACACAGATTTTTAGACCGCCTGCCAAGATGGGACGATTCGAGAGATCTAGCGAAGAGCCATCCGACGTTCAGCATTACGATTTCAGCAGGGAAATGAGTCTCGGAGATGTGAAACAAGAGGAGCCAGAAGTGGAGCTCATTCAGCCGAAATTGGAGAAGGGGCAGCCATCCGACAGCCTCGAGGCTCGCATCGCCGAGATTCTGCAGAACAGTTCGAAGGAGGTGGATTCGGGCGAACCGGCGAAGAGGCAGACGAAGCCCAGGGAGTATACGGCACGATCGAGGAAGTACTGGTTCCCGAGACCCGCGAAACAGCCGGAACCGATTGATTCTGGCGATATGTTCAAAATGATTCAGAAAACGTTTGGAGAGGAGCAGAAAAGCGCCTGGGCGACCGAGACTTTGATGGGCGGTTCGAAGCGAATACTCAAAGAGGATTCTGCTCAAAAGTTGCGTCTCGTCAAAAAACCAACAGAATCGTCGAGCTCTCCGGAGCCATCCACGTCCGCCGCGGTCCCAGTTCGATATGTGGTCCCGACGCCGGCGGTGCAGAGACCATTGGATATTGTGTTCGATCAGATGGAGATCCACATAAAAGAGTTTTGCCGCAAACTCAGAGAGGCCAGCCTGACGATGACGGCCGCGCAGAGGGTCCACTATGCGAATCGAGCCACGGTAAGCGAATTTGGTCTTTTTTTTCGACCATTTTCTTGCCCGATACCGTATTTTCCATTCTGGCCGTGTAAAAACCCTTTTTTTTTCAGAGCATGCTCCGAACCTTCCGAATATGCACCCGAGACGTGCTGAACCCGGGCGGCGCTTCGATCGTCCTCGATCTCGACGATTCTCGACCACCGCCATTCATCCGACGAACTTGATCTCTTTTTTTTAAACGCATTTTGTTGTGTTTGTAGGGTTTTGAAATTTTTACTGTTCCCAGGTGTAAAATAGAACGGTTGTGAACCGTGACTTTCCCCTAAACGATAAGAATGCTGATTAGAAAATTGGTGAAAAAATCAGTTTGCAAACAGCAAAAATGAGATGTCTATCGGTGGAAACCGCACTGATTTTGATGCTTTTCGGTTCGTTGTTCACTTTGCTTTCTAGCATTTCACCAAAAATGTTTTCCAGTAGGGCCCGCCCACTTCGAACCGGCCGCCGACTTTTTCAAATTCCGTAAATCGACACTGCACAAGTTCAACGAGGCGCGACGTATTCTCGCGTCGGGCGACATTGCCAAAATTGCGAGGGTTTTCGAAGGGATTCCCGAGTTTCAGGCCAACGTGGCCGTGGATTTGTTGGGTCCCGCCGCCGATATGTATCAATTGGTACTAACTATCTTTCGAGCAACTCTAATCGGCCCGCTGCCAAAATTTGTCGCCAAACAGACACTGAAAAAGTCGAAACTTGCAGAAATGGAGCCGTCAGCTCGAACAAATCGGCTACGAGTACGTGCAAGAGAAGAAAAAGGCGACAAATGTGCTGGAATCGATCGAGTACAAAGAGCACATTGGCTTCTACTGGATGGGCGACATGAAACAAGTGATATCGTCGATTCTCAAGAGCCTTCCGCTGGGCGCACTCGCCGATTCGCTGAATTCGATGATGGAGATACTGGAGACCATTCTGATGGTCATCTGGATCGGAGTGGCGGCGCCGAAAAGCACGCCGCTGCAGAAGGGCGCTCATTTCGGACCGGCCGAAGTACTGTTCGCAGAGCGCTTCGAAATTGGCTGCTTCTCCGAGATTCTGTACTCGGTGTGCTTTTTGAACAAGTACTTTGACAACAATTCATCGTTGTATTGATTGCCTTGTAGAATCCCTCACCGTGACGTGTTCTTCAAAGAAGGCGTCGCGTGTACGAGTTGTGGCAACGGGACGCATTGCGAGTTCTGGGAAGAAGCGGACGGAACGATTGAGGAGGGAGAATTGTGCGTTCCGAAGAAAACAAAGGGAGAAGTGAACGGGAATCGAAGAATCGGATGGATTGTGGGAGTTACGGTTATGTGTGTGACGATGTTTGGTTGAATAAAGTCGTGCTAGACCGAAATGAAAAGAGAAAAATGGGGTTATTCAGGCTGTGAAAAAAATGATTTTTTTCCCCGTTTTTTTCGTTTTCTTACGTCAAAAAACCCAAAAAATGAAGAAAACGGATAACAAACATACGTTGAATAGCCCCATAACATTTATCATTGAAAAGGTGGAATTTAAGAGCACTTGGCACGGCGACCAAAAGTGTAGAAAGGGGCGTGGCCTATTCTGAGACGCGTTTTCTGAAAATTGCCGCAATTTCAGCACTTTTCCGATTTTTTTGTGTTTGATATCGACGAAAGAAGAGACATTAAAGAGAGAAAACATTGAAATTTTCGTGAAAACGCCGCGTTTGAGACGTTTTTGGCATATTTCGCAATACGCTCTCCGCGGCCAATCGCCGCCGCAATTTCGGAATTTTCATACCGGCCGATGTGGATAGTTTTGAGACGAAGTGAGTGTCGGAAGTGATTAAGCACGTTAATACAAGTATTTTAAGCGTTCAAACGGCAAAAAGTGTCGGCGAATGACTGGAAATTCGCGCATTTTCAGCACGAAACTTGAAAATCGATTCAATTGATTCATTTCTGAATGAAACTTGCTCGTTTTAAGCTCAAAAATTGCGCGCGATGATTGGTTTAATAAAGTTATGCAATTACATCGTCGAAATCGTACAAACTTCGGGTAATTTGTGACGAAAAACATGGAAAATAGGGGTTAAATTCCGAATTTCGCGACAAAATGGTGATGAACCGTGCACGCTAGGCCACGCCCCTTTCTACGTTTTTGGTCGCCGTGGCTTGGTGAGACTGTAAAGTTTAGAAAATTCGAGAGAACTGATTAGAACATTATCAACTAAAATACCGTGTTTTGACGTTCTGCTGCGCTACAAAACGGCACCTTTATTCAAAGCGATGTATCTCAGCTGTCTGCAGAGATATCAAAAAGTTTTCAACTAGAAAAATGTGCACAATGTTTAAATGAGCATTTCGTTAGTTGATAACTTTTTGATATCTCTACTAACAGCTGAAATACATCGCTTTGGTGGTGCGAGATGTAACGAGACAGAAAACGTTATGTAAGCGTATTGAAGCAGTATTAGATTTGTGCCACGTCGGATTTCTTATCATCAGACAACTGATAAATCTCTGTATGTGCACAAAATTAGTTTGTTTCTCATTCATTCTCATCGCCGACACGTGGATCACAATCGGAATGAAACGTCTATCTCTATCATGTCCGATGATTATTCTTCTTCTCGGTAAGCCCCGCCGCCCGTTTCTACAGTATCCTACCGTACTGTTTACAGTAACCGGAACGCTTTGTGGTGAATCGAAGGACATGTTCAAGTTCCGCAAATCGACGCTGGCCAAGTTCAACGACGCGCGACGCATTCTCGCTTCTGGCGACATTTCGAAACTTTTGAAGCCTTTTCAAAGTATTCCGCAGCTGAAAAAAATGAGTCTTTTGAAGGATAACATACTGGGACCGGCGGCCAACATGTACAAATTGGTTAGTAGTAGTTAACCCTATAAAACAGACTTGCCAAATCCCGGCCCGGTCGGCCCGGAAGTTAGACCTCAAAAAAAAATATGCAAAAAAAATATGAAGGAAGAGGAAAACGCGTGCGGCAAAATTGCTAAAATGGCGTGCCAGAGTTGCAATCAATCGCTCCGCCCACTCTTGAGAAAATTTTCGTAATTTTTGTGAAAATTTTGCGACTTTAAACAGCAATTTCTATTTTTTAACAGGTTTTTATGCTATAACATTGCCTTTTTAAGTCTATAAAATTTTAAGTCTATAAAATTATGTTCGTTTCGAAGTTCTAGTTCGCTTTGAATTTTTAGGTGCATCCTCCCGGGCCGGGCCAGAAAATTTCCAATTTTGGCCCGGCCCGTTGCAAGTCTGCTATAAAACTGAGGGGGGACCGCTTTCGTTTTGTGATCAGAAGTGGAACCGTCAGTTGGAGCAGCTCGGCTACGAGTACATGAAGGGAAAGCAGTTCAGTGTCGGCGACATGGACAAGACGCTCGAGTACAAAGAGCATCTCGGCTTCATCTGGCTCGGAGACATTTTCACCGTTGTCAAACAGATCCTCAATTTTCTGCCGTTGGACGCTTTGAAACAATCGATGAACGACTTCCTTTCCATGGTGAGAAAAGTTTGGAGGCGTTGTAAGGGAAGCTAAACCAATAATATTTGAGCTCGAAACTCTCATAATCGCGTTGTGGATGGCGTGGAAAGCGCCAAAGTCTTGGCCGATCAAAAAAGGAGAGCATTTCGCGCCGGCCGAAGCTCTATTTGCCGCACGCCACGACATTGGATGCTTCTCCAACTTGTACTACTCGGTGTGCTTTGTTGAAAAGTAAGACAAACCGAGACGCAATTCCAAATAAAACGCTTCAGAATCGAATACCAGGAGACGACGTTCAAAGTAGGCGTGCCGTGTACGAGTTGTCCGACGCATTGCGAATTCTGGACCAAGTCGGACGATTCGATCGAGGAGGGAGAGCTGTGTGTGGCGCCGAAAGGCGACGCGACTGCCGAGAACTTTGCGGAAGTGGCCGGCTTCATCACTTCTCTGTTTCTGACCGCTTTCATTTATTTGTTTGTGTTTGTGCGGAGATAAATCGTCCGTATCGTTAACAAAATAGTTAGATTTACTAATTTCAGATCCTATTTTCTTAAACAAATATGGTCATTTTTATCTTGCAAGCGCTCACGGCGACCAAAAGTGTAGAAAGGGGCGTGGCCTAATCTGAGACGCGTTTTCTGAAAATTGCCGTAATTCCAGCACTTTTCCGATATTTTTGTGTTTGATATCGACGAAAGAAGAGACATTATAGAGAGAAAACATTGGAATTTTTGTGAAAACGCCGCCGCGTTTGAGACGTTTTTCGCATATTTCGCAATACGCTCTCCGCGGCCAATCGCCGCCGCAATTTCGGAATTTTCATACCGGCCGATGTGGATAGTTTTGAGACGAAGTGAGTGTCGGAAGTGATTAAGCACGTTAATACAAGTATTTTAAGCGTTCAAACGGCAAAAAGTGTCGGCGAATGACTGAAATTTGCGCATTTTCAGCACAAAACTTGAAAATCGATTCAATCGATTCATTTCTGAATGAAACCTGCTCGTTTTAAGCTCAAAAAGTGCGCGATGACTAGTTTAACAAAGTTATTTGGCAATTACATAGTCGAAATCGTACAAAATTTGTGTAATTTTTGACGAAAAACATGAAAAATGGGGTTAAATTTCGAATTTCGCGACGAATGTAACCGTACCCCTAAAACTACGGTATTTTTTGAAAATTTGTTAATTTCTTGAGGATATTTGAAAATATTTCAATTTTTAGGGGTACGGTTACATTCGTTGGGCTGTGCGCACCCCCGTTTTTCACGCAAATTTCGGCCGATTTTGGACAGAAAAATCTGCGGTTTTTACGGTTTTTCCGAGACTTTGGACGCGGCATTACAAAGTCAATTGTGATACAGTTTCAGTGTTTTGAGAAAAGTCGACGCTGAAACATTGTTTTCATTGAGTACGACGGTTGAGCACACTTGCACGTCACTCTTACTGATAACAAAATAATCAGTAGGAAGCGTATAGACATTTTCGATATCATTGCTCAAGATTCTCTCGCCGAAATTTCGCGAATTCAAAGGATGAAAGTTCTCGTTCTCATCATAACGCTTTTCTGTGTTCACGGTGAGCGTTCCGCTCACTCGCATCCCATTTTTTTCGACTTTAGAAGCACGCGGAAAAACCAACCACGAAGGCACGTTCTTTCTGGAGAAACTCAACGACGCGAGAGCGATTCTCGCGTCGGGAGTGCTTCGGAAGATTGACGAAGTGAAAAGTGTGCTGGGACTGAGCCAATTGAACCTTCCGCCGATGGGACCGGCGGCCGATATGTACAGATTGGTAGACACTTTTAATTTAATCGTTATGTCTCTCATTGTGCTGGATCAGAGATGGAGTCGCGAGCTGGAAGTTGAGGCGGAAAAGCAAGTGGGCAGTTTGAAGGGCGTTCACGGGACGATCAAGACGAACGGCTTCCGAGGCTTCTACTGGCTCCACGACGTCACCACGGCGGTTATGAAGATTCTGGAGAAGGCGGCGCCCAACTTGCCGTTTCAGCAGATCGAGCAAGTGCTCAGTGGGTTTGCGACGGCGGTAAGTGAGCATGTCACGGAACTCCAGCATTCCAATGCGCAAGCGAGTTGTCAATGGGGCGCGCTTGCATCCACCGTCGACTCGGAGTTTCTTTTTTCAAATGAAAACCAGAATTCTTGAGTTTTTCTCTTAATAAACACTCAAATTTTGTTTTTTGCGAACCGTAGGGCGATTGTCTGAGTAAAAGCATCGATTTAAGCGCGAAACGGAGCAGATTCGTTCAGAATTGACCAAATTGAGGGATTTTGTCGAAAACTACTGAAAAAAAACGGAGTTTTAACGATTATTTGCTGAATCGAGATCGGACACTGGCATTCGAACCGTCCAGTCAACAAGGAGTTTATTGCGCATCTTTTAAGCGCTCAACCGTCGAAAAATATACAGAATTGAGATAATTGAGGCAAATTTTCGATTCCAAAACGAAAAAAATTCTGTAATTTTCACATAAAACGTTTCGAAATTGATGACGGAGCAGTTAAAATTTCATTTTTTATTCATTTCTAATCATTATCATAAGTTTTGATACTGATTTGTTCTGAAAAGATGGGGATAATACAAAAAAAAGGAAAATTGAAATGAGAAACTCTACAACGACGCTCCGGAATTACGCGTTACGCGCCTTGTTTAGCGCACGTGAATTGCGTCAAGGGAATTTTTTATTGGAAGGGGCTGGGGTTCCGTGCATGTTATCTGATAAATGTTCGAGAGTTTTCAGTTGGAGACCCTTCTTCTGATCCTTTGGGTCGGGGTGTCCTACCCGAAGAAGTTTCCGATTCCCGCCGACGCTGAGCTTGGCATCTCCGAGGTAAGTACAGCATTTTCAAATGTACATAATCGCGTCAAATCCAGGCGTTCTTCGCTCATCGCTACGAGATTGGCTGCACGTTCAGCACGTTTGCCGTCTGTATGCTCAGAGAGTGGGCAAAATGCCCAAGATCCATTAAAAGTAGAAAGTTGTAGAGGTGTCTCCGAAGGCCAACTGTTCAAACCGGGAGTGGCTTGTTCGCAGTGTCCGACACATTGCGAGTTCTACGAGAATAAAGATGAAAGCGTCGAGGAGGGCGATTTGTGTGCGGCGCCCACTGGAGCCAAGGGAGAGCTCTCGGCTAGCGGCTCTTGGACGATGGGTCCGCTGCTTGTGGCATTCATTGCAACTATTGTGTATTTGCTGCAATAAAGAAAGTGTTTGATTTGAACAAGTAGGCGGAGAGGCTCAAAAATATATATAAAAAAATATATATATATATTCTCTGTTTCGGACTTTTCGTATTCGCATTACACTTGGCCGCATTCGCCGATGACATGAAAATCTCTCATATCATGATCATTTCGCTTTATGCCACGTCCAAAGTCTCGGAAAACCCTCAAATCTCGTGGATTTTGCAGTCCAAAGTCGGCAGAAATTTGCGGGAAATCCGGGGTGCGAACAGCTGAACGAGTGTTACCGTACACCATAAAAACTACGGTATTTTTTTTGAAAAAAATTTTAATTTCTCGAGAATATTTGAAATTTTTTTCAAATTTCTTAGCTAAATTTTTCAACGGTATTTTTTTTGAAAAAAATTTAAATTTCTCGAGAATATTTGCAATTTTTTTCCAAATTTCTTGGGTAAATTTTTTTAACGGTATTTTTTTGAAAAAAATTTAAATTTCTCGAGAATATTTGAAATTTTTTTCGAATTTCTTGGGTAAAATTTCAACGGAATTTTTTTTGAAAAAAATTTAAATTTCTCGAGAATATTTGAAATTTTTTTCAAATTTCTTGGGTAAAAATTTCAACGGTATTTTTTTGAAAAAAATTTAAATTTCTCGAGAATATTGGAAAAATTTTCAAATTTCTTGGGTAAATTTTCAAAAAAATACCGTAGTTTTATGGTGTACGGTAACACTCGTTCAGCTGTGCGCACCCCGGATTTCCCGCAAATTTCTGCCGACTTTGGACTGCAAAATCCACGAAATTTGCAGGTTTTCCGAGACTTTGGACGTGGCATTACCGGTGTTCTTTTCTTTTTCTGCGATGAATAAATGAAATAAATGGAATTTTATCGAATTAAACAAATGCCATTCTGCTCAATTTTTCATTGGGACATATTGAAACCGAGAAAAGCGAAAACGAAAACAAATAGCGTGGACATGAAAAAGGTTCGATTCATAGCTCGGTCCTCGACGACTTCATTGAATTTGTCCGCGTTCGGTCTCAATTTCCCGGCAAATTTGTCGCGGAGCGAATAGTCTGTCGGCGGGCGGCACATTCCCTGAATGCACGGCGTCTTGCACTTTGTACACGTCTCGCCGCTCTCGTAGAACTGTCCGACACGGGCGCCACTGGAATTCCAATTGATTTGTGTGTGTGTGTGTGTGTTTATAGGCCAGCTTACATGGGTCCGATGATACAGAACGATGCACCAGCGGTCACCAGACATCCCAACTCTTTGCGGTCCGCGAATATGGCCTAGAAAATATGTTTTTGGTAGGTTAGGTCAGGCGCACGGAGCCCGTCCCCTTGGCGCAATTGACGTGCGCTAAACAAGTAACGCGTAATTCCGGAGCGTCGTTGTAGAGTTTCTCATTTCAATTTTCCCTTTTTTTGCATTATCCTCATCTTTTCAGAACCAATCAGTGTCAAAACTTATGATAATGATTAGAAATGAATAAAAAAAATAAAATTTTAACTGCTTCGTCATTTATGTGAAAATTACAGAATTTTTTCTTTTTGGAATCGAAAATTTGCCTCAATTATCTCAATTCTGTATATTTTTCGACGGTTGAGCGCTTAAAAGATGCGCAATAAACTCCTTGTTGACTGGACGGTTCGAATGCCAGTGTCCGAACTCGATTCGGCAAATAATCGTTAAAACTCCGTTTTTTTTCAGTAGTTTTCGACAAAATCCCTCAATTTGGTCAATTCTGATTCAAATTTGCTCCGTTTCGCGCTTAAATCGATGCTTTTAACTCAGACAATCGCTCTACGGTTTGCAAAGAACAAAATTGGAGTGTTGATTTAGAGAAAAACTCAAGAATTCTGGTTTTCAACGCGCGTACCTCATAAATCTTATTCTCCACCTCCTTCTCGTTGGCAATCGGCGCGTCTACCCCGCCGAGCACAAGTTTGACCGCCACAAACCCGATCTGAACCGTCGAAAACATTTGAGCGATGGTTTTGCCGAGAAAGTTGGCGATTATGTACTCGGCCAGACTTCCATGCTCGAACATTTTATACTTTCGACCCTGGTACTCGACTTCTCGCACTCCCGCCTCGAATTCTTTGATGTTCAGCATCGCGAGTTGGGCCAATCGTCGGTTCCACCTCTAAAAGAGTATACACATGATCCGAGAGCACTTTGCAAAAAGTTAATTTCATACCAACATCTCCATGTTGGCCGCTGGTCCCAGCACGTTGTCGGGAATTTTAATGTTGAACGCGCCGGTGACTGTTTGTACCGTATCCCACGCCTGATTCACAATATTTCGCTTTTTTCTTCCGAACGGAATTGGAATACTCTTTATTCCCGTATTAATTGAACCACTTATTTGACTTCCTGCTCCACTGATGGTCTGCTGAACCTGTCCGGTGCCTTGACTTATAACTTCTGAAATTCTGAAGCGGTGTGTCGCCGGAAACGCTCTCAAAGCGCTCACGTTGTCCGGAATTCGCAATGTCGCTCACGTCGGCCACGTCCAAAAGCGCGGTGCTCGTGTTGACGGCGAAACTTCCCCATCCACGCGTCTTCGCATCCAAGTCCACCTTCAAATTCTCGGCGAGTTCACCGCCCATCTGCTTCAACTCGTCCAACGCCTTCTCTCCGTGTCCGGTCAGAAAAGAGAGTGCCGCTTCGCCGACGCCTTTGATGCTCTTGATCACTTTCAGAACTCGTCCGATGTGTCCGTTGCCAATCAACGAACGGATCGAGTTCAGCTCGTCCAGGGTCACTTGCTCGTTATTGGTCAACGGGAAACGGAGCTCTTTGGCCGTCGAGCCGATGGTTGAGAGGAAGAGGAGCGACGAGAGTACAGTTAATCCACGCATTTGTTGAAAAAAGGAGGAGGAATGAAGTAGTGAGAACCGATAAAAGATAGTGGGGTTCCTCGACTGATAATAGTCATAAGTTAGAGGGTTCTCACGCAAAACCGAAAATTTCTGTTTCAGAAAACCGTTAACTTTTAGCAGACTTGCAACGGGCCGGGCCGGGCCAAAATTGGAAATTTTCCGGCCCGGCCCGGTCGGCCCGGGAGGATGCACCTAAAAATTCAAAGCGAACTAGAACTTCGAAACGAACATAATTTTCATTGTAAAAACCAGCAGAAATAGAAAAAAAGACGAAAAAGGCAATGTTATAGCATAAAAACCTGTTAAGAAATAGAAATTGCTGTTTAAAGTCGCAAAATTTCATATTTTTTTTGCATATTTTTTTTGAGGTCTAACTTCCGGGCCGACCGGGCCGGGCCGGGCCAAAACCGGGCCGGCCCGGGATTTGGCAAGTCTGACTTTTAGATCTTTGGAGTGAAATGGTTCAGTGAAGATCTTTGATGAAAGTTAACGGTTTTCTGAAACAGAAAAATTTTTGCGATTTTTGTCAGGTACTTTTGTTCGAGTCTCTAGTTTGTGGGCTCTTATCATTTTCCGGCCCGGAAACTACATAATCAGTTTCTATTTGAGTGCAATTTGAGACAGAAAACATATCAACAAAAATCAGTACATAAATTTGAAAAACGTCAGCAAAAACCGATTGATAAGGATTGACGAGCGCTGATAAAAAGTGGGTTGGGAGGCTGTTTGTCCATTTCATTTGCCGAATGTGTACCGATCACTTTTCGTCCTCGCCATCATTTAGTACAGTTTCACTGACATCACATTTTCTCTCTCTCGCACTGTTTTCCTCGTCTTCAACTATTGTACTCTTGCCAGAATGTCACAAGAAGGGTACTGGACTCTTCAAGGATGGATTGCCGCTGCCATGCTCATTGTCACTTGCATCGCTGGATGTGCTCCTCTTGCTGTAAGTTTGATGTTTCTGGTGTAATCTACGTACCTATTACTTGATTTTTGTACTTGACAACTTTTTTGTACGACCAATACTGAGCCTACTGTAGCTCATGAAAGTTTGAATATGATTGTAGGGTGGCATAACCTATTCAAACTTCTATGAGCTACAGTAGGCTTTGGAAAGGCGGTACAAAAAATTGGTCAACTAACAAAACATAGTATAGACCTAGCACGCCTTTTTTCTAGTTGACAACTTTTTTGTATCACCTCTTCTAAACCTACAATAGCTCATCGCAACTTTTGCTGTACCGATAATACTTCCAGCTCCTACAAATCCTGGCCAAAAAGGGAAAAGAGCCGACGAAAAGCGGCTGGCTATCCTATCTTTCTTGCTTCTCCGGCGGCGTATTTATGGCCACTTGCTTTCTGGACATTATTCCCAACATTGGGCAGGTTTTCAACATTCATCAGCTATTCGTATCCGAGTTTTCAGTGAAAAGTACACGGAACTCCTGCTCAAGTACCAGTTGACGTTTGCAATCCCTCTAAATCAAGTCTTCATCTGTTGCGGCTTCTTTTTCGTCTATTTCATCGAAGAAGCGATCGGAAGAGTGTTCGGCCATTCGCATGGAACGCCCACTGACCCTGAGCGTGTGAGGAAAGAAGATTTGAGAAGGTTTTGGTACGGTTTTGGAACTTTTATACGCGTTTTGTTGTCAGACGCTCCGAGGACGGAATTCCAGCCGTTCCGGCTCCACTCGACAGTCAACTTATTCGGCAACAAAGGTTTGAACTTTAACGGACCAGGGAACCCAAAAATTTTTTGATTTTTTTCTCTCTAATTGTCTCTTATTGCCACATACACTGCTGAAATGCTGCCTCTCAAAAATGCCAATGAACGAAACGGCGTGCAGTTGAAATTGTGGCCGTGGCCTAGCGCCAATATGGCCTAGAAATATGCGCTTCTCGGCCATTTTCTTTTTTCCGCTTTTTTTCCGGTTTTTTTTCCAAAAATTAACGGTTTCTCCCATTTTTCAGTTGATTGACATTTCTTCGGCACTTTCTTATTTTTTCACTGCTAAAAAATTGTTTTCATTTTCGATTTTATCGCGAAAAAACCGGTAAAAAAGCGAAAAAAATTTTACCGGTTTTTTCGCGATAAAATCGAAAATGAAAACAATTTTTTAGCAGTGAAAAAATAAGAAAGTGCCGAACAAATGTCAATCAACTGAAAAATGGGAGAAACCGTAAATTTTTGGGAAAAAAAAACCGGAAAAAAGCGGAAAAAATAAAATGGCCGAGAAGCGCATATTTCTAGGCCATATTGGCGCTAGGCCACGGCCACAACTTCAACTGCACGCCGTTTCGTTCATTGGCATTTTTGAGAGGCAGCATTTCACCAGTGTATGAGGCAATAAGAGACAATTCAAACAGTCACAAAAAAATTTCACAAAAAAATCAAAAAATGTTTGGGTTCCCTGGTCCGTGACTTGTATGGCTTCAGCCCTTTCTCCTGAACACTTTTCCTTTAGTCTCGACCAAGAGGATCAAAAAGCAAGCCTTCTAAAATCGATAACTTTCGCCGTCGCCATGTCCCTACACTCTTTGCTCGAAGGATTCGCTTTAGGCGTCCAGGACACCACCACCGCCATTTATTCGCTCTTTTTCTCGCTGCTCCTTCACAAATCCATTGAGGCGTTCTCGGTTGGCCTACAGATTTCGAAAGCCAATACTGACAAGGTACATAACTAGCATACATGCACTGACAATTGTCCGCGTTTTTCCAGTACAAAACAGTGATGCTGACCGTTTCGATCTATTCGCTGATGACTCCGATCGGTGTGCTCCTCGGCTGTCTTCTCGAATCTTCGGGATCGGAGACGTTGACCAAAGACGCACTGATTCTGTTCGTCGAGTGTTTGGCCGGCGGAGCATTCATCTACATCACGTTTCTAGAGGTGCTTGCCGGCGAAAAATCGAAACGATTCAACAGTTTGAAGCAACTTTTATGTGTTTTAGTCGGATTTCTAGTCATTCTATGTTTGCAACTGGCTTTCGGGGGTCAGGAACCTCATTATCCAGCTGAGACTTCTTCGATACCTTCTGCATAGAAAGTCTTTCATTATCGAATAAATTGGGCTGTCATACATACTGTAAAAACTGATAAAATGTTGACTCCCTTCAATATTGTCCATTGCAGATAGAGATAGCAACGTGCACAATGTTTTAATGAGCATTTTGTTAGTTGACCACATTTCCATATCTCCACTGCCAGCTGAGATAAATTTTCAATATTTCCACGTGGCACCACACTACAAAAACCATACTTATTTTATTTATTTCCATTTCTACACAAATGTCTTGTCTCAAACCGAGAAAAAAACTGGAACGATCTGCCAGTCGAGTTAAAGATGGCGGTGATCATGAAGACCGAGTTTTTTACAACGTTACCTCTCAACTTTCAACGCCCACTTTGCGATTTCTACTGTTTTTACACAGAATTGCGATGCGTCGATGCTCCAAATCTTTTTGCGATATGAGCCGATTTACACGTTAGCGCTTGCAATAATTCGGTCTTGTCGGCAATTCGTTTCAGTGGAAATTGGTGGAATCGTACGGCGAATTGCGTTGCGAGAGATCATGTGATATTGGCGTTTAGCGAAAAACGGACATCGTCAAGTTCCGTCCGGTGATTTCGATGCATCCGAAGGACGAACATGTCGTCATGGTTATATGGGATGATGCTGAATGAGTACAATGCGAGCATACTTTATCATCATGCAATCATTGGCGCTCTGATGATCCGAGAAGGGGTTGTTAAACAATTCAAAATAGAAGAGGCGGAGAAAATCTGCAAAGAATGTCTGGAAATGCATGCGAGCATTGTCGACGAGCCGTGGCAATTGTTTTTCGAAATGCAATTTCGATCGGCACACACGCTGAAAGTATTTGGGACATTTTCAAGACGATGCCCGGTGGACGCTTGGACGCCCAAGACCCCCACACTTGGAGATGGAGACGCCGGAAGTGGTGTTTAAATCGTCAGAATCAGCAGAGGCGACGCGGTGAGGACGAGTTTGTACCAGAGTTGAGCGGAAGAACACGGAAGAATTTTTATCTTTTTTAGAAAATTTTTTCATGGAATGTGATCAACTGACGAAATGTAGAGCAAAGTGAACTGTGCTCATAGAAAAATAATTGTAAATTCAGTTTTTCATACAAAAAAGTTATTCGAGTTGTTCTGTGAAAAAGGGGGCGAACGGAAGACGAAAGTACATTTTCACGGAACAACTCGAATAACTTTTTTATATGAAAAGTTAAATTTACAATTATTTTTCTATGAGCACCGTTCAATTTGCTCTACATTTTGTCAGTTGATCACATTCCATGAAAACATTTTCTAAAAAAGATAAAAATTCTTCCGTGAGTTCTTCCGTTGAGTTCGTCCGCTCAACTCTGGTTTGTACATGAAATCGTATAGTTGTGTGTTGTATTCCACTGAAAAGCGCGATTTTTCGTTGCAAGAATGGACGGGCATGCAATTCGAGATGGAAGAAATGACGAAGCGAACAGAGATGAGTGAAGAGTGTGCGGAGAAGAACGAAAAGTGGAAACTCGCGACTATTCTTGTGATAATAGCGGTTTCTCAATGAAGTTTGAACTCGAAAACTATGGAAAATGATGAAATGGCTCTCGTTATTAAAAGTTGAACTATCGTCTGTTGCCTCTTTTGTTCTCTGCTCGCTTGGCGGCGATCGGCTGGATTAACCTAACGGGGATGGAAAGTTCTCGATCACTTTTTCGATGACTTCCTATTGAAACCGACCACAAACACGACGATTTATGATGCGCTCTCTTAGTTTTCTTGGTTCCATACTGTTTTTGTATGGTATTGAAGCGGCAATGTCTAAAGGTATGTGGGATTCATCAATGTCTATAAAACGAACAAGAGTTTTCAGAAGAACTGACAGCGCGACAAGCGTTGGCGGCCAAGTTTTTGAAGGACAATCGTCAGGCATTAAGGGAAAGTGTTGATGATGGAAGTAGTCTCAACTTTACCAATTCGCCATCACAATCGGCTGAGAGTCTGTCCGACGATTCGTCGGCCGACCTGACAGTTCTATCGGATACTGTAGGTACAGTGGCTTGCGCCAGCGGTTGGACGAGATACTCGGTGAATGGAAAGTGCTACCAGCAGTCGGACGACTATTATACTTGGTACGAAGCGGAAGACTATTGTTGGAGTCAGAGAGAGGGCGCACACTTGGCATCGGTGCACACGCAGGCGGAGGCGGTTTGGTTGAATGGTAGGCTGACTTGAAAATGGTATTTTAGAGAAGTTTTATGAGTTTAAAAATGCTTGTGTGTAATCTACGTACCTATTACTTGATTTTTGTACTTGACAACTTTTTTATACTACCAATACTGAGCCTACTGTAGCTCATGGAAGTTTGAATACGATTGTAGGATGGCATAACCTAGGCAAACTTCTATGAGCTACAGTAGGCTTGGGAAAAGTGGTACAAAAAAGTTGTCAACTAACAACACATAGTATGGGCCTAGTACTTCACTTTTGTTCTTGACAACTTTTTTGTATCACCAATACTGAGCCTACTGTAGCTCATGGAAGTTTGAATAGGATTGTAGGGTGGCATAACCTAGGCAAACTTCTATGAGCTACAGTAGGCTTTGGAAAAGTGGTACAAAAAAGTTGTCAACTAACAAAAAAACGTAGAAAGTATGAAGATTACACTCAAAAAATTTCAAGTCAAAACATTTTCAGCGCAGTACAAAAAGCCACTCGTTTCGATGGATGATTGGATTGGTCTCCGAAGAGCTGTAAGCCCTCTTACAACGACGCCCCCTTTTGAAAACTAAAACTTTTCGTTTGCATTTTTCAGTGCGACAATGTGACGTACTACTGGACCGACGGTTCCGCCTACGATTTCGTCTGGTGGCAGCCGGACTATCCGCAATCCGAGTACGCTGAGGAAAGTTGTACTACTGTGCGTTGTTGATACATACATACATCATGAAGCGTTGAGAACTCGATGATTTAGATCTGGGACACGACGTGGCTTCACCTGAATCCGGATTACGTACCCGGACAGTTTGATGATATGAAGGATTGCGGGTCGGGCGGATCGAAGGCCATTTGCATGTATGATCCGAATTCTTGTACGGTTTTTGAGGGGGTTTGGGGGTGAAATTGTAATGTTTTTAAAGCAATCATCGGTGAAGAGTATGCTCCTCAAGTGTGCGGTAAGATTCCGGTCACCACGTCGACCACTACTACAACTACTTCAACTCCAACTACAACTACTACAACTCCAACTACAACTACTACAACTCCAACTACAACTACTACAACTCCAACTACAACTACTGCAACTCCTGCAACTACTGCAACTCCTGCAACTCCTGCAACTCCTGCAACTACTGCAACTACTGCAACTACTGCAACTACTGCAACTACTGCAACTACTGCAACTACTGCAACTCCTGCAACTACTGCAACTACTACAACTACCGCAACTACTACTATCTTCAACGCATCCACTTGCCCCTCTTCTTCGTGTCCTTCCGATTGGTTCGAGTACAACTCCAAGTGTTATGCAGTAAATTAGTACTGATCACCAGGGCACCATCAAAAATTTTCAGCTGATCACCGCCTCCGCAACAAATGCACAAGCTTCCGTTGGCTGTCAAGCACAAAACGCGGTTTTGGTGGAAATTTCCGATTTTGAGGAGAATGAAGCGTTGAGAAGTGGGCGGTCATGTCTGGAAATCAGTACAAAACCGGTTTATAGAGACGTTTTCGCTCAACTCGGCTGCCACGTCATCCGGCTCTCTTGCCTGGATCGCAAACTCGTCGTCGTACACAAATTGGGCCACAGGAGAGCCGAGTGGCGAGGATTACTGTAACTCGGTGAGCTCTAACCCCTTTTTTCAAACTTTTTTTGTTGGTATTTTTCAGTTTGTGCTCTCGACAGCCACCAATTTGGGATATTCACGAGGAGTTTGGAGTGCTGAGCCGTGTTCGAGCAAATTGGATTACGCGATTTGTTCGAAATCTGTGAATTGAGCTGGCTAGATAAAGTTGCACATGTTCTGTTACTTCAAATCGATATATCTCAGTTGCGAGTCGAGATAGCAAAAAGTTGTCAACTAACAAATTGTTCATCAAGAAATTTTGTACATTTTATCAGTTGACAACTTTTTGATATCTCTACCAACTGCTGAGATACGGACGCATATAGTAAGATGATGTTTCGAAACCCAATACTCAACGTTGGCAAACAACTAATAAGCCGACTTCTCCTGCATTTCGAAATATTCTGAAACTGAAACGCATATTTAGTTACTTCGTAGAACAAAAAGTCACATTTCATTTCCAGTTGAATGAGGAGAAGCATCAAAAAAACCAAATTTTTTGCTGGGCACGCTTCAAAAAATTCGCTCGTCATTAGGCAGTCGAAAGAAGAGAACAAGAAATGTACTGATCTCTTTAGACTCTTTATCAATAGATATATTATTTGTTTTCATTCCATTCCATCCATTCTTTTTATAGAAGCCTACAATAACATTTGAGGTCCTGTTTTGAAGTGTCCAAAAATCCCGAAAAAACAAATCCAATTCGGTGCAGGTCAACGATCGTTTCCGGTGTTCTCATTTCCACACACTCGCTTTTTTTTTGTTTTTCAATCGCTCGAAAACTGGTGAGCAACGTGAACAACAACGACTTTGGGAGACACTGATTTCCGGCGAATTCCTCTCTTTCGATGCTCTTCAAAATTTTTCGCGGCGAACCTGTTGTCGAGTGAGTTTTTTTTCAATTAAACGTTTCAAAATGCAACTGAAATCACAGTCCAATTTTGTACAATTGCACTGGGACCAATGTTCATGTGGAGCCGCACACGTTCCTCGGAACTTTATACTTTACACTGGGCTTTGTGGCGCAGGTGAGTTGTATATATCTCAGCGGTCTGATAAGATATGAAAAAGTTGTCAACTGATAAATTATTTATTATAAAATTTTGCATATTTTATCAGTTGACAACTTTTTGATAACTCTACTGGCCACTGAGATACATCGTTTTGAATTGAGATTCAAATATACCGAAGTTTGAAACGATCTATCTCAGCTGTGTGTGAAGATATCAAAAAGTTGTCAACTGATAAAATATGCAAAATTTTGTGATAAACAATTTATCAGTTGACAACTTTTTGATATCTTCACACACAGCTCAGATATATTTGAATCTCAATTCAAAACGATGTATCTCAGTTGCCAGTAGAGTTGGCAAAAAGTTGTCAACTAATAAAATGTTTATTGAAATATTGTGAACAATTTATCAGTTGACAACTTTTTGATATCTCCGCAAATAGCTGAGATACATTGCCTCCAGTTTCAGTATTAAACTTTCAATTTTTTGATTTTCTCACCCTGGAAAACTTTTCAGATTCTCTACCTGCTGATCCTCAAAACATTCTGGTCTCACGAGCCGTTCTGGGAGCACGCTTGTTATCGAATCATGTTTTTTCTCGGTGCGTCTGCGTTCGGATATTCTAGAGATCAAAAAAGTTTTGCATGGGGGTTCATTAAATGTGGGTGGTGGGTGGGTGGCCGCACAAGTTTCACGATAATAATAATAATAATAAGAGAAAGTTGAGTGAGGGGGGAAAAACTCAGAGATCTGAGTTTGTTACACTGATTTTTTCGGTGACTTAAAGGGTGGATTGAGTGCGTTCGCGTCACAGATTGAGTATAAATAAGGTGATTAGGCGAGTGCGACTTTTTGATTACCGCTTGGAGAAGTTTGCAAAAAAATTGAAGTGTGGTACTCAGAAGGAGGGTCTTCACGATGATTTTAAGACGTTTTGAAACTGAAAGTGCGCTCTATCGCACTTCTGGCACTGAAAATCCCGGAATTTCAGCTAATTTTAGCCGCAATGCAGAGTACACCGTCCGTTTGCAGGAATCCCCGACTGTCTGAGCCTGATAGTGTGCGCCGAGCTGGCGGGTGTCTGGTCGATTCTCGGCCTCCATCCGTGCTACGACATGGAAAGTTCCGTGCTCCTCGGATGTTTGGTTTTCGGCACGTGGCACATGAGCTGCTTCTACGTGCTCATTCTCGCGTTCAACAGGAGTTGCGAACTTGTGGCGCCATCTCTCGGGTAGCCCGGGGAACAATATCGGCGCTGAACTCATTCGCATTCATTCCAGCCGACTGCTCTTCAACGGAAAGCCGCTCACCGTCGTTCTCTGTCTTCCCATCTTCTACTTTGTCTACTTTGCCTTTTTCACGAAGCCGTTGATCTACGACGCGCGAGAATCGACGTTCCTGCTCAACCCGAACACCGCCGCCACAATGTCGTTCGACGCCGACGCGTACGCCGTCTACGGCTTCATCCTCAACAACTTCTTCGTCATGTTCTTCATCGGCGTCAACTATTTGACCGTCTGCACGTTTCTCCTCTATCACTCGTTCTCGACAAGCATTCAGAAGGTGTCGAAAGTCTACCGACAGGTGACAATTCAGTGCATGGTCGTGTGCACGTGCCACTTCATCGGATGCTTTCTCTACATTTACATGCAATACGTCGAGTTGCCCAATCTTTTTCACGTCATCGCACAACTCGCCTGGATTGGCAATCATGGTTGGTTCGAGCGAAACATTTAAAGTTTCATCACTTCTCTAAAATTGAATCCACAGTTGTATTTTGCAAATCCTCAATCAAACCGATTCCCATGCCTAAAGTCACCCGCCCACGGTCTCCAGAGCTGACAATGGGCGCAAGCGCGCCCCGCCCAATAGAGCGTAGAACATTGGCGCGAAATTCAAATTTTAACAGCAAAATTTGTGTTTTTTGCCAGATTAGCCACGAAAAATCGATAATTTCTCATTTGTCTCTCGATAGACTGATTTTATAGGCAATTACGAATTTTTTAAGCGCAAGAGCGTCAAATTTGATCAAGTTTGAAGGTTTTTGGCTAAAACTGCGTGAATTTCAGTTGCTTTTCGGTAATTTTCGCGGTTCGAGCGCTCAAAATGCTTGTATTTACGTGATTTATCATTCTCAAAACCAATTCTGTCTGAAAACGGTCAAGAAAGCGCAAAATGAGAAGTGCGGTTTTTAGGAAAAAAAAAATTTCGAAAAAGCGAAATTCGCGAAAAATGCGAAAAATGCGCCAAAACGTCCATAATTCTGTGAGAATTAGTGATTTTTCATGTCGAACATGCATTTTTCATCGCCTTTGACCACAAAAATCAGAGAAAACGTGCTCAATTCATGAAAACGCCATTTGGCATACTCAGGTAAAGTTTCAAACTTTTCTTGGCTCTTCTGAAGACATTCTCAAACTTTCTCAAAAAAAAAAACGTTTCCAAGACCATTTCAAAACTTTTCTAGGACTTTGTCAAACTTTTTCCAGAAATTCTCAAACTTTTCCAAGAATTTCTTAGGTGGCGCCTGGAAAAGTTTAAAAATAGCCAAGAAAAGTTTGAAACGAGTGACGAGTGAGCATGATTAATGTTATGCGCAGAAGAATTGTCAATGGTGCGCACTTGCAACACTGAACACACACGTGGATATTCTCAGTTGAATACAAATGCAATAAACAACAGAAGACGAGGAGAACATTTAAAAAATTGAGAAAAAAAAAAGTTGTTCCGCGGTGCGCAGAGATTCCATCATTTCTAATTAGATCCCAAAAACTCCTAATTAGATGTGAAAAGTCCAACTTCTAATTAGATTCGAATATCTGTTTTCACATCTAATTAGATTCAAATTAAACCTGAAAAACTTCTAACTAGATCTGAAAATCATGCTTTCTTGAAATAGATGTGAATGAGTTCTAATCCCATCGCAATCCATTTACCAGAGTAAAGTCACCCGCCCGAAACTGTAAACTTTTTTCAGGTCTTCCGCCATTCGTCTACATCATTTTCAACACGTCGATCCGCTCGAAAATCTCCTTCTGTAACCTGCGAATCGTGCGTGTTTCGCCGTCGGACGCCACGAGAAAGTCGACGACGCAGGCCGACAGTCAGAAGAGAACGGCGACGATTTTCTGAATTCTCTCTCTCGCTATTGTATCCATTGTGTTCTTGCCATAGTTGTGCAAATTTCTCTCTATTTTCAATTTCTTCTTTTCAATATAAAAGTGAAGCAAGTTTACAATAGCACGACACCCCAAAAAAAATGATGAATGTTTCTGCGCTTCTACTTCTCCTCTCGATTTTCGTTACAACCCTGGTATTCGCCTCATTTCTGAAAAATCTTCAAATTAAAATCCGTGTCCAGAACGCGTACGCAATCAAAAACGTGACGGTGGATCGGGCGGTCGATCAGATGCTTTTGAAGATTGAAAATTCGGTGCGGGACCACAATTCGACCGACTTCCACTCGTTTTTCTCGCCGCATTTCGATTCGGAGTGTGCGTGGAAGTTTATCGAGATGAAAGAGAGAGTGTGGAAGAGGTGTAGACGGATGAATCGCTCCGAGTTTTGATTTTTTTTCTGGAAAAGAATAAAAACACCCATCATGATTGATTGTGTCGCTATTCGCATCGAAAGTTTCCAGCGTGGTTCGACCGCTACTACTCGAATCTCAGCTCACATCAACTGGCATCGTTTGTCGTATGATTCTTGCCGCCCTTTTCTTCCGTTTCACCAATGTTTCAGCTCCGACGCTTCGGACACGTGGACGCTCGAGGTGTCGACTTCAAATTCAAGTTCTCCGAATCGCACAACGTCAACGATCACATGTTGCTGCGCTCGTTCATCGCGTGGACCTCAAAAACTCCGAATAATGATTTTGCCATCGATACTGTTCGATATTATGGAGAGTACTGATTATTTGAATGAAAATGAGATTACGCCGGCTGATTTCACTTATATAAACCTTATTGGACGGAATGTTCATGCGTCGATCCTTTCAAATGCTCAATTTCGATTTGCGACATTTTTTGCATGAGATGCACGTGAGAAGGGCGGTCAGGAAGAGTGTCAAAGTGACCAAAATCAGGGAAATATTGTGTTTTTGAACACACTGTCTCCTGCTGCCAGCGCTCATATCATAGCCCTCGGTGCGCCGCTCACCCGTCCTCCCATGTGGTCTAGTGGTTAGGATTCGTGGTTTTCACCCACGCGGCCCGGGTTCGATTCCCGGCATGGGAAGTTTCTTTTTGTCGCTCTTCTCTCCTACGTTATGAACAACAGCCCTAGAAAAACGCACTATTCATTCTCAAAATTTCATTCAGCCGGCAAGTGAAATGGTAAGTTTTCGAAATTGAAGATAAAATTATCGACAGGAAGGATAGGGCCATGAAAAAACTCAATTTTTTATCATAGCGCTCAAATTTCCGTCAGAGGACTTCAAAACGGGCGTCATCTCCGGTCTCTCCTGTTGTGCCGTTCTTTTCGTCTGAAATTATAGTTGTCTTCTCAGAATTCCGACCAAATGTTACCGTGGCGTCACCGGATTTCGCCTGTTTCTCCTTGACATTCGGCTTTTTCGCCGTCTCACCGAGCACTTCGATTTGCTGAAAATGACGGGTTAAAGGGAGGCGTGTGGGCGGGCGACAAACAACTAACCGCCGTTCCGATGGAAGAGGATTCTTGTTCGTTGGCCGAGAAGTTTGTCGATGGTTGAGTGCTCATGACTCGCAGATCATTCGACTGAAAAGCATCGACTTATTAGAGTTTCAGACCGATCGGATCATCACGTCTAGACTTAAAGAATGACGGATATTGAGAGAAAATGCTCAACTACAAAGTTGTTCAGCTTGAAAATTGCAACAATTGTTCAGTTGATCACTTTTTGAAATAATCATTGAATCTTGAAATATAAGTGTTCAAAGATCACTACTACTTTTGAGCAACTTTTCTCTGATTTTTGTGGTCAAAGGCGATGAAAAATGATTGTTCGACATGAAAACACACTAATTGTCACAGAATTAATGACGTTTTGGCGCATTTTTCGCGGATTTCGCTTTTTCGAAATTTTGTTTTTTTTTTCCTAAAAACCGCACTTCTCATTTTGCTCTGGGAACTCGATCGCAATCTAATTAGAAAACTTTGAAATCTAATACGAACTCGTTTGAAATAGAATTTGCTTCAATTAGATTACAAAATCTTCTAATTAGATTGCAATGGTTTCTAATTAGATTGCAATTTTTTCTTATTAAATTGCAATTCAGGAAAAATATATTGAAATCTAATACGATTTTACTGGAACTTCAATTAAATCTGATTAGTTTGCGAAATAGAGCGTTTTCTTATTAGATTGCAAACTCTTCTAATTAGATTGCAATCGAGTTTCCAGAGTGCGCTTTTTTGCGCTTTTTTGCCCGTTTTCAGACAGAGTTGGTTTTGAGAATGATAAATTACATAAATACAAGCATTTTGAGCGTTCGAACCGCGAAAATTACCGAAAAGCAACTGAAATTCACGCAGTTTTAGCGAAAAACCTTCAAACTTGACCAAATTTGACGCTTTTGCGCTTAAAAAATTCGTAATAGCCTATACAATCGGTTTATCGAGAGAAAAATCAGAAATTATCGATTTTTCGTGGCTAATCTGGCAAAAAACACAAATTTCGCTGTTAAAATTTGAATTTCGCGCCAATGTATCGCTCTATTGGGCGGGGCGCACTTGCGCTCATTGTCAGCTCTGACAAAAAAACAGTTTGAAACAGTAAAACGCTCACCCTCTCCGGTTTCTTCCGCTTGGTCCTGTCAGTCGACCGCATCTCCTTGTTGCTCGTCGCCCGCCGCTCCTCCTGCCCCACCTTATTCTCACTTTTCCGGCTCTTTTTGCTCGTTTTCTTCGCCGACACCGCCGCGCTCTTGTTGCTGCTCTTCGACGGCGTTCCGGCGTCCACTTTGTCCGAGCTCTTCGTCGTGTTCGGCGACTTTGCCGGCGATTCCGACGCTTCTCGACGGCTTTTATCGTGTTTTCTCGAGCCGCAAAACGTGACGATTTGGATGGGAATGAAGAGGAAGACGAACGCGTCGGACAGTTTGTTGAGCAGTCTGAAACGAGTTTCGAGTTCTAGTGGAAAGATGGAACGTCTCAAGACCCGATCGGAATTGTCGAATGAAAGTCTTGAAATGAAGGCATCGCTTGAAATTACAGAATATTGAAGGTGTGGAGAATCTGGCGAACGCTTGCAATTTTAGGTTTTTTGAACAAACTCACTCTAAAATATTATCATCATCATTATCGAAAAGTCGAAGTGGCCGGATCCACGTCGTTTTTGTTTTTTTTGGGAAACTAGTACAAGTCACGGTTTCCGTAAACATTGTAATATTGTCCGTATCTTAGTTGTCGGTGAAGATAATGCTCACTATCAGCAAAATATTATGAACATTTTTCCAGCTGACAACTTTTTGATATCTCTACAGACAGCTAAGGAATATCGTCTTGAATAATCAGGAAAACGTGGCGAGCAGTGTTGAGCGGAATTCCGTCTTCCGTCTTCCGTAAAAAAAATTTTCTGCCGTCTGCCGTCTGCCGTCTTCCGTCTTCCGTCTTCCGTCTTCCGTCTTCCGTCTTCCGTCTTCCGTCTTCCGCCTTCCGTCTTCCGTCTTCTTCCGGGATTTTTTCTTCTTACCGTAAAAGAGTAATAGCTTTTCAGAAGCCATTTACTAGCCCCCGAAGAAGGCGAATTTCCACGGGCAGTGACCCAGATCCAACATTTTTGTTGTTTAGTTATTTTTTTCAAAAAAAAAACGGGGAAAAAGGTTCTGCATTAACGATTTTTTTGTTCCGTCTTCCGTCTTCCGTTTTCCGTCTTCCGTCTTCCGTTTTCCGTGTTCCGGATTTCAAAATTCCATTTCCGCTCAACTCGAGCTGTTGATTATCACCCAAAACGTTTTTCCGGGTCCAAGTGACGTCATCCGACTCGAAATGTTCATTGGCGACACCACAACAAGCATAAAACTGTCTATCTTCTCCGCAAAATCTGCATCTCGTCCACGCGTTCGTTCCCAATTCCCACCACCATCCCTATTCGTTCCAAAAACAGATCGTCGTCTGGATTCGTTCGTGGATGACGAGAGAGGGGATCTCGAGACGATACCCGGAATTGTCTAGCAACATTTGGTGAGCGGCGAGCGAGCGGATAGTACAAAGGACAGGTTTGCCGCCGCCGCCGCCGCCGCGCCGCTTTTCTTATTCCAAGACGACATCTTCTTATCAATTGTCCATCTAGCGAGGCGGGTGGGATCAGGATTTAGGTCAAAATCCATACATACACACGATTTCGCTTTTCATTTGACACAGCTTTCGCCCCCCGCCGCCGCCGCCGCTCTCTTTTCCTTCCAATTCCACACCACTCTTCTCTTTTGTTTCTGCAGCAGGAGGCGACGAAATGAAGATCGTTTGCATTGGCGCGGCGCCGACGGCTCTCGGAGCTGCCTATCGGCTCAATGAGCTCAAGAACGAGGGAAACGAGGCGGCCAAGCAGGCCGAGATTGTGCTTTTCGAGCAGGTAAGACCATTTTGCCACGAAATATTTTTATTTCAACTTTTTGAAACTGAAATTGTGCAGGAAGCGATCGCCGGCGGACTGTCTTGCACCGTAACCGACGAGAAGGGATTTCTGTGGGACATGGGCGGTCACATCACGTTCAACCACAACTTTCCGTACTATGAGAAGGCGACGCAGTGGGCTGTGGACGAGTGGAATAAGTTGGCGCGAAACTGCATGGTCGACATGAATTATCTGTACGACACGAAGGGAATTCATCTGGTTCCGTATCCGGCCCAATTCGCCGTGCCGCTTTTCCCGGACGCTGTCAAGAACAAGTGTTTGGCGGATTTGAAGGAGCGATATGAGAATGTAGTGTGTGCCACTGACTATTGTTATTCTTCGTTTTCAGCCTCAGGACGCATCGACTCCGGATAACTTTGAGGATTGGGTCCTTCAACACTTTGGCCCCACCATCCTCAACACCTTCTTCAAGCCGTACACCAAGAAGGTGTGGACTGTCGAGCCGTTGAAGATGTCGCCGAATTGGGTGGGAAGCCGTGTCGCCAAGCTTCCACAGGAGAAGCTCGAAGAGTTGTGCTCTATGGATCAGGAGGAGCTGGCCAACGCCGATTTCGGATGGGGACCAAACTCGTATTTTACGTTCCCAAAGTACGGCGGCACTGGAAATGTGTGGAACTCGATGGCGAAGAAGTTGCCGAACGAGTGGTTCCAGTTCAATAACAAGGTGACCGGCGTGAACCACAAGGAGAAGACCGTCGAGGTTCTTGCAAAGGGTGAGAGCGAGCCGACCAAAGTGTCCTACGACATCCTTCTCAACACGGCGCCAATCGATCAGCTCGTCAACAACACGCGGATCACCGCTCCGCTCGACATTGTTCACAACAAGGTGTTCATCGTGGGAGTCGGTCTTCGCAAGCCGATGACGTCGTTTCTGGAGAAGTTCACGTGGCTCTACTTCCCCGACCGCGAAGTGCCGTTCTTCCGAGTCACCATTCTGAGCAGATACGGAGAGGTGACGCCGGACAGCGACAAGTACTGGTCGGTCATGTGCGAGTGCGCCCGTCCCATCGATGATCCGGTTCGTTTTTTTTTGTTCGCCGACTGCTGCTGCAAATCTTCAATTATCAAGCGCCTATATTGCAGATCACCGAGGAGAAAATGGTGCAAAAGACGCTCGACGGTTTGGTGATCAAGGACATGATCACTCGTGAGGCTATTGAGTCGGTCTACTCGATCACTCTTCCGTACGGATATCCGATTCCTACGCCAAACGTAAGTGTGTTGCCTCCTAGTATGTATACCAAAGTTGAGAAGAATTTTTATCTTTTTTAGAAAATTTTTTCATGAAATGTGATCAATTGACGAAATGTAGAGCAAAGTGAACTGTGCTCATAGAAAAATAATTGTAAATTTAGCTTTTCATACAAAAAAGTTATTCGAGTACGGAAGACGGAAGGACAACAACTCGCATAACTTTTTTGTATGAAAAGTTAAATTTTCAATTATTTTTCTATGCGCACAGTTCACTTTGCTCTACATTTCGTCAGTTGATCACATTCCATGAAAAAATTTTCTAAAAAATATAAAAATTGTATACTCTTGTCGAGACGATCGATTTCAGCGCGATCGCGAGTTGGCGCGTGCTCACGGAGAGCTCGAGCGTCATCAGATCTACTCGCGCGGCCGATTCGGTGGCTGGAAGTACGAGGCGTCGAACCAGGATCACTGCTTCATCCAGGGCAAAGAGTTCATCGATCGAGTCATTCTGGGCGAGCCGGAGAAGTTGTACAAGACCGGAGTGGCCACCATTCCACGCGGTTAACTCACTTTTGGAAGCGGATACTGTTTCTAGCGATTTTCGTATACAACCGTGCAATTTTGAGCCTAATAAAACAGTGTGAAGTGAAATCGTATGTTTATCCAACCAGCGAAGTGTTCAATAGTACTGTGTTTGACAATTGCGGCGGCGTTTGTTGGGAGATGAGCACGGATTGAGGGGTTAGGGTGCGTGATTGGTTGTGCGCGAACGGATGCGCTCGATCGTCCGGCGATAGCGAGCCGAGCACGACGACGAGGCACAGGAAGAGCACGAAGGCGAGCCAGACGAGCAGGAGACACAGCTTTTTGTGACGGCACATGCACTCTTTGCACAATTTTGACTTCTGCAACGAACTGGGTGTGGCCGAGCTTTGAATATACATTTTCGTGAAATTTGATACGGATCTATATCTCAGCCGTCTGTAGAGCTATCAAAAAGTGGTCAACTGATAAAATGTACAAACAAAAATTCTTAATGCCACGTCCAAAGTCTTGGAAAAACCGGAAAAACCGCTGGTTTTTCTGTCCAAAGTCGGCCGAAATTTGCGTGAAAAACGGGGAGTGCGCACAGCTCAACGAATGTGACCGTACCCCTAAAACTACGGTATTTTTTGAAAATTTGTGTTAATTTCTTGAGGCAATTTGAAAATATTCAAATTTCTTGCGCAAATTTTCAAAAAATACCGTAGTTTTAGCGGGTACGGTCGCATTCGTTGAGCTGTCCCGTTTTTCACGCAAATTTCGGCCGATTTTGGACAAAAAAACCTGCGGTTTTTCCGGTTTTTCCGAGACTTTCGACGCGGCATAATGGTTTGCATTGTATCGGTAAAATTTAAATTTAAAAAAATAAAAAGCTACCTCATAAGTGATCGCAGGCAGACTATATCGATAGACGGAAACTCGATCCGTCGACGCGTTCCTCCACTTCACCCGTCTCACACGACTATCATTCTTCAGATGATTTTCCAGCGTTTTGATTGATATTACCGTAATCTGAAAGTGAAAAAATTCGGGGAAAAAGATCAGAAAAAGCACGAACCTTATTACAATTGACATCCTTGACCCATAAAAAGTACATTTGATCGTCACGCGGCGTCGAGTCCAGAAATTTTCGGATTTGTGTCAACTTTTTCTCGCCTAACGAGGCTATGAAGACGTCCGCTTGAGCTCCGACCGGTTGCTCACAAATCTAAACGATGGACACTTCGAGAAACGCGTAAATTGAGTGGAAAAGTACCGTGGAGGGACCGGGCTCGTCGCCGTAAATCGAGAAAATGGAAGGTGAGACGGGCCGGCCATCCTCCATATCCATGTCTTTCTTCGAGTCCTCTTCATTCGTGCTCAGCGCCGCGTATCCGAACGTTATCGAATCCGATTTTTCGTCTTTTCGCTCTCTGAAATGTAAAATTGTTCAGTTTCAGTTATACACGGTCTCCAGAGCTGACAATGGGCCCAATAGAGCGATACATTGGCGCGAAATTCAAATCTTAACAGCAAAATTTGTGTTTTTTGCCAGATTAGCCACAAAAAACCGATAATTTCTCATTTGTTTCACGATAGACCGATTATATAGGCTATTACGAATTTTTTAAGCGCAAGAGCGTCAAATTTGGTCAAGTTTGAAGGTTTTTGGCTAAAACTGCGTGAATTTCAGTTGCTTTTCGGTAATTTTCGCGGTTCGAGCGCTCAAAAAGCTTGTATTTACGTAATTTATCATTCTCAAAACAAATTCTGTCTGAAAACAGTCAAGAAAGCGCAAAATGAGAAGTGCGGTTTTTAGGGAAAAAAAACGAAATTTCGAAAAAGCGAAATCCACTAAAAATGCGCCAAAACGTCCATAATTCTGTGAGAATTAGTGTGTTTTCATGTCGAACAATCATTTTTCATCGCCGTTGACCACAAAAATCAGAGAAAACCCGCTCAATTCATGAAAACGCCATTTGGTGTTATAGCACTTCTGAAACTGACAAATTCCGTCGGGAATTGGTCAGCTGATTGATCCCAATTACCGTCGTATTCAGTTGAATAAACACGGTCTCTGATTCGATTCTCTCTTCGGTCACTCAAAACATGTTTTCCCGGGCCCCTCTTCCACTTTTTTCTGCCTCTTCTAGTTCTCTCTCTCACCTGAAGCTCTCGTAGGGCCGTATCGTGACTCGGCGCTCTTGTTTCGACGGCATGTGCACCAGACTGAATCGCTTCGATTTCATCGCCGGCTCTGCCGGCTTCTCGGACATTTTCGGGATCGGAAGCGGTTTGATCGAGGATTTTGGGATGGAGGCGCACGTCGCACGACGTTCCGACGCGTCTGGCATGAGTCTGCAAAAAAAACGGCAATGCTGTGATTGTAGCGATTGGAGCGTAGGCACAATAATGGCGTTTTGAAACGGAAATCGTTTTATTTTTCTTGACAAACGCTCTGGCAATGGGAAAAATCAATACTTCTAGTTTTGCCAAACCGATAACAGAGAAAATAGAAAAACCGAACGTTTATTGACACACTGAAACAGTACAAAAACCTCGTGTTTGAGGTTCGACGACACAAATGCGATGGAAAGAGAGTTGATTTGAGTAATTCGATTAGAAAATGGCTTGTTTTGTTGTCTGTCTCTCTCTCTCTTTTTCCCGTTTTTTGAAAAAAGTTCAAGTGCGTTGACAAGTGAAGAGTGAAGACATTTTTTTGAGGATACCGAAAACGGAGATGTTGTGAGCAAATCCGAGCAAATTTGCACACACACACACACATACCGACATCACCTCTTTTTTTTCCAATTTGTTTTCAGCCGGTGGCGGCGGCGGCGGCAGTGAGCCAAGAAGAGAAAAGGAGAGAATGTTCGTAATTAGACGGGAAGCACGTCGGGGAAAAACAAAGGAGCGAAGCAAATTGGTGAGAAGAACGCAAGGAATTCGGTGAAAATTGGCAGAGAGGATGCGTGTTTTCGAAGGGAATTTTATCGATTCTACTCGAAAAGTTGTGGAGAAATTCAGGTCAGGAAACTGTAAATGATAAGAAAAATGGATAGTGAGTTCTGATGCAAGCTCACGGAAGTTTGAAAACATTTTTGCGGCCATTTCAGTGTTGTATCGACGAAATCCACGAAACAAAGTTCAACTATTCCGGGAATCAATCAATGTGTTACTTTCCTTATTTCTCTCCTCAAAAATGACCAGCGCGAAACCGAACACTAATTGAGATTTTGTTGTACGAGGCCTAGAAATTTCCTCTGGCATTTCGTTATTAATCTAACGGCGGCCTAATAAGAATAAATTGTCTAGCTAGATTAATAAATTGTCTAGCTAGATTAATAAGTGCTCAAATCAAGTTTGACGCCAACCGTCTGCTGGCTCAAATCTCGATTGCGCCAAGAAAAAACAGTCGAATCTAAAATTAGGTCGCGTTTAGATCAGTAACTTTCTAATTAGATTAATATCGAATTGCGTGAGAATGTCAGCAGTTCGAAAAACTGCTTCTTCAAATGATGGCAAACTGGAACAGTGTTGTTCATTATCTAGATTATTCTCAAAGAAGACTCACACAGCGGAATTGATTGATTCTCCTACTAAACTGATTACTAACATGACGCCCATGAAACGGTAATGGCATGAAACATTTTTAAAAAAAGAAGTGCTCTTGGAGCATTTTCAAGCAGATCAGTTGGTTTTTTAGCAAAAAGCAAGGCTGGGCCTTTGCAATGATCTGATGGAAAAGCGCTGAAAAAATTGGAACGTTCGGTGGTCACTAAATATGAATAATCTGAAGCTCATGAAACAGTAATGTCGCTTTAGTATGTTAGCAATACTGATTCCACATACGCACCGCTCAAGATGACAGTTTGGTGAAACACAAATTTCTGTTTCTCACTCATTCCAAACAATTTTTTCTCATCGTAACGTTTGCTTCTATCTCCATTTGTTCACCCTATTACAAGAAAAGGAATCTGGCTAGAAGTGTGTGTGTGTGTTTTTGTGAAAAATATGAGTAGTAGCACAAAACGAAGAAGGGGGAGAGCATTTCTCAAATTTCCAGCTCGATTTCTTTTCTATTTTCGCCATCTTGTTCTCACTCGCGCGCACACTCACTTTTTCGCCTAAAATTGCCAGACAGATTGGGTTTCGAGCGGCGGCGGCCGGATCGAAATGAGCGGAAGCGACGGGAGAGAAGGAAGGACAGCTGACAGAAACGGGGAAGAGTTTGAGAATGAACACGTTTCTCGTGTTGATTAATTGCCGTGTTTTTGATTGCCAACGAGAGAGGCGACGAGAAAGAAAGTTAGTTAGCGAAGGGAAGACTCTTCCGGTCAACTGGGAATTCCGTCTTCCGCGCTTCAGCATGAAAAACGGCAAGGAACGGTAGATCGCAACCAGAGTTGAGCGGAAATGGAATTTTGGAAGACGGAAGACGGAAGACGGAAGACGGAAGAAAACTTTTTTCCCGGAAAACGGAAGACGGAAGACGGAACAAAAAAATCGTCAATGCAGAACCTTTTTCTGCGGTTTCTTTTGAAAAAAATAACTAAACAACAAAAATGTTGGATCTAGGTCACTGCCCGTGGAAATTCGCGTTCTTCGGGGCTAGTAAATGGCTTCTGAAAAGCTATTACTCTTTTACGGTAAGAAAAAAAATCCCGGAAGACGGAAGACGGCAGACGGAAGACGGAAGAAAAAAATTTTTACGGAACACGGAAAACGGAAGACGGAACAAAAAAACCACGGAAGACGGAAGACGGAAGACGGAATTCCGCTCAACACTGATCGCAACCCGAGCACCCACTTGTTCTCATTTTTGGGAGCTAATCAAATGTAAGCGTCGCAATAAGTTATCCAGATGAGTGAAAACCTTGATTTGGAAGATAAGAAGGTATTGAAACAGAAGAATTCGTGTTCGAACCCAGGGCGAAACTAATTTTTCCCAAAAACTATGAGTTTTCGGTTTCAACTCGACACAATCAGCAGCTCTCACAAATCGTATTCAATTAAATCGGAAAACATTTAAAAGTAGTCATGTTTTTGACGAAGCCGTACGCATTGACACTTGTTTTCATTACCGTCCCAGGTGAACTACGCGCAAAAAATGTTCGTGAAACTATCAAGTTATATGTAGGTCAAACTTGTCAAATCCTCCGTTTCAACAAGTACACAAGAAACATAAAAGTACATATGAATTCGATGCCTTAAACTTTCGCGCTGACAAAATTGTGTATCTCGTAGCGTGTTTGGTGAAATTTCGCTCAAAATGACTAACAAAACGCTCGCAAAAACAGCGATTGTGGTGGAATTCGGCGGGCGGAAAATAAAAATAATTTATGAGCCTTTTGTCATGCCACAGACGTTCGTCGAGAAATTTCGAATGAGGCAGTGGTATTGGGTTTTGTTGAAAAGTTATCGTGGCAGTGGGCGGATGTGCTTTTCGAAAGGTGTTGAAACATACAATTACTTGAAAATTGTGCCGTTTAGCCGATATTTTGATCAGTGGCGTCTCTAGAGCTTTATGAACGTCACGTTTGGAACCAGCTTCCTTCTTTGAAGAATTTCAATTAAAACGACGGCCGAATGACATGAGATTTCGAAGGAAAAGGTCAGCCGAAGACGAAGAAGGAGGAGGGGGGGATACGAGCAAGAAAGGCGAGGGGAAATGAGGCAAATGCGCACTTTGAGCTCTTGAGACATGCGCAACGAAAGCAGGAAACTTGTTTGAGCGACAGGCAGTACCAGGGTTCGCGATTTTTCGATTTACTACTCGACGGACCGGTGAGGAACAACAACAGAAATTATGTAGTCAGTTAGCAGCTATTAGACATCCAAAATAGGTCTATGAAGACCTTTTGACCCAATTACAATGTTCAATAGATAATGTTCAAAACGACTCTGTTTCATGTCATCCACAACTTTGTGACCTTAACGCTTTCATCTGATTTGTATGCCGTTTGTCCTTACAGGTAATTTTCGGCAGTTTGCCGATTCCATGCCGCCTCCTTGCCGAACCCTTGCCGAACCCTTGCCGAACTATATTACCTGAGATAACGACTTTATCATAAAGTGTGCGTGTGAATCAGAGAAGGCTACCTATTCTCTACTAATCAATTATTAAGACTAGACTAAAGCGAACATTTTGCCCTACTATTTATTCTAAAAGTATTCTAATACACTTGAAACCGAGGTCTAGAAGAGAACGTCTGTATTGTTGTAGTAATTTCTGATCATTCAGCCAGTGCAGTGCGGACAGTCAATATTACACCAGAAAAGGACACAATAACAAGCGGGAAATTGTAGCGGTGTCTCATTATTTCGTTCATTATTAAGATCACACACTTCCAACTAACCGAATACATTTAAAATTTGTGAAACTGGCAAAATTTAGTAGCTCTGGCATTTCGTTATTAGTCTAACGGCGGCCTAATAAGATTGATATGACACCTAATTAGATTAATAAATTGTCTAGCTAGATTAATAAATCTTCTAGTTAGATTGGCTCAAATCTCGATTGCGCCAAGAAAAAAATAGTCGAATCTAAAATTAGGTCGCGTTTAGATCAGTAACTTTCTAATTAGATTAATATCGAATTGTCAGAGAGCTCACAATTTTGTTTGCATTTTAGGTGTATCAGATGAGTCTCGCCGCTTTTCGTCTACTCGAAATCGCTATTTCTGGAATCCTTTGAAAATGTTCACAAAACTTTTCGAAATTGGCTCAACATGAGGATCCTTATCTTTCGCTTTTTACGTTTTTTACGAAAATCAATCGGCACAAAAAAGAAAGGTTTTCGTGGAAAACGCGAGAATGACGAAAACGGCAGGTGTTTCGGCGCGGCAAAGTCAGAAAACGCGCATGATTTTTCGGGTTTTATTCAATTTGCGAACGACGAGCGTATGACTAATTTCTTGTGTGTTTTTTTTTCGCTGTTCCCCGAGCAACCGGAAAACAGGTACAAAGTGACGAGAGCGGGAATTGTGAAGAAAGAACGGAAAAGAGAGAGACGTGGAGAAATGGCACGATTTCTGAAAGGGATTTTTAAGATTCAACATGTTTCGCAACTGGCTAATAATAAGTGAATGTTGGAAAAACGATAGTGACATGGAAATTCGTGCATTTTTCCAGTGTCGACGCTCCGATGCCGTAAATCGACACAAATGTTTCGGCCGGGCGACAATTTTACACGATTTCACTCAAATTTTACGAGAAATATGAACGATTGCAATTAAAAACGTTTTCACAGCTGTAATTATTCGAAAACCTTGTGAAACACAAAAAGATTGCTCAATCTGATCTCGAAGGGGAAAAACGAGAAACTGGCAATTAGCGAGTTGCGTGAGATAAACAGAGACGGAGAGAAGGAGTGGGGGGAGGGGAACTAATTGGATTTGAGGTTATTTATATGTGTACACAGAAACTGAACTTGTGATGGCAGTTTCAACTCTCCATGATAAATGTCTCATTTGGAAGTTTCACATTCTTGCCATAGCATCGGAAAAAACAATTTTAAGGCCGCAATTTGACGTGACGGTGAACATTGCGTACAATGCTTCATATCTGACGGAATTTACCGAAGAAATGCCATTTTTTCGAAATAATAGCAGACTTTTAACCGAAAAGCAAGAGATTTCATGTTTTCTCAAAAGTGTACAAGGTGAAACTTCCGGGCTGACGCGTGTTTCCCGGAAAGAAACATTTCTGGGAAGAGCTTGACTAGTGAGACCAGTTCACAGATCTTTCTAACAATCGAAAAATACAAGTTATGACAGTGAAACGGAACAGTGGATAGATTTGTTTTTTCTAGGGATCAAATCGAGCCGCCGCTTCTTCGGCGCAGAAAAAGAGGAGAGGAAAGTGCCTTTTCGCCTCTCGCTCGCCTCCCTTTGTCCCCTCCAGTGCTAACGAGTTGGACGACGACGGCAAATGCGATTTAGAGGCGCTCCGATGCTCTCTTCATCTTTTCAAGCCACCACACACAAAAAAAAACGCTCATTCGGAGAGGGTGGGGGGAACACGTCGGAAAATGGAGTGGTGGACAGCAAACAGGGAAGTGGAAAAGAAATTGGATGGCGTTGGACGGAGGAAATTAGCATAGAGAGAGGAAGAGCAAAAAAAGATGCACGCAGAGATTAGTTTTATGATTTTGGTCCAAAGAGGGGAAAAGGAGGTTTGCAAACAAAAAAATCTGATTTGTTTAGCAAAAAAAAAACGTGAAAAAACGTCCACTTAAAGCCCCCATCATTCTCCGAGAAAAATGAGATAATTTAAAAGAGAAAATTTCAGAGTTGAGCGGAAATGGAATTTTGAAATCCGGAAGACGGCAGACGGAAGAAATTTTTTTTGCGGAACACGGAAAACGGAAGACGGAAGAAAATTTTTTTCCCGGAAGAGAGAGACGGAAGACGGAACAAAAAATCGTCAAAGCAGAACCATTTTCTCCGGTTTTTTTTTGAAAAAATAACTAAACAACAAACATTTTGGATCTGGGTCACTGCCCGTGGAAATTCGCGTTCTTCGGGGCTAGTAAATGGTTTCTGAAAAGCTATTACTCTTTTACGATAAGAAGAAAAAATCCCGGAAGAAGACGGAAGACGGAAGACGGAACAAAAAAAAACCACGGAAGACGGAAGACGGAATTCCGCTCAACACTGGCAAATTTGCTTTTCATCTTCCAGACACTGCTCTTTGGCTAGGCTGAAAACGCGTGAAACAACGGAAACAATGTGACCTCGCCACGTGGCTTTTCGCTTATCATCTCTCGCTCTCTTCGATCTATTCGGCCGCCGTTTTCCACACGAAAATGGCGACGAACAAGTTGTCGGTGATCGAGGAACGCACAGAGACCCCTTCTGGCGTCGTGTCCACGCTCTCCAATGTGACCAGGTGAGCATGCACACCTAAAGAATTAGTACCGTCACACACACTTTGCAAACATTTGTCGCATTTTTGAAACCATAATAAATTAGTAATAAACCCCGCTGTTTTCTTCAGTTCCGAAGAGCCGATTTCGAGTAAGATGGGAATGGCGGTGCGTGCGTGTCAACTCGGCGAACTCGAGACCGTCCGGTTTCTTCTCGGCGGCTACGTGTCGGCCGACGAACTCGACTCGGACGGATGCGGACTTTTGCATTGGGCCGCCATCAACAACAAGGTCGACATCATCAGACTGTGGGTCGCTTCAAAAGTTTTTGGATGTTATCTACATACTTTATTTTTGTGTCGCAGCTTCCAAGCGCGCTCATACTCGGCAATTTTCAATACGATATCAAAACTGTTCAATTTTGCATTTCCAGCCTGCTCTCCTACCACGCGAACATCGACATCATCGGCGGAAACATGCAGTCGACTCCTCTTCATTGGGCGTGTCATAATGCTCAACTCGCAGCCGTTGTCACTCTTGTCATGGTCAGTCAGCCACCATTTCTGCTCATTGATAGGCATCGAACCGCTTCAGAACGGAGCGAGTGGCTCGATCAAGAACGTGAACGGAGAGACGCCGTTGCACATCGCCGCAGTTTCTGGAAACTTGACACTTCTCGCCTATTTGCTCGTCAAATTCGATCATATCAAAGATGCGCGCGACAATTTGGGTGACTAGAGGGACCTGAATCATTTTCTAAAACATCCTTCAGGCCGTTCGGCTCTGATGCTCTCCTCCCACTCCAGTTTTGGTCTGTTTCCGACGCGAATCTTCATCAAATGCGACGCCTTTCTCGATTTTACCGATGACAAGTCGGGCGAGACGGCGCTGCACACGATGATGTCGCGCCAGAATTGGAGAGGAGCCGTCGAGCTGCTGTGTGCCGGCGCCGACGAGACGATCAAGAATCGAGAGGGACAGACGGCGTTCGATTTGGTCGACAAAAAGGTTGAAGAACACGTTCGAGGTGTGGTTCGGACGTTTTTCCGAGTTAAATTTGTCTTCACACGGTCTCCAGAGCTGACAATATGGGCACCTAATGGCGTTTTCATGAATTGAGCAGGTTTTCTCTGATTTTTGTCGTCAAAGGCGATGAAAAATGCATGTTCGACATGAAAACACACTAATTCACACAGAATTAATGACGTTTTGGCGCATTTTTCGCGGACTTTGCTTATTCGCCTTCGCCGCCTAAAAACCGCACTTCTCATTTTGCGCTTTCTTGACCGTTTTCAGACAGAATTGGTTTTGAGAATGATAAATCACGTAAATACAAGCATTTTGAGCGCTCGAACCGCGAAAATTACCGAAAAGCAACTGAAATTCACGCAGTTTTCGCGAAAAACCTTCAAACGGATAAATGTGATTTGCGACTTGACCAAATTTAACGCTCTTGCGCTTAAAAAATTCGTAATAGCCTATACAATCGGTCTATCGAGGGAAAAATGAGAAATTATCGATTTTTCGTGGCTAATTTTGCAAAAAACACAAATTTTGCTGTTAAAATTTGAATTTCGCGCCAATGTATCGCTCTATTGGGCGGGGCGCACTTGCGCCCATTGTCAGCTCTGGAGACCGTGAATTCAGAACACGTGGCGACTCGACTGATCCGTGAGAACGGAACGATTTGGGACAAAGTCACGTCTCGCTGGTTCTTCGTCCAACTCCTCAGCGCCACAATCACGGCCATCTGCATGGGCGCCGGTCTCGGATTGTACTACCTGACCGGCTTCTGGCCGCTGGTCTCCGCCATGATCGTCTCGACGATCGGTGCGATTTTCGTGTTTCGAAGACGACGCATCGACGAGTTGGCGTTCCTTCCGGTCACCTACATTTGCTGGATGGGCATGGCCGAGTTGGCGATTTTGTGAGTTGTAGCCGAAACTAACCTGATCAACGCATTACTAGAATCTTCGACACGGACGGCTTCATTCACTGGTCGATTCTGATGCTTCTATGCTCCATCTGGGTCATTTCTGCCACGTTTTACTGGGTGTAAGTGTCCATCCACCGTCCGTGCAAAGCTCCAATTTCCTTGCCCTTGTCAGCCTGATCATCACAAATCCGGGAGCGCTCGAGCGCAGCGCCGATCCGTTCGCCAAACTCGTTCGGAACGTCGAGGAGCGGGGCGTCGAGTCGTACTGCTTCACGTGCTGGATTCCGCGGCGTCGCGGCTCGCACCACTGTTCGCAGTGCGACACGTGCGTCGACGGATTCGACCATCACTGTCCGTGGATTAACAAGTGCGTCTATCGGCAGAACATTCGCTTCTTCCTCCTCTTCTGCCTCACCAACTTTTTGTTCGACGTGCTCTACGCGCCGCTGCTCGCCTACATCGCCGTCGTTTCCGTCGATCTCAACGGGTTTAGTGAGTCTCTGAAAAATACGTTGAATTTATCGATTTCCGACTGATTATAAACGTTTTTGTGTGCGAAAACTTGGCAATTTTGGCCGGAAACTCGAACTTTTTTCGTAAAATTGGAAATTATCGATTTTTGTCGTTTGAGAGTTTTTGAGGCAAACAGAATCTGCAAATTTTGAAAAATGAGCTCGCTTGCAGACGAAACCCTCCGCGATCACGGAATTCTCGTCATCAGTTTCTTCATCTCAATCTTGCACGTCATTGGCGCCGGCGCGATCACGTACACACAACTTTCGCAGGTCTCTCGCCACGTCACCACCATTGAGACGTTGCGAAAATCGCAAGAGGCGGGCAGTGAAAAGTGAGCGCAGATTTGAAGAAGCATCGAGTGAACTGTGATCATTTCAGAAGCACATCGGAAGAGTTTGACCCGTGGAACCATCGGCCGTCCGTGTCCACGAGGATCCGAAACGTATGGAATCTTTTGGCTTTTGATGAGTTTGGCGATGAGACGGATCGAATTGAGAGCTCGGAGACGTCTTCCGATTTGACCACCACCACTTTTACGCGAGTTTAAGACCGGCATCCCCAATTGTTTCCTCCGTTTTTTTTTTGAATTTCGAATGTTTTTTGTCTGAACACAATAAAGGAATTATTGTCAGTCCCTCAGACTACTCCATGCAAGTTTGGATTGAGATCACGGGGGGAAAAACTGCACTGGGTACCATTAGATCCGATCATGCTGATCGGATCATCAAATGTCAAGTATATTGATTTGAAACCGAAAATTGTCAATTTTTGAAAAAAATTAGAGCTTCTCGGTCTCGAATCCAAATATCTCAAATTAAGTATCCGATCAGCCTTAAACGTTCAAACTTAGAAGCGCCAAACCAAGACTGATCATCGTGTGAAGTAAGGATGCCATCGAATAATATGAAATAGCTATTGGGTCAAAAGAACAGTTCCCGAAATGCGAAGGATGCAAATAATGGAATAAAAAGTGAGCAAATTAGGTTAGTCTTCGTCACAACTGGATTCGTAGTCGATGGCGACGTGGAGACAGTTCTCGACGGCTTCCGAATCCATCGCCTGAGTGTGCTCCGCGTCTTCGGGCTCATCCGGCTCCTCTATTTTGATGTACGTCCCGTTCACCAGCTCTTCCATCCCCTCATGGATCGATCTTCTGCTCTTATTGCTCGCCGGCTCTTCTTCTTCCTCTTCCTGATTCTCAATCGGTTTCTCCTCATCTTCTGACGTCTTCCTGCTTCGTTTCACCTCCACCAGCACGTCGTTCTCATCCACCTGTATCTGATGACCGAGTTTCGCTTTGGCGCTGCAAAAAGTGATGTGTAAATGCGCTCCATCGCACTTTCGGGTGCAAATTCAATTCGGTGTTTTTCGGTAGAAAACGAGCAGAGCGCTGTTGTTCCTTTAAACGAAATCGGTGAATTCTCAGCTCACCTGATCCGAATCGGAAGTGGAATCGGAATATCGAGCAAATAGTAGAGCTGCATACGATCGCGAATTTTGATTCCGTCGATTTTGTGCAAATTCGGAACCATCTTTTTGCGATAACTGAAATTTGGCATTAAATTAGAGATTAATGGCCCGGGAGACGAACTGAGACGACAAATTCGAGGGGCTCCTGTCGCTTTTCGTGTCGTTCACGAATTTCTGCCAAAAACTGAGTCCTTTCGGTTTGATTTTCCCGTTTTCCTTCAGTTTATTGGAAATGTAGAGCCACATTTGCCGGTCCTCCGCGTCGGTGAACGCCTTTCTTCGCGGCGATTCGTCCATTTCCTCGATTTTCGGCGTATTTCGCTCTTCCGAAACTTGCGATTTCTCCAGACACTCTGGCATCATTTTCCACGTTTTCACCAGGTTCTGCGAATCGACACGCACCTCGACCCGGTCCGTTTCGGCCAAATGGTACTGTGCCCCGGTGTCGGCGGGCACTTTCAGCTGGACGCCCATATCCATTTTGATACGTGGTTCGATGTTCTGTTGCCAAAGATCCGGAAGCATTTCGCCGACGAAGCTGTGAAACGGGTTGATGTTTTGCGGGTGCAAGCATATCCAACTCACTGATGGGCCAGAACAGTCGCCGATGCACGAGTATCAATCTGAACGGTCCACAGAAACTCCTGCCAGAACGCGCGCGTTCTCACTCGGCTCGCACGCGAATTATCGAACTTCTCGCTCATAAACTTCCACATTTGGAGCTCGACGCCGCGCGAAACGGCGATTTCGTCGTCGTCGAAAACGTCGCCGCCCGGCTCTTTTCGCACTTTTTGCGTCGATTCGCCGGTGCCACGTGGAGCCGCGTCGACAAATCGATAGTCCTCGAGAATCCGATCAGAGTTGAGATGAAGAATTGCGGAAAACACGGCTTCCATTCTGGAAATTGGAAGTTTTTTGGTGTTTTACAGGAATGTGTACATTTGCTCAACGTGCTCCGAAATTTCAATGTGCAATCGTTTGTAGAGCTCCAAAATGTGCTCTCTGGGCAGCAGAAACTTGTACAATCGGCCTTTCATCGTCGAATTGTAGCTGAAAATCAGAAAACTCAAGAAAAAACTGTGGTGTTAGGTCAAAAACTCACAACTTGAACATTTTGTTGCAGGAAATCGGCGTCTCGTGCTCCTGTTTGTACTCTTCGAACAAATCCACATCGACACGCTCATACTCTCGGTTAACGATAATTTTTCTGAATAAAAACTCAATTTTCAACACTTTTCTGCCGGAAAAAAAACTGACTTGTGAATAAATTCCCAAATGGACATCTCGTTATTAATCGTCAATTCGTAATTTGTAGGCATTTTGCTGAAAAAAAAGCGACACCTTTTTTTTGCATTTCTGCCGCACACTTTTGACGGTCTTTAGCCGATTACGTAATGTTTGACTTCGGTTTTTGTTTCTATTGAGAAAAGAAGGACTTGGACCCAAAGGTAATGTCGAAACTTGTCGCAAACTGAATTTTTAATAAATTCATAAGGTTTCTTGGATTAAACTGTTCATTAAACTTTAAAGACATTCTGCTATATTTCAGGTTAGGAAACGCGTAAAAAATGAGAAAACTAGATAGTTAGTCGTTCGAGCTGAAGCAGAGGCGTCTGCGCAAAAGACGGCGTTTCGGTGTTTCAGAAGAATTCTGAGAAACTTTAAAATTATATTTATTCCGAATTCGATCAATAACCTCCTGATTTTGCTCCAAGTTGCGTTCCGGTGACATTTCCTTCGAGCGCTTTTGCATTTTGCTCTCCGGCTCCGGCTCATGCGGTGTTGGCGTCACTTTCCAACCGATAATCACCTCGTTTTAATCCACAGTGATGTCGTGGCCGAGTTGGACCTTCGCGCTACAAAAAAGTTGTTGTAAATTTCGGTCACGGCATCGAAAAATCGAAAAATAACAAACTTGATGCGAATTCCGAGGGGAATCGGGATGTGAAGGTTGTAGTAGAGCTCCATTCGATCGTTGAGGTCCATTGTCTTGACGGTGTGCAATTTCTCGGCTATCACTTTCCGATAGCTGAAATTTGGCCGAAAATTTAGAGATAACTGGCCCGGGAAACAAACTGAGACGACAGAGTCGAGGGGCTTCTGTCGCTTTTCGTGTCGCTCACGAATTTCTGCCAAAAACTGAGTCCTTTCGGTTTGATGCGCGCGTTTTCCTTCAGTTTATTGGAAATGTAGAGCCACATTTGTCGGTCCTCCTCGTCGGTGAACGCCTTTCTTCGCCGCGATTTCGACGGCGGCGTTTTTTGCGTTTTCGAGCTCCGATCAGAAGATGTCGGCGATTGATAGATGAATTCCCAAGATTCCACCAAATTCTTCGAATCCACACACACTTTGATGCGGTCTCGCTCCGCCAAACCGTACTGTGCGCCGAACTTGACAGGAACTTCCAGCAACTGAATCATATCTATCTTTTCGCGCGGCGTAATCTTTTGCCTCCAAAGTTTCGGAAGCCTCTCGCCAATAAACGTCCACATTTGGCGCTCCACTTTTATCGGAATTTCCGATTCCTCATTTGAATTCTCCGTTTTTTCGAGCATTCCGTCGGAATCTCGCATTCTTCGCTGAAATGTTCGGGAAAATGAGGGTTTACGCGAAAATTGAAAGAATTGATGAGAAATTTGAGAATCTGTCGGAATTTTGCATTCCTCGTCAAAAAAAACAGGAAACAGATGTGAAATTGATCAAAAACTTTGGAAAAAACCAGACAAAGAGCAGAAAATGAACCAACGGGGACTAGAAAATGCGCTGAAAACCTCGGCCATCCAGTGAACGTTTTCAAACTGAATTAATTGAGTTTTTTACAACTTCTGTATGAAAAATGCATTAAAGCATTGTTTTAGATAATAAGTTTCGATTAAACAGGGGAAAGCGGTGAGGGGGCGTGGTTAATTATCCGTCAGAAACTTTCCGTTCGTGCCATTTCCGTCGGGCGCCCTTGCATCGCAGCAAAAATCAAACGTGTTTTTTACAAGCATTCTGAAACGCTTCATTTTTCCGAATTTCCTCTAAAAATCCTCCCGAATTCGATTCATTCCACCTCATCAATTTAGATCCTTCTCTGTCACATACACATGAATCACTCAATGGAAGAGACGGAGAGAAGAAGACGCGTTCAAGTGGAAAACGAGTCGGAAATTGATACTCCTTGAAAAGGGGGCGAGCCGACCCGCGCGGATCTCTTTGTTCTCCGTCGGCGTCTCTTCGTGCCGCGCACTCTCTCGGCCGCCCCTCTTGTGTTACGGTTTGCCGACTTGTCTCTTCCGATTTACCACAAACGCACATGATTTACATGGTTTGCACATTTAGAAGTCATGTTTTGAGGTTCTTTTTCACTGTTGTAACCATTTTTACAAAGTTTTCTCCTCCATTACACATTTTATTCAGACTTGCAACGGGCCGGGCCGGGCCAAAATTTGAAATTTTCCGGCCCGGCCCGTCCCGGCCCGGTCGGCCCGGGAGGATGCACCTAAAAATTCAAAGCGAACTAGAACTTCGAAACGAACATAATTTTAGACTTAAAATTTTATAGACTTAAAAAGGCAATGTTATAGCATAAAAACCTGTTAAAAAATAGAAATTGCTGTTTAAAGTCGCAAAATTTTCACAAAAATTACGAAAATTTTCTCAAGAGTGGGCGGAGCCGGGCCGACCGGGCCGGGCCGGCCCGGGATTTGGCAAGTTTTATTTATTCAAATTTGTCTTCCCGAGCCGTTAATGTCAGAGTTGAGCAGATTTCCGCCTTCCGCCGCTTTTTCCATTCCGCCTTCCGCCTTTTCAAGAAATCGATTCAGCTCAACTTTGGTTTGTCCCGAAAATATAAATGTTAAGCGATAAAGATGCATCTCGCGCGAGTCGAACTTTTCCTTTTTTTTCATATAAATTTCCTGTCAGCGTACAGTTTTCCGATGCCCCTAACCCTCTCTGGCGCCCATTTCTCTTGCACGAATTGATTGGGATCTTGAGTGATTGAGTGACACCTCGCAAATTCGGCGGTGGTGAAATATGGCAAGTAGGCGAGGGCGGTTTGGCGCAGAGATTGATCACTCGGGCAATTGGGTCATCATTTCGAAGCTGAGAGGCGTTGCCCTTTTTTTCCCGTTTCATAAAAGTTGTTTGGAGGTTCGTCTTAATTTCAATCGGTAGAATCTCATTTCTCGAAAAATTGTGCACACTTGACCACTTTTTGATAGCTCCATAGACCGCTGAGAAATATCGATTTGAATGAAGGATGACTAGTATTACTGTTTAATTCTAATCAGATGAATTCGTGAAACGTATCCTCCTCAATAGTCCCAACTATGGCTTCTATCCCAGCATTTTTGCTAGACATTCGACCAAAAAACCTTGAAAAAACACATTTTACGATGCGTTCTCTCGCTAATTCGACCTTGCCCGTCGATGATCAATTGCCGATTTCGTCACCATCCCATCCAATTTGCCTCTTATCTTTTTATCACTCTTTTTCTAATCACAATCTCTCTCTCTCTCTCTCTGCGCAATCTTCTCCTTCGCTCAAGTAGTTTCTGACTCAGCCCGCGCCTACAAACACACTCTTTTTGATATATATATAAAGGAAGAAGAAGTGAGTCATTGACTGTCCAATTAGTGTCACACTTGTATTCGTCACTCTTTTTCCTAAAAAAAAAGTTCCCAAAAATGCATGCGACTTGATCGCTTTTGGCCTGCCACTACCCGGATCTTTACCGTGGCGCAGTGGCAACGTTTTGGATTTCCAAACTTGAAATGCTCGTGGGTTCGAATCCTCGAGCGTTGAAAACATTTTTGCAAAGCTCAACAAAAGCGCCAAGCTCTCGGAGGCAGCATAAGAAATGAAATGTCATGTCATGTCCCTTTTCCATTTCCCTCCCCCCTTTCCTTTGCTCTCTCTCTCTCTCTCTCTCTCTCTGTCTCGTGCTGCCCTCAATCCATAAAAGTGTCCCTCTTTCCTGCAGCCCCCGGGACCTTGCCTTGTTGACCAAGTAGGCAGAAGCAAATATTGAATGCATTTCAGTGTTGTGTGTGTTGATTTCTAACGCATGCTTCTGAAAATTTAGAACTTTTTCACAAAATTATGAGTTTTCTGCTTCAGACACCCCTCGAAACTGTTGTAGCTTTTACCAAATGCTGCTTCTTCTTTGGCGAAACAGAAAAATCTCCGTTCGCGCATTTTTTTTGTTCGATGCACCATGATCCCGCTATTGTCCATTTCCCACACAGTATATCGTTGACCACTCGAGAGCGAGAAGGACATTGACAAATCATCAAGTGTATTCGATTCCTCCAATGTCCTTCAACGCCCATTCATAGTGGACGAGAATGATGATGATTGGGGGGGGGGGGTCTCACCCTTCCGAAAAAGGTAAACTAATTGAGATGTACACTCCCGAAAATCCGTCTAATTACCTACTTCTTCTCTCTCTCTCTCTCTCTCACTCTCTTGCTTCGTTTCGTGACAATACCAATAACAATACAATAATCGTTAAACTTTTCCACTTTTCCGTTTCTTTTTGCGATAATCATAAAATTGACGACGACGGCGGAGGAGAACGAACAAATTGTAGGGTGAGAGAAAGAGAAAGCGCTCGTTCTCTTTCACTTCTGTTTTTCCACCTGCCATTCATTTTCGCACAATTTCTCGCCATCTCTCGCCAGCCACCCGTTTTTATACATGTTAATCCGTATTTCATAATAATCCGTACCTAGTGATCGCTCACAAAAATGCTAATCATGACTCAAAGTTCGGCGAAAGTAGTCCGACGCTCAAAAGTTTCTACTAAAAATAGGCAGTTTCACTTGGTCCCCTTATATTTTTCCATAACTCGAAAATGAATAATTTCTGCGTTCAAACTGTGCCAGATCTCGAGATGTACCCAAGAAAAAGAGCAGGCGAGTTTGTTGCCCCCCCATCTTTTCTCGTCTCTCTCTCTCTCTCCATTTCTAATTTAATTTGGGCAGCTACCAGCTTCGTCGCTTTCATGTCAAGCTCAATTTCCGTCCCCTCTTCCCCTTTTTCCACATTTTCGGCGCAGTTTTACATTCGAATTTCTGACGGAGAACAGGTGAAAAGAGAAATCCATATCAACCCTTTTGATAGTCATAATCATGCGATCACATTACATTTCTATTGTAGAGTAGACGAAACAGAAATCTGTAGATTGTCAAAGAAACAGTGTTTACGCGTGCTTTTTCTTTTCCCCTCAAAATATATTGTTTGTCCAGACGACATCTGCACAACATCTGTCCACCGTTTCGCTCTTTTCCTCGCGGAGTCACTTGTAAACTTTACATTTCTGTTGCAAATTCTCCACTTTTAGTCGAAAGTTTTCGATGTTTCACTTGCTGCTTAGCGTCTTTGAACCCTTTTGAACGAGTCGAGCTGGAACTTTCGAGAATATTGTGAAATACCGCCAGATTTGCTCATCTGTGACTCACCGCCGAGGCGTTACAGTTCGATACATTTCGCAACATGTTTTTCGATTGAGACACACACACACACGTGAAAAATGAGCAAAAAGATGTGCACCGTTGCTCACCGTACAACAAAAGAAACGAGAAAGAAGAGGCGCCTGTTTGTACTCGCGATTATATTTCGCGCCCTTTCGCTCTCTCTCTTTTTGCCGTCCCTCCGTATATATGTATGCGCAAAGGTGAGAAGTGAATACGGTTTCACACGTGGCATTTCATTTCGTCCGGTCGCCGTTTTGTTCGATTTGTTTCCTTGCTTCGTCTCTCAGCTGTGAGTAGAGATGGCGAAAATGTGTTGTATTTCAAAGAACGATTCGGACTTGCCAAATTACGGGCCGGCCCGGCTCAAAAGGCGCGAATTCAAATTTTTGGGGGAAATCTATTTTTTCGTTTTTTTTTTGCGGGGATCAAAATTAAAACTTTTGCTTTGATGCCAATAAAAACTATTTTTGAGAACCGCATTTCTTTTTATGCTCGATACTTGCAAAATTCGTTAGTTCTACGAAAAACAAACATTTTATTTAATCAATAGTTCAAAATTTGGATTCCCGCTTTTTGAACCGGGCCGACGGGCCGGAGTTTTGAAAAATAATAAAAAAATTTTTAGGCCCGTGGCAATTCTGGAACGATTCACGGTCTCCAGAGCTTACAATGGGCGCAAGTGCGCCCCGCCCAATAGAGCGTAGAACATTGGCGCGAAATTCAAATTTTAACAGCAAAATTTGTGTTTTTTGCCAGATTAGCCACGAAAAACCGATAATTTCTCATTTTTCTCTCGATAGACCGATTGTTTAGGAAATTACGAATTTTTTAAGCGCAAGAGCGTTAAATTTGGTCATGTCGCAAATCACATTTATCCGTTTGAAGGTTTTTGGCTAAAACTGCGTGAATTTCTGCTGCTTTTCGGTAATTTTCGCGGTTCGAGCGCTCAAAATGCTTGTATTTACGTAATTTATCATTCTCAAAATCAATTCTGTCTGAAAACGGTCAAAAAAGCGCAAAATGAGAAGAAAAGTGGTGAAAAAAAATTTCGAAAAAGCAAAGTCCGCGAAAAATGCGCCAAAACGTCATTAATTCTGTGAGAATTAGTGTGTTTTCATGTCGAACAATCATTTTTCATCGCCGTTGACGACAAAAATCAGAGAAAACCTGCTCAATTCATAAAAACGCCATTTGGCCGCCGAGGCCACGCCCATATTGTCAGCTCTGGAGACCGTGGCGCGATTGTAAAATAGAAAGTTTAATAAAAGTTTGAAAAGGTATTTACACGTTCGTTGTGAATTTGAAAAATGAATTAAATTATGCAAATACAACTTCCGTTTCGCCGTTTGCAAAACTTTTGATGAATAACTGAAACTGTAACCTCTTCTTGGTGTCTTGGTGTCATTTTCTGGCGGCTTTTCCGTCAATTTAACCGCTTTTTGGACGTCGTTCTCTCTCTAACGATTCTTTTGTGCCTACAATTGTGCATTTATCGATTTGCTTTGCCGTTTTCCCCCTTCTACTTCTCCTCGCCGCCCTACCTTTGCTTTCATCGTTTTCAGCCGAGAAGAATGTCGCGACGTGGCTACTATCGTGCCGAAGAGGAAATCGTACAAGGTATGCGTGTGAACAGGCCAAAAAAACAATGGTGTGAATGAATTTGATCGATTTCAATGCATGATGCATTCATTCATTCATTCACTATGCAAATATCATCTCTATCGGGCCCCCAGTTTGCATGCCATTTTTTTTACTCGTTTCCTTCCCTTCCCTTCTATCATTCCGTTCATTTATTTCCAAAAAAAACTATTACAATTTCACACCACATTTTTGTGCCCCGTTTTCCAGAAAAGATCCTCCACCGCGATCCGGGCATTTTCGAGGAGAACTACGCGTCGAAACCGCCGTCGCGACGCTCATCGTACGGAAAGAATCCGGAGAGTGTGGTGAATCAGAAGCACGCGCAGCCACTCCCGTCGCCACTCCATTCGCCCGTCAAAATTGGGAACCGCAGCGGAAACACGCGTCGGGAGTCGGAGCCCAGTGAGTTTTGATCGTGTAGAACGGGCGCATGTATCTCGTTGGTGAGTAGAGATATGAAAAAGTTGTCAACTAAGAAAATGTTCATCAAGACTTGCTGTACATTTTGTCTGTTGACAACTTTTTGATATCTCTACCCGCGACTGAGATAAATCGCTTTGAATGCATGGTGTCAGACTTCAGTTTCATAAATGAAACATAACAGCTCTGACATTTCAAAATTGGGGGGGAAAAAAAAAACGTGGCCGCTCCTTTCATTTCCATCCATTGTTCGGCTAATCGGAATCTTCCAGAAATGGCGCCGGTCCGCTCGAACTCTCGCGGCTCCTCCTCTTCATCCGACGAGGATCTGGGCACGCGTTCGGTCACCGTCTCGATTCTCAAAGATTCGGGAACAAAAGTCGAGATTATGCTGAAGGCGCACGGGCTGAAAAAGAAGAAGAGCCTGCTCAACTCGCTCGTCACCGCCTTCAAAAAGGTTCGGTTTCGTTTTGCACCCGCCCTGGAACCTCATTGATCGCATTTTCAGCCGAGCCAACCGTCTCGTCTGTTGGCGAACGGAAAATTCACGGAATTCGTGCTCACCGAGCATTCGCTCCGATTTCTGCTAGAGGTGAAGACTGACAAAAAGAAGAAGAAGGGTACGTTCGAGTTTTTGAGCCGATAACGCGCGTTTTTTTTAAGGAAACGGCAATCGATTGGACACGTTTTTGTGCGAAGTGAAGAGGTTCCCGACTGACGTGAATCCGGACAGCGCTGAATTTGAGGTTGGCACTAGTTTTTACGAGGGCATGAGCCAGAAAAGTGTTTCTTCAGGTGTTGGAGCCCGCGTCGGGAGAAGCGTTCATCCTGCTGACGCTCATCAAAACCGGAAATCTTTCGACAAACTGGAAAGAGTTTCTCGACTCGAACGGAACCATCGATGTCACAATGATCTAGACCCCCTCCCTTCAATTCTCTTCTTCTTCTTCTTCTTTGTCTTCTCTCAAATGTGCATACGGTTTGGTCGCCCATTATTACCCCCCCTAACTGAACTTAATATTACTTTACATTCACATCTTTATTCGGCGTTTTGTTTGTCTCGAATATACTTTGCAACTCAAATCAGCTCCAAGCGCAAAATGGTCAGAAAACCGGTCCTAAATCTGGTCGATGCATGTCTTGTTGTGGTCTGAACAGCTGGGGATGTAGTCGTGATAACAGTAGTTTATGGTGTCGAATTCGATGGAGATCTCACCAATTAGGCACTGTATATACTCATTTCTGCAATTTCTGCAATTACCTGCAATTTTCTGCAATTTTCTGCAATTCTCGCAATTCTGCAATTCTTCTGCAATTCTGCTTCTGCAATTCTGTTTTTCTGCTTCTGCAATTCTCGCAATTCTGTAATTCTACAAGTCTGCAATTCTGCTTCCGAAATTTTCGCAATTCTGCTTCTCCAATTCTTCTGCAATTCTGCTTTTCTGCTGCTGCAATTCTGCTTTTCTGCAGCTGCAATTCTGCTTTTCTGCTGCTGCAATTCTGCTTCTGCAATTCTCGCAATTCTGCAATTCTGCAATTATTCTGCAATTCTGCTTCTGCAATTCTGATATTTTTCTGCAACTCTGCTTTTCTGCTTCTGCAATTCTTTTGCAATTCTGCTTTTCTGCTTCTGCAATTCTCGCAATTCTGCTTTTCTGCTTCTGCAATTCTGCAATTCTGCAATTCTTCAATTCTGCAATTCTGCTTTTCTGCAATTCTGCAATTCTGCAATTCTTCTGCAATTCTGCAATTCTGCTTTTCTGCAATTCTGCAATTCTTCTGAAATTCTGCAATTCTTCTGCAATTCTGCAATTCTTCTGCCATTCTGCAATTACCCTCAACTTGGAAATTGATACGAAACACTCCCTGACCGTCTGAATTAGAAGTGTAATCTCTTTGACATCCGATCCGTTCACATTTATCGTGTACCCGGTCCCAACTTCAACTCTCCAAGAATCGCCCGGCCTGCCGAAAAACCGAACGTTACCAGTTGGCAACTTTTGCACAGAATCTGCTCAGAAGTTGCTCAAATGTTGCTCAAAACCTGCTATCACCCCAAAGTTTGCGAGAACACTTGTTTCAGAAGCCGTCAGTAGGTGATAGGTCTTCGGACGGGGGGGCCTTATCACAAAGTTCCTTTTGTAAACATTTCTCTCGGTACTCTGCTCTTTTTCGCGCCTCTTATCAAACCGCATTTTTGTGTGAAAAGTGTATCATAAACCCTTTGCAGAGGATTTAAAAATTTCCGATTTCTTCAACTCGAATGTCGGACGAATGTAAATCACTCCCAATAACTATTGTCTCTATACATTTTCGCTTTTTTTCCAGCCAACTTGTCTTCGTCTTATGACTATATCGGTCCACGTTCTTCCGCGCACAAACTCGAGTACAGTCCGTTCACTTATTTCCTATTTCGAAACGAAAAAAGGAAGAACAAATGTTGGTGGATAATAGTTGGCGCTCTGATTGTTCTCGTTATTGTTGTCCTACTTGGATTGGGGTTGTATTTCGCGTTTAGACCCGGAAATGATGGACATCACAGTAAGGACGAGAGAATTTGGCGGTTAATGATGATTGACGGCTCTTCAGACACAACTACTGTCTCTTTATCAACTCAACTATTCTCCTCCACGTGGTCCCCGAGTACCAGTACCTTAATCTCGACTACAATTACAAACACCCAACACGAAACTTCCACACTGCCCGTATCACGTAGGTTTCGAACTTGTGAATGCAATTCTTGACAACTTTTCAGCAAAAACATGCCTACCTTCTACCGCAACTACCCTATTCGTCGGCTATTCAAACGATATCGATCCACAACTATTTCTCGATTCTGTGTTCACCACCCTCAAAACGCTTCACGTGCCCGTCTACAATTTTGCGCAGTTCGCCAATGTTCGGCTCGATAGTGGGCCGCCCGACGAGTCGATTCAATATCATGACAATCAACAGTACGTATCTCGGTTGCGAGTAGAGCTATCGAAAAGTTGTCAACTAGAAAAATGTGTAAAATTTGTTGATGAACAATTGTCTAGTTGACAACTTTTTGCTATCTCAACCCGCAACAAAGATGTGTGTCGATTTGAGCAGAAGTTTCCTGAACTCGATCAAGAAACTTCTTCCCGCCGGCTCTCCCGTCGCCAATCCGCACATTCCGAGCAATTCAGTGGAGATTGTTCGGAAATTTCTGAGCAACACTACAAATCATTTGTGCGGCGCGAAAATCTTCATGCTTTTACATCGTGATTCGAATTCGACGGATGTGTCCGATGTGATCGCCAGCCTTCAGCGAAACCATGCGTTTGTGTACGCGACACGGATAAACGGGACGAATCGGATGAAGGACGATGCAATGTACGACCTGACGACTCAATCGAACGGCTTCTTCGACGTCGCCTGGTATAGTAGGATCGAAAAAATGCGAGAGGGATGTGCCTACTTTACCCTTATGACCGAAAACGATTTGTTCTACAGTGTCAATCTGAAGGTGAGCGGGCGGGGGACTAAACAGTTGCCGATCCTGTCGATTCCTCGTTCGGATCCACCGGATACTCCTGTCTTCATTATTACCGTTTCGGAGAATGGTGCCTTGGACAACTTCAAGTACATGAACCTTACCACTTCGAACAGTCGCGACGTTCCCAATCGGTTCAGCTTTGACTACGATAGACTTTTAAACATTGTATGTGTACATAGTATTTGGCAACTCTTTTTAATAAATATTATTAGGTTTTTAGGAGCAAGACACGAGTTATTTTGGAGAAAGTGCCATGCAGCAAGATTTGTCCTTCTCCGTCTCACTCGATTACGAATTCTCGTCTTCTGAAGAGGTGCCGATTCAAATCAGAAGTTATATTATTAAGTAAGATGGCATACATACGTTTCACATGACAATTTGTTTGGTTTTTGCAGACATATCATATCCTTCTGGCCGCCGTATTTTCATTTAGATTGAGAGCAATCCGATCGTGCAAAGTGGCGGTTCAAAAGTCCATTGCCGAGCCTTGATTGAGAGTCAATCAATGTTGGACAAGCCGTGACTAAATCTTTCAATAAAACTTTATTCGTCTACACACAAACACACGCACAAAAATAAATCAACTGTTCGAAAGCCATTTGAGCAGTCTCCACTTGCCAAAATCCTCCGTCATTTGTCTCGCCTTCATCTCGAGCGTCGTTCGTTTGCGTATTTCCTCCATCTCCAGCTTTATGTACATCCACTCTTCGAACGGAAACTCGGACTTTTCGGTGCACGCTCCCGGAATGTTCTCGAGATTCTGTCAAAACGCGTTTTCACCGTCTCCAGAGCTGACAATGGGCCCAATAGAGCGATAGATTGGCGCGAAATTCAAATTTTTACAGCAAAATTTGTGTTTTTCGCCAGATTAGCCACGAAAAATCGATTATTTTTCAATTGTGTCTCGATAGACCGAGTGTATAGGCTATTACGAATTTTTTAAGCGAAAGAGCGTTAAATTTGGTCAAGTTTGAAGGTTTTTGGCTAAAACTGCGTGAATTTCACTTGCTTTTCGGTAATTTACGCGGTTCGAGCGCTCAAAATGCTTGTATTTACGTCATTTATCATTCTCAAAACCAATTCTGTCTGAAAACGGTCAAGAAAGCGCAAAATGAGAAGTGCGGTTTTTAGGCGGCGATCGGCGACGAAGGCGAAAAAGCAAAGTCCGCGAAAAATGCGCCAAAACGTCATTAATTCTGTGAGAATTAGTGTTTTTTCATGTCGAAACCCATTTTTCATCGCCTTTGACCACAAAAATCAGAGAAAACCTGCTCAATTCATGAAAGCGCCATTTGGCCGCCGAGGCCACGCCCATATTGTCAGCTCTGGAGACCGTGAAACGCCATTTTCCTATACTTTAATGGGGCGATTCAGCGTATGTTTGTTTTCCGTTTTTTCGTTTTTTTTTTACATCGCTGAATTGGATTTTTTGACGTAAAAAAAACAAAAAAAAACGGAAAACAATCATTTTTTTCACAGCCTGAATATAAAAAAACATCCGATGCTTACCGCGTCCTCTCTACAAATTCTGACAAGCTGACCGCACGACGACTTGTTTGCGACGCACACTCCCGCCGGTTTGTCCACGTTGATCCATCTCCAAATGTTCGGATCTTGAGCGTCGATGGCTCCGTCGGGCACGTTGACGAGCATGTCCCACACGTGTTCAACGTCGGCTCCGATCGACACAAGAATATCGGCATTGCGGAGGCGAGCGACACAGTCAACCAGATGCCACATGTCGACGACGTCGATCGCCTTCATCGAGTGACAGTTGAGCAAGGATGCGTTGAGATCGATGACACGGAACATGAGCACGCCCATTCCGTCCGTCGGAAATATGTTCACAATTCTGATCAACACGTGGCGAATACCTCCGTTCGTGCCGAACTGTTTGACAAAGTGCGGCGATTGTCTGCGTCCGATTATCCATTTGTTAATGTTGCGCGGTTTGCACTCGCTTCCCAGATCGAATTCGTCGCGCATGAACACCGTGTCCACACAGTCGATGCGAACATTCTTGGCGGAGAGGAGAAGTGTGACGAGTCCCTGCGAGTCGCGCGAACGCACCGGACGGAACTCGACAATTTCCGTTTCGCTGAACACCACCACCACGTTGTCCGTTTCGCGTCGTTCCACTTTTCGATTCCACCAACCGGTGCAGCCAAGTTCCTCTCGCGGTAGGATGCGCAAGTAGGGAATGTGAAGAGGCGTCGCGTCGACGAGAAACTTATCGGATTTCGAGCATTGACGTAAAGTGAATCGGAAAATTAGCAATCGAAAAGCGGGGCGTTGAAATGAGGCTATTCAGAGGATGAAAAAAAGATTGTTTTCCGCTTTTTTTTCCCTATTCAGCAATGTCAAAAAATGGAAAAAAACGGAAAGAAATGCATCGCGCGCAGGCGGGTCTCGCAGCGATTTCCCGGACGCGAAGCAGCATGCGGCTACTGTGAGAGACGTTTTATGAGTGGATTTACGAAAAACTTTCTGATTTTTCATCGAAATTGCCACATTTTCCCGCTATTTTGAACCGATTTTCACCGAAAAGCTCAATGTTTTGAACGATATGACTAGGCACTCGAAACTATCAACAAAAAAAAAAGAATTCAAGCGAAATCGGCCGGAAATAGCGGTAAACGTGGCAATTTCGCATCAGTTACCATAACAGATAAATAAGAACTGAAATTCCGTTGAAAATCGGTTGAAAATAGCGGGAAAACGTGGTAATTTCGCTGAAAAATTGGAAAAAAAAAATTCCCCCTTCTCGTAAATCCACTCGCGTCCGGGAAATCGCTGCGAGACCCGCCGGAAAAAAACGCTGCGAGCGATGCATTTCTCTCCGTTTTTTTTCCATTTTTTTGACATCGCTGAATAGGGAAAAAAAAACGGAAAACAATCATTTTTTCATCCCCTGAATAGCCCCAAAAATTGAGAGCTAACTTTGTAAAGAACTCAGTCCTCATGATCACCTCCATCTTCATCTCGGCTGGCAGATCATTCCAGTTGAGGGGAACGCTTCTGCCCGCTTTCAATCTGCGAGAAGAGCAGCAGGAAATCATTGAAATACTTTTTGCACATTCCCAGTTGTAGGCTGTCCCATGTCGTTGGAGTTCACGCAGTTTTTGATTTTGTGCCATATAAATACCGTTTATTCGGGAGGACGCTATATCTCTTTTGTCGGTTAACGCGCACTGTCTCCCCAATAGCTAATGCTAAATTGAGCGCCGCGTTAAAACGGAGTGTCGTTGAAAACAAAAGCAGGTCTGAAATTTCTGAATGATTTTTTCCGAAAACCCGAAATTTCATTGGAAAATGAGAAAAATGAAGTAAAACAGAGCATTTCAGAATTGTTAATGACAGCTGTGACGTTAAATTCGCGTTTTTCCCACAAGAAAGCGCGCAAGAAAGCGCGCAAGAAAGCGCGCGCAATTTTCTGTGAATTTCAGTCCGGCGCCTCAAAAACTGAAATTTCTCAGTGATTTTTGCATTTTATGGGCCGTCTCTGTGCTCAAAATGATCGCCTTTGTCTGCTGAACAATCGTGAGGCAACTGTTTTCTCAAAATTTCCAAAAGTTTGTTTTTTCAAGCCAAATATCTAAAAAACGAAATTGTTCTTCGAATTTTCACTTTTACACAAGAACTCTGTCATCATTTTGTAGCTATCGGTCATATGAGGCAAAAGTTTTGAAGAAAAAGTGTGCATAATCCCAAAAAACTCAGGGAAAACATCATTTTCAGTTGAAAAACTGTATCCCGTAAATCGACACTGAGAGCCGCGCGCGAAAATTATTTTCGCCGAAGGGGAGACATCATCAAAAAGTTGTCAACTAACAAAATGTGCACAATTTCTTGAAGAACAATTGTTTAGTTGGCAACTTTTTGCTATCTCTACACACAGCTGGAATATAGTAGCTTCACGGCAACAAAACATCGACTGGACTGAAACCGAACAAAAATCGATATTTACACGCTGAACGGAGCATACAATAAATAACGAGAAGTGCCTAAGGCGGAAAAGTGAGCGAAGGATCATAGCTGCACACAAAGTTCATTAGTTGATTTGCTTCGAAAGTGCTCCATTTCGTGTCGACGATGCTCTCGGCCGCGTAGTTATCCGCCATTCGAGTGTTGAAGTTGCTCCACCCGAGCGCTTTTTCATCGTCCCAAATCCACGTGGTCGTGTTGCGGCTGAGCCCGATCCAGAATTCGCCGTGCACAGTGCCGAACGCGGTTTGAGCAAACGCTGAAATGGATGAGAGTTGGATTTTTTGGCGAGTCGACGAGTTACCGGCGAGGAAGTTTGCAGTGAATTGATCCGGAACATATGCCAAGTAGGATGCCGGATTCATGCGCTTATGGCACCAGTTTCGGGCGTCGTTGAATGAGAGCTTTTGGTTGACCAACTTGAAGCAGAACCTTCCGATCAATCGGTCCTCGGCTTCAAAGCAGGGGCCACGCGGCGACGAACTGCTGACGAGAGGAGCCGCAAAGAGAATTCACGTTAGAACGGAAAGTATGGCCGCGTATTCTAATAGTCAGTGTTTCTTTTAACTAGGGAATGGCCCGCACTTACCTTGGGCTTTTGCAATGGGACCTATATATGATTCAAAAGAGAATTTCACGGAGAATCCGAATCTGCTCTCCATTTTTTTGCTAAAGAGCACTGGCTGGCGAGAAAATCTGCCGGATTCTGCCACATTTTCCTAGCAAGTTCATCTTCGGCGACCTGTATCTCAAGAACGACGCGTCCGTTGCAAAAGTGGTCAACTAGTAAGTTAACGCAAATTATCTCGTGAATAATTTTGTAGTTGATCGTCTATTTTCAAAAAAATTAGTTTTCGAGTTATCGTCGCTCTGACCCCAGCGCTAACTTTTTTATTGTCGCTCTAGGAAAACAGTTCGTAACTCGAAAACTAATTTTTTAAAAAATAGACAATCAACTACAAAGTTATTTACGAGATAATTTGCGTTAACTTACTAGTTGACCACTTTTGCAACGGACGCGTCGTTCTTGAGATACAGGTCGCCGAAGATGAACTTGCCAGGAAAATGTGGCAGAAACAGGCAGATTTTCTCGGCAGCCAGTGCTCTTTAGCAAAAAAAGTGGAGAGAAGATTCGCATTCTCCGTGAAATTCTCTTTTGAATCATATATAGGTCCCATTGCAAAAGCCCCGAAGGTAAGTGCGGGCCATTCCCTAGTAAGGCTCGAGTATAGGCCTTCTAAATTTGACGTGTCAGGAAACTCACTAGTTGTCGCTCTTGTCGTAGTTCTTTTCAGAGCTGAACGTTTATTTGATTCAGAATCCAAAACGGTTCTAGCACTTACAAGTAGTGGTGATTACGGTGGTCCTAGTGATCGTCGGAGAAGTTACTCTTCTTGTTGTGGTTGAGGAAACTGTGGATGTTGTAGACAAAGTTGGACCTAAAAACTTCAAATTTTTAGTCAACATCTAGCTCTCGCTACCTGTTTTCATTTGATTATGCACTGTTATGACAAGATACGTGGCAAGACAAATGACAATCGCGTTGATTACCATCAAAAGGATGAGCCAACCGATTTTGAGCGAAAAGCAACCGGTTTTGCTCTTACGGAATAGAAAATTCCGAAGGGATATGTGCTCGAGAAATCGGTAGCCTGAAAAAATGTTGGGTATTGTGCTAGAAGTGGTCTCTAGACCGACCTTCACTGGGCGATATTGTAGATGGGGATATGTGGTCGTAGATTTCGTCTACTGAAAAAGTTTACCTCTCACTTACACCCAACAAGATCTCACTTTGAGCTATCGAATCGGCGTACGGATTGATGAATGCGTAATCGAGTGTCTCTTCAAAAAAAAAAAAACAAGTGTTGTTCGCCGACACCGAGGAATATTGCGAAACGCTTACGATGTGTAGTGGCGATGCTCTCGGTGCGTTCGTGGATGGTCGCAAACATGTCACACATTTCGTGTTAACAAGTGTTAATGTGATGGCACTGAGAGGCATTTTAAGGCGATAAGAAAAGGAGGGAGAGGAAGGGCTTTTGCCGGTGATTTCTTGGACGGAGTCAATCAGTATGATGAGGCCAAGTAGGGAAGTTTAGATGAAAAAAGTGTTATCGATCGGATTTGTGACGCTTCCCGTACATTTTCATTGGTTTCTACGGCTGAAACGTGTTTTCACCATACTCAAAAACGATTTGAGGAGCCGACTTTCAGCTGTACATTGCTTTGAACAAAACAAAAGTTGTGTAGTATTGAAGAATGTCTGAAGTTTGGAAGCAATGTATCGCATAGAGACCAGAGTTGAGCGGAAATGGAATTTTGAACTCCGGAAGACGGCAGACGGAAGAAAATTTTTTTTTCGGAACACGGAAAACGGAAGACGGAAGTAAATTTTTCTCACGGAAGACGGCAGACGGAAGACGGAAGAAAACTTTTTTCGAGGAAGACGGAAGACGGAACAAAAAAATCCACGGAAGACGGAAGACGGAATTCCGCTCAACTCTGATAGAGACATCAAAAAGTGGTTAACTGATGAAACGTGTAGAATTTCTTGACAAACAATTTATCAGTTGCTCACTTTTCCCAATTCGCTCGAAAAACCCAAAAAGAGGGGGTTTGGCGATTGCATTTTAGGCCTGAAAATATGTAAAATTCAGGGGGTTTGGAGTGTGTGTGTCAAAGACTGCCACAATTTCGGTGTTTCTAGTGAGGAAAAGAGGGTGTTCGGAGAAACGCAAAATATCCTGAATAGCAAAGAGGAGAAGATGAGGAATGGTCGTGGTTTAGAAGCGAAGAAATACAAGGAGATCATTCAAAAAGAGGTCACAGATGAGTTCCAGATGAAGATGACAGATGAAGATGAGTTCCAGTAAGGGAAACTCAAAAACACATACATTTTTTGCTTGATTTATCAAAATTTATTATACGAAGGAAGTTATTTAGATTGTAATTGATACAGAAACAATCATCAGATGAAGACAAGTTGTTATACAACACAATTAGCGATATTATTGACATTTCGACGATTTGACGTATGCGAGAAGCTCGTCGAGTTTGGCAGACATTTCGGCGGATCCAGTGAGGAAGATGTTGTTGGTTGGGGGTGGAGACGGAGAAGAATCGGACTCAGACTCTGTGGATCGAGCTGTCGGTGCTTTGATTCCAAACAAACGCACAATATCCTTGTCCATTTTGATGCCTCCGACGGCAGTCATGTTCTCCTCCTTCTTCCGCTGCTCCTTGCGCTCCAACGATTTGATGCGTCCGATCAGGTTGACAACATGATCCGTCGTGTCCATTTGGTAGAGGTACTTGTGGCACAACTCACGAATACCGTACTTTCGGTAGAGATCCAATGAGATGGGCACTCGGATCAGACGGATCAACGAGTGGACCAAGTGAACGCCGTTCTCCAAGTTGACCGCGTACCTGTGAACTTTCCGTTCCACTTCAGAAGCGTCCTTGGACAATTTCGGAATGATCGACACGGATCCAGAGTACATGCAACTGGATTCCGGGTAGTCCCACGTGGCATAGTACTCGCACGAATTGATAGAAGAAGAAGTAGTAAACCAAGTGGAAGACATAGTTGTTGACGTTGCGTTGCAGGCAAACTGAATGACTGACGAGCAATGGTCCTTATATAGTTTTCCAGAGAGTATACGGTCCGCTCAGTGGGCGGAGCGGCCCTAAAAATCGAGTGCATACGTGGAGTTGTTCAACAAGAGGCATAGATGCGGCTCATTTTGCTCCTGGCAAGAGGTCCCATAGGGTAGACTGTAGGAATAAGACTAAACAACAACAACAACAATTTTAATTATAGAAATACAATACGAAACTAGGAAATGGGATGATATAATGCATACAAACAAATTGAAAGATTCTTGGTTCCACATCCACTACATCAATCTTGAAATCCTTCTCGTTTCCTAACGGATCATAGCTGCACACAAAGTTGATCTGAACCAAAAGTGCTCCATACCAGACGGTCTCCTAAGATTATCCTTTTCAGGGCAACCTTCCGAGCCTTTTTCAGGGCTCCCTCAAGACCGTACGAGACGGTGCAAATTTCATGTTTCGACGAGCTTATATACACCTTCGTGGGCGTGTCGTAGACGTCGCCAGATACTGGTGCCACTACAGTAATCCTCTTACGTCCCGGACCAAACGACTGCAAACTTGCTGGCTTGTGAGTTCCCCTCTGATCACAGCACCTTATCAAAACGTTCCCGTTTTGATACTTTGTGTGTCGCTAAGTTCCGTTGGCTCCGCTGGCGCCGAAACGACAAAGAGTTCGAAGACTTCAAAGAAGACCTTATAATGTTTCAATTTGTTTGTATGTATTATATCCATTTCCTTTCCTTTTCCTAGTTTCGTATTGTATTCCTATAATTAAAGTTGTTGTTGCTGTTGTTTAGTCTTTTTTCTCTCCGGCCTCTTGCCAGGAGCAAAATGAGCCGCATCTATGCCTCTTGTTGAACAACTCCGCGTATCCACTCGGTTTTTAGGGCCGCGCTCACTGACCGTATACTCTGGGACTTTATATTTATTTATTTACGTTTTCTTTAACGTGGAATGATTAGAGAAGAGAGAGAATGGAGGGGGAATCTTCAGCTACTTGCCCGCGCAAAAGGAAAAAGTTCATCATTTCACAGATGCCTGTGCCGGATTCATTTTAGATAAGACTCTGTGAATGAAAAGTTGTGTCTTAGTTTAGATTTTGGAGTCTTCCATCGGTAAACGTGTAGAGTTTGAGTGTAGGAAAAAGTCATTGGGATTAATGTCCACTTTGTTAGCTAACAATTTGATTAAAAACTTCTTATCTAAATGTGATCGGCGAGTTTCCAGTGATTCGAGGTTAAATTGACGGCGACGTTCACTGGCGTTTATGTAGTTTGGCGAATCTCGAGGTACGAAAGCTCCTATTTTCCGTAACCAAAGTTTACGAGAGAAGTTACTCGGAACCTGTTCCATTGCTCTTATCGTAGCTTTTTTAGAAGGACATGTGACAATAGTGCCATATTCAAGATTGCTTTTTGAATGGCCTTCTTCCAGTTTATCTCAGCTGTGTCGATATAATATTTGGTTATTCTGGGATTTCGACCTATGGATATACAAACTGATTTAGAGAGATGACGAGACAGCTTGTGATTCTTGGACCATTCAGAAATACGGTCAATAGCTGAAGGTAGCTGAAGATTCCCCCTCCATTCTCTCTCTTCTCTAATCATTCCATCATGTCCCAGAGTATACGGTCAGTGAGCGCGGCCCTAAAAACCGAGTGGATACGCGGAGTTATTCAAGAAGAGGCATAGATGCGGCTCATTTTGCTCCTGGCAAGAGGCCAGAGAGAAAAAAGACTAAACAACAGCAACAACAACTTTGATTACAGAAATACAATACGAAACTAGGAAATGGGATGATATAATGCATACCGGCAAATTGAAAGTTTTCGAAATCTTTGTCGTTTCGGCACACAAAGTTCATCTGTTGATCTGAACCGAAAGTGCTCCATTTTGTATTCACAATGCTCTCCGCCACGTAACCGCCGCTTTGACCGTCAAAGTTTGTTCACTGAAGCTGCAGTCCAATGTACTAGATCCAAGAAGTGTTGCGGCTCAAACCAATCCAAAAGTTGGTATTGTCGGTTCGAAAGGCAGAACGGGAACGTTTTGATAAGGTGCTGTGATCAGAGGGGGAACTCACAAGCCAGCAAGTTTGCAGTCGTTTGGTCCGGGACGTAAGAGGATTACTGTAGTGGCACCAGTATCTGGCGACGTCTACGACACGCCCACGAAGGTGTATATAAGCTTGTCGAAACATGAAATTTGCACCGTCTCGTACGGTCTTGAGAGAGCCCTGAAAAAGGCTCGGAAGGTTGTCCTGAAAAGGATAATCTTAGGAGACCGTCTGGTATGGTTCAGATTCTTTTGGTTCAGATGAACTTTGTGTGCAGCTATGATCCGTTAGGAAACGAGAAGGATTTCAAAATTGATGTAGTGGATGTGGAACCAAGAATCTTTCAATTTGTTTGTATGCATTATATCATCCCATTTCCTAGTTTCGTATTGTATTTCTATAATTAAAGTTGTTGTTGTTGTTGTTTAGTCTTATTCCTACAGTACTACCCTATGGGGCCTCTTGCCAGGAGCAAAATGAGCCGCATCTATGCCTCTTGTTGAACAACTCCACGTATGCACTCGGTTTTTATGGCCGCGCCGCCCACTGAGCGGACCGTATACTCTCTGGAAAACTATATAAGGACCATTGCTCGTTAGTCATTCAGTTTGCCTGCAACGCAACGTCAACAACTATGTCTTCCACTTGGTTTACTACTTCTTCTTCTTCTTCTTCTTCTTCTATCAATTCGTGCGAGTACTATGCCACGTGGGACTACCCGGAATCCAGTTGCATGTACTCGGGATCCGTGTCGATCATTCCGAAATTATCCAAGGACGCTTCTGAAGTCGAACGGAAAGTTCACAGGTACGCGGTCAACTTGGAGAACGGCGTTCACTTGGTCCACTCGTTGATCCGTCTGATCCGAGTGCCCATCTCATTGGATCTCTACCGAAAGTACGGTATTCGTGAGTTGTGCCACAAGTACCTCTACCAAATGGACACGACGGATCATGTTGTCAACCTGATCGGACGCATCAAATCGTTGGAGCGCAAGGAGCAGCGGAAGAAGGAGGAGAACATGACTGCCGTCGGAGGCATCAAAATGGACAAGGATATTGTGCGTTTGTTTGGAATCAAAGCACCGACAGCTCGATCCACAGAGTCTGAGTCCGATTCTTCTCCGTCTCCACCCCCAAGCAACAACATCTTCCTCACTGGATCCGCCGAAATGTCTGCCAAACTCGACGAGCTTCTCGCTTACGTCAAATCGTCGAAATCGCAATAATATTGCTAATTGTGTTGTATAACAACTTGTCTTCATCTGATGATTGCAATCTATATAACTTCCTTCGAATAATAAATTTTGATAAATCAAGCAAAAAATGTATGTGTTTTTGAGTTTCCCTTACTGGTTTTCATATCTTTTCATTTTCTTTTCATTTTTTCGGTTTTCATTCATCTTTATAGAGTACAATCCCATCGGATAGTACCTTCCGGACGTTTAGTCAGACAGTGACCTCTTTTTGAATGATCTCCGCGTATTTCTTCGCTTCCACACCCGGACCATTCCTCATCTTCTCCTATTTGCTGTTCACTTGGTCCACTCCTTGATCCGATAACTTTTCAGTAGACCACATCTACGACCACATATCCGCATCTACAATATCGCCCAGTGAAGGTCGGTCTAGTTTATACCAGAGTTGCCACGGGCCGGGCCGGGCCGGGCCGGGCCGAAAATTTTTCAAAAACTCCGGCCCGGTCGGCCCGGTTCAAAAAAAGCGGGAATCCAAATTTTGAACTATTGATTTAAAAAAATGTTTGTTTTTTTCGTAGAACTAACGAATTTTGCAACCCTCCCCCTCGCGCCTTTTTGAGCCGGGCCGGGCCAGCAAATTTTCGGCCCGGCCCGGCCCGTAATTTGGCAAGTCTGGTTTATACTCCATATGGAAGTGGAAACATTTTTCGACTCTTGGTATAAGTTGTACACTTCCGTCAAGTCGTACAACTTTTTCAAAGGTAGAAAGATATTCCCTCCACATTTTTTCGCGATTTCACAATGAGTTTATTCAGTTTCCTCGATTTTTCTCGACTTTTCGACAAACTCTCAAGTCGATCAGTCTTTCTTTCTTGTCAAAGTTCACGAAGAACAGCGTGACACTCTAAAATTCCCCAAAGTGTTGTTAATGCTCGAGATCCTTGGACTTCCCGTCAAAACGTTTGAAAAGGTAAGTGTACCGGGTAGGTTCCACAAATGGCACATTCGTTTTCAGAGAAAAGTATGAACAATATACATAAATTCATACAAAAACGCTTCTACCTGCGTACACGTCACGCGCATCCGTTCGGCATCGTTCTCGACATTGACGGCGTGCTGTTTCGCGGCCGAAATCTGTTGCCACGTGTCAAAGAGGCGTTCAACTTGATCACCGACAAGAAGGGCAGCTTCGTCGTGCCCACCGTGTTTCTGACGAACGGAACGAACAGCACGGAGAAGAGCAAGGCGGCGCAGCTCAGCGAGCAGCTCGGCTTCCGCATCCCCGCCGAAAACGTGCTAATGTCGCACAGTCCGCTGCGCATGTTCACCGATTTGCACGAAAAGCAGGTGCTCGTCGTCGGGCAGAGGAACGCGAGAGCCATCGCGCGAGGCGTCGGCTTCAAGAAGATCACCACCATCGATCATCTCGTCCAATGGTTTCCGCACCTGGATTGCACGGATTTCTCGCGCAAGACCGTCGATCCCAAGGATACGGAGGCGGCGCGTCAGCGATTTCGACCCATCGAGGCGATTGTGATGCTCGGCGAGCCGTTGAAGTGGGAGACATCGCTGCAATTGATGTTGGATTGTGTTCTCACCTATGGAAGTCAGTTGTCTCCCCCCGATGCCGCGTCCAAAGTCTCGGAAACCCCGCCAATCTCGCGGAGTTTGCAGTCCAAAGTCGGCAGAAATTTGCGGGAAATCCGGGGCGCGCACAGCTGAACGAGTGTTACCGTACACCATAAAACTACGGTATTTTTTTTGAAAATTTATCCAAGAAATTTGAAAAAAATTTAAAATATTCTCGAGAAATTTAATTTTTTTCAAAAAAATACCGTTGAAAAATTTACCCAAGAAATTTGAAAAATTTTCAAATATTCTCGAGAAATTTAAATTTTTTTCAAAAAAATACCGTTGAAAAATTTACCCAAGAAATTTGAAAAAAATTTCAAATATTCTCGAAGAATTTAAATTTTTTTCAAAAAAATACCGTTGAAAATTTACCCAAGAAATTTGAAAAAAATTTCAAATATTCTCGAAGAATTTAAATTTTTTTCAAAAAAATACCGTTGAAAATTTACCCAAGAAATTTGAAAAATTTTCAAATATTCTCGAAGAATTTAAATTTTTTTCAAAAAAATACCGTTGAAAAATTCACCCAAGAAATTTTAAAAAAAATTTCAAATATTCTCGAGAAATTTACATTTTTTTCAAAAAAATAACGTTTTGAAATTTCTTGGGTAAATTTTCAACGGTATTTTTTTTGAAAAAAATTTAAATTTCTCAAGAATATTTGAAAAATTTTCAAATTTCTTGGGTAAATTTTCAAAAAATACCGTAGTTTTATCGTGTACGGTAACACTCGTTCAGCTGTGCGCACCCCGGATTTCCCGCAAATTTCTGCCGACTTTGGAGTGCAAAATCCGCGAGATTTGCGCGTTTTCCGAGACTTTGGACGCGCGGCATGAAACTAAGAGATCGCGTACCCGTTTTTTCAGAAATGGACTCGATGTCGATGCCGCTGCTCGCCGGCCGTCGTCCCGATCACATTCCGATCGTCGCGTGCAACGTGGATCTTGTGTGGATGGCCGACGTGGCGTCACAACTTCCGCGCATCGGACACGGCGTCTTTATTCATATTCTCGATTCGTTGTACGAGAAGTTGACCGGCAATCATTTGCAGTTTCGCGCCGTGCTCGGCAAGCCCACAGAGGTTCGGATTCCAGAAATTGAGACAAATGAGAGCAATTTCAGGTGAGCTACTTGCACGCGTCGCACAAAATCCAACGCCAAGCGCGCGCGATGAACCTCGACGACGTCAAGTACGTCTACGTCATCGGGTACGCGTTTTTGAGGTTTCCAAACGAATTTATATGGAGGTTTAGCGATAATCCAATGTCGGATGTGCTCGGTGCGCGTCTTTTCGATCGGTACTTGCGTCACGGAGGCGTCGGCCGGTTCGATCACCTCGATTTGGAGGCGTTCGAGGAGGACGACGGCGAGAAACCGAGAGTTCGCACGCGGAATGTCGTCGAGCGATGCATTTCGATTCTCGTCGAGACTGGCGTTTATCAAGGTGGATTTTCACGAAAAAGAAAACGGTTTTCTTACCAGAAAAGAACTCTTCTCGTTTAGAAAACGTGCACATGAACGGTGTGGTCAAGCCGATTTCGGCGCTCATCGACAATCTTTCGAAAGGCGAGCAGTTGAAGCTGAATCAGCCGGATTTCGTCGAGTACGATTTGCACGCCGCGATTCGGACTATATTGAGAAGAGAGTGTTATCGTTGAACATGATTTTAAGATCTGAATCTCTTTTGAAGTTTACCTATGATGATGGGTGAGAAATCCGGGAAAGGCAAGAAAACATTAGAACAGTGGGGGGAGGAGAAAGGGACTAGAATGTACAAGCAAAATTGAACTCTATTATTATCATCTTATTCCGATTTTTCGTGCTCCAAATTCGACAGATAGCTGACGGGCAGGTGCTGGAAGAGCGGATCGCGCATCCGTTTGAGTTGGTTCCGCAAGTCGTCGACCTCATTGACGAGCCGATTGTACTTTTCGATGTCGAATTCCTGTTTTTGCGCACGACGATAGAATTGTTTTGTGTAGACACGTTCGCGCGCCGACGGATACTCGAAACTCTGTAAAAATTGAATTTCTGGTCATTGCGCAAAGTTCTTGGCAGAAAAACCTAGTTTTTCGCGCAATTTTCTCACCTGTCGTGTGTACAAATAGTAGCCGAACGTGGCGATAACCGTAGAGTAGGTGGCAAAGTAGGTGACGGGCTCCATGATGTCCCACGAGTACTCCCACCAGGTGAGCCGTGCGAACAAGCCCGTCTGCACGCCGCACGCCGCGAATCCGGCCCACATGACGCGGTCGGTGTGCGCCTCGCATTCCGCCTCGATTTTCAGCTTCGCCTCGTGCAACGGCGCCAGAAGCGTCTCGGCGTTCTCCAGTTGGAGAAGAAGTTTCCGCTCGCGCGACAGTTTGTACTCGTCGACGCAGAGAGCCGCGTGGAGCGACGCAACGGTGGCGCGCAGGTCGTCCAACTGACGGAGTCTGCAAAAAATGGACGTTTTTTGGGGGAAAATCTGGGAAAGAACTCACTTATCACTGTCGTAGGGCGTTGTCGCGGTCTTCGGCACGGTCACATCGAAGAATTTGTCGTTGAGGCGAAGTCGAAACGCGCCGAACTGAAGGAGGTGCTCGATGGAGGTGCACGTCGCCAGTTTGACACCGTCTGAACTCGAATAATTGTGAATTTGAAGATTTTTCGATTTTTCGAACATACTGGTCCCATATACAGCGACATAATCGATGCCTCGATCCTCTTGTCGGAGGAAATCGCACAGCGAGCCGACCGTATCGCTCAACGGTCGCATCGTGAACTGACACGGCTCATTTCGCGAGGGAAGTGGCACGTCGATGAGCGGAAGACCGTACTCGAAGCGGATTGCGAGCGGCTGCGTCACTTCTTCTGTTCGGGAGGTGCTCGAGGAGGCGACAGACGAGGAAAAGGCCTGAAGATTATGCATTTTTCACGAACAACTAGTGAATATCGTCAAATCTGATGCCCGGTGTGTATACACCGTTCTACGTATTATGCGCAAGATTTTGCTACAAGTACATTGAGACAGCTCTGTTTTCGCGAATTTTCAGCTTTTTCATCTTAATTGTCAGTTGAAAATCTAACCAAACGATGTCTATTCCAAAGTGTGTTCCTAAAGTGCGCATTGCGGGCGGCGGCCGCCAAACACGTCACTAAACTTCGGCCATTCCTCATTTGTGTCGGTCGTCGACCCTGAAATGCTGATTATCAGAAAACCGGTTCGTAATGGAAGGACGCGGGAAACGAAGCGCAGACGAGGAAACGGAAAATAGAGGCAGATAAGAGAATTTTTGAGGAAGAAAACGGAAGTCTTGGGGCGGAATACTAATTGTGCGCTCCCCGAGGGACGGCGGCTCACCGCGGGCTCACTGAGCACTCATTCGGCGGTTTGAAACAAGAAATAGGACAAGAGACGATCGATTGCCGCCCGCCGAGCCAAAAATGAGCAAACAGAAGCGGCGGCGCCGATGAAATTTACAAATTGACAAGCTTTTTGCATGCATTCTTTTCGAAACTAATAATTTAATAATCGAAACGTGTCGGTTTTTCGATTTGACGAGAAAATTGAGTTGAATGCAGGTGTTGTGGCTGGTCGCCGTCGGCGGCGGCGGCAACTAAGTAGGTTGATTTATTATTTGTACGCACTCACTCACCAACTACATGAGAAAACGGGAAACCCGGGAACAAGGTGCGCTTGGAAAACAGCCGAAAGGGACCGAAACGAGGGGAATTGGTGGTGGTGGTGACGACGAAAACAACGGATTTGTGAAGCAGCCGAGCAGAGCGACACCGATTTTTCGAGGTCAACTGATGAAAACCAAGCGTTACTGACGTTGAACAGCTGTTTTTTTGCCAAAAAATCGCACAAAAATTGGAGAAAAGAGTAATCGATTACGGTAGTCGACATTTCGTGTGTGTGTGTGTGTGCACCGGAGTCAACGCCAAAATTCAGATTTTTTTTTGCTAGTAAGTTTATAATGATTTTCAAAGATTTTTGTACAAAAGCTCATGTTTTTATTGTTTTTCGCGTTTATTTTTCAATTGAGAACCTTAAAATCATGCTATTAGAGGTTGTCTGGGTGGAAATCCGGGGTTTTCGTTCTTTTTGTGTAGATTGTTAAGAAAAATTCGAAATTTTTTGAACTGAGCCTTGAACAACGTTCAAACGTCTTGGAACCGCGCAACCGCGACACAATTCCCAACATTTATTCGGTCATAAAACCCGAGAAGAGCACACGCACCACACAAAAAGAGATGAAAATGGGTATGGAATGGTGAGCAGTGGGCGGGGAGGAGCCCCCCAAGAAGAACAAAATTGGACGACTTCCTCTTTTTTTTTGCTCGTTCAGAAAGAGAGGAAGAGAAAGAGAAAACACGGACGGCTCCATCTCTCCGTTCATATCTTCTCTTTTTTAAATGAAAAAAGAGAGGAAGGGAAAAATGGCGGGGAGAAAGATTGAGGCGAAATTGTGTAGTTGTTTGTGTAAAAAGTGACGACAATTGCCAGAAGTTAAACGGAAAATTGGAAAGGGAGAAGAAGAGAGAGAGAAGGAGAGAAAAGATTGATGGCGGTGATAATTGGATAGAAATTGATCATCGGGGGATCAGGTTCCAACACTAAAAGGGGCAATTCAAAATATACATTTGGTAGGCCAAATTCAAAATTCCCCCTATTTTTTCTTTAAAAACTCGACAAACTCCGCATAGCCGGCTCTATTGTGTTTTTAGAGCACTTTTCCCGTCAAAAATTCATGGAATGCAAAATAAATTAAGTGCGTGGCCGAAAAAGAGAAACCTCGGCCACTTCTATTTTTAGCGCGAGTCCAAGTAAGAGAAATCGAAACGTTTGGCCATCTTTTCGTTGCGAGATGGGGTAAAGAGTCAAATCAGTTGTTTATCTGCTCGCTCTTCGCTCGTCTCCGTCTCCTCAACTTCCGTACTCTTTTTCATGAGATCTCTCCCCGCGGGCAGTCCGTAGTGTGTCGCCGCTTGTTTCCCTACTTGTTTTTTGACGGTTGCCTTCTTTTTTTCCGATTTACCCGGACGCCCTACTTATCTAGTGTGTGAACGCGATAGTGTAGTCTTTGATATAAATTATTGATTAGTACTAATGGCTTCACCGTTTTCCCCGCGGGTTCAGACCTTTTTAACAGATTTTTGAGTTCTGTGGTAATTTTGAATGTTTCCCTCTCTAGAAAATCGATAAATACTGCTTTTTCTCGAATTAGCTTGATTCTGCTCATTTTCCCTTCAAAATAGTGTCAATCCTCTTTGTTTTTGCGTCATTGTGGTCCAGAAACTTGTTTTTCCGGGCCTCACAGCTAAAATTGCAAAAAAGCTGTCTTTTTCGTGTTCCGAGTCAACATTTCGGAAAATTTCCATTTCTACCGGTTAACTGTTAGATTTTTGTACTCTTCTTGTCCAGACGCTCTTGTCTACTCGATTTTTCAGCGCAGACCAAAAATGGAAGGAGTATCGCCGATTCCGGGAATTTCGGGACCCGAAACGACGAAACGAAAAGTGGCGCACAGCGATGAGCACGGTTTTTCTGGTGAGAGCACCGGGCGCACGCCCACTTATTTCTCAGCTGAAACCGCCCCGATTTTGTCGACATTCTAGACCAAGTGCGAGTGCCGAACGTGATCGTGATGGTCGGGTTGCCGGCGCGCGGAAAGACGTACATTTCGAAAAAGTTGTGCCGCTACCTGAAGTGGACCGGCTTCAAGACTAAAGGTACTTTCGGAATTTTCTAGAATTTCGAGGGACAAAATGGGTAAATTGTAGTGTTCAACGTGGGCGAGTACCGTCGTGAAGATGCGAATGCGGCCGACGCGATTCACGGCGCCAACGCGTCGTTTTTCTCGCCGGATAACGCGGATGCGCTGAAAGTTCGAGCGTAAGTCGTTTTCGGGTCTCGACGCGAAAATAGTAAATTCTTAGTGAATCGGCGCGTCGTGCCATGGAAGACATGGCCGACTATCTGAACGGCGGCACAGGCGGTGTGGCGATCTTCGACGCCACCAACACGACCAAAGAGCGCCGTGGCATCATTATCGATTTTTGCAAAAAGAAGCGTCTCCGCTGCTTTTTCATCGAATCCGTCTGCGACGATCCGGCTATTATTGATAGCAATGTGACGGATGTCAAGGTAGATTTCTCGAAATTTCTGATAGATTCGAACTCGGTCGGTTTTAGGTGAACTCGCCGGATTATAAGGGACTGATGACGGCCGAGCAGGCGAAAGACGATTTTATGCGTCGAATCGAGAACTACGCGAAACAGTACGAACCGCTGGAGGAATCGGAGGACGAGACGCTCAGTTTCATCAAAGTCATCAACGCGGGCCGCTCGTTCAAAGTGCATCAAGTGCGCGGGCACGTTCAGAGCCGAGTCGTCTATTTTCTCATGAATATTCATCTCCTGCCCAGGAGCATTTATTTGACCAGGGTTCGTTGGGTTGGAAGGGAAAACTGGAAGGAACCTAGTCTCGGGGAAGAAATTAGGATTTTCAAACCGAAAAAGTGAGCCGAGACTAGGTTCCTTCCAGTTTTTCCGTATAATTACGAAACATCGATCTAATTTTCTCATGAACAAAGTTATGCCAGTTTCTTGGAAGAACTGTTCATAGGAAAGTTGTGTTTTTAATTTGACAATAGCAAAATATGCTTTTGCAGCACGGTCAATCGGAATACAACGCGATGGGGCGTCTCGGGGGCGATTCGCCGCTGACCGAATCGGGCCGTCAATACGCCCACGCACTGGAGGCATTCTTCGAGGAAGAGGAAGTGCCCGGCCTCCGAGTGTGGTGCTCGCAAAAAGTACGGGCCGCGCAGACCGCTCAGCACCTCAAACCAGACTTCCACACGGAATACTGGAAGGCGCTGGACGAGCTCGACGCGGGAATCTGCGAGGGTCTCACCTACGAAGACATCCAGCAGAGGTATCCGAAACAGGCGGACGATCGAGCCGCCGACAAGTACCACTATCGGTACCCGAGTGGCGAGTCCTACGAGGACGTCGTCAGCCGATTGGAACCCGTTATTATGGAGTTGGAGAGACAGGTACGTATCGGGGAAATGCAGGAAACATAATAGATGTGGACTTTTTCGTCACGTACGTCTGAATATAAAGTTTGAAATTAACTGAATTCTGCACCATTTTTAAAAACATTTTCTAAGCATTCCTTAGAAATTATTAGAAAATCCCTGACACTTGGCTGAAAATCCGTAAAAAGCCCGTATTTTGCAGGCGAACGTGCTGGTGGTGTCCCATCAGGCGGTGCTCCGATGCATCCTGGCCTACTTCTACGACCGTCCGCTCTCCGAACTTCCGTACATCGACATCCCGCTTCATTCTCTCGTCAAACTCACTCCACGCGCCTACCACTGCGATTCGACCATCTACGCGCTCAATTTGGAGACGGGCGAGTGGACGGAAACGAGTGCCCAACTGCCGCTCTGTGACAGCCCCCGGGATTGACAAAATTTGAGAACTTTGCAATATTTTGTGTACTATATAGCGTTTCTGTGTCTATCTAACATTATATATATTTATATTATTCGCCAACCTACGAGTGTCGGCCATCTGGAAATTTTGTTTTATTGTATTTATTATTATGCGAAGAGTAAGGATTATGTCATGAGCAATGGTGACCGTAGAAGTGTGTGTGTAAAGCTAAGTAAATGGGCAAAGAAAAATGCAAAAAAAAATGTACAATTTGATCAGAGCGATAATCACCAATTCTTCCTTTGCGACGTTTTTGGCAAATGCTTCCCCGGCGACGATTTTGGGCTCATTTTTTCGCGTTTCTTCGTCGGGCTCGACTTTTTCGAGCTCTTCTTGCTGCTCTTCTCCTCATCGCTGCTACTTTCGTCGAATTTTTTCGTCGGCGCGTCGGGCTCCTCGAAACTGTTGAATTTTCGCATTTGATTCAGGGAGTTTTGCTAAAAATCGATAGCGTGTGAAAAAAAGAGTGAGTGTTGGGTTTCGACACGAACCCGTGGCTTGGCGTCGAGCTGCTCGGTGCCTCGTCTACGCACATTGTGGCTCGTCGAGGGCGCCGTGCTCATCGCGCTCTCCAATTGGCTCTCGTCGTTCGGACGGAGCAGCGGAAGCACCGCGTTCATCTGTTTCAGGGTCCTGCAACGAAACGAATACGTTTTTTTGGATTTATTCCGTGAAATTTGGTCTCGCGATTTCCAAATCGAACTCACTTTCTCTGTGCCTCTATCTCGATGTAGGATTTGAAGAGCGCGGCGATCAATTCGGTGGTGAAGACGACGTCGGCGTGCTGGGCGATCAGCTGCAGCAGGAAGAGACCGTCCGTTCCGAGGTAGATCGAGATGAATCGGGACACGTGTTCGCGGTTCTCTGCAAACTTCCGCTACTATTATTTGAGCCCACCGTTTTTTTTTTGACAGGAAAAAGGGAGTGGCCTTTTGCCCACTTACAATAATCCGATCGGACCCAAACTTTGCAGGCTTCTTGAACTTGGATTGGGTTCAAGTTTCAGGTCCCGAGATAGGATAAATAAGGTCAGGTAGTCTAGTGGGTTCAAATTAGTGGACATTAAGCGAGTATGACCCATAGAAATAATTTAGACAGTTGAAGCAACTTGGCAACTATGAAGTTAGAATCCGATCGAAATGATATTAAGTGTGTCAAAAAGCACTGAAGAAAAAGTTCTCACCCAAATTGTCCTTGTCGAATGGCGTTTCGCTCATTTCCAGGTGGTTCAGAATGAAGTGTTCGTTGTAGGTGTCGTTGAAAACGGCGAAAAGCCACGAGCAGAAGTTGGCGACGGTGAACGCGCCGAGCAAAATGTACCTGAATGGCGAAACATTGGAAAGGATGATTCTTCAGAAAACTGGTAAAGTCCTGAAGATTTTCACCCGAAATTCGCAATTTTGCTCACCAAGCCCACAAAAAGACGAAAATTTTCTCGGTGAACAGATTCAGAAGGAGCACACATTGGACGGTGTGCGTTTGCACGTTTCCCATGTCCCGGGTCTCGAAATCGCAGAGAGTGACACGTGGAAACACGCCGTTCTCGCGCCACGTCTCATTTCCGTCCGAGTAGGAGCTGAAGATGGTCTTCCAGATGTCGAAACCGAAATTTTTCTGACGGTCGTGCGGCAGCATGTATCTGAAATGGGGAAACTCTGTGCGAAATTAGTAGAAACTTATTTTCTCAGTTTCTGCGTTTCTTTTCTATAAAACTCAGCTTTCTGCCCGGAAAATATTGATTTTTGCTCTCACCTGTTCAACAAATTCGACTGCAAGACGACGTTTAACAAAAATGCGATTTTGGCGATGAAATAGATGAACGTGACGTAGTGTGCCGAGTATTTGATGTTCAGAAACCGCAAAATCTTGTGCGGAACTATCTTTTTCTGTAATTCAACCAAAATTTGCGTTTTCCTACCGAATTTTTGAGGTTATACCAATTTTAGGCGTTTCTGAAAGCGTAAAACTCCGCGTAAATGAATGCAAAGCGCGTCAATGTTCGCCTTTTTTACCATCGGCACCGCGTTGTTCTCGTCTGAAGCGACGCGCAGAATTTCGCCCACTTGCATCCCTAAAATTCAGAATTTGCGCGAATGATTCGATAAATACAGCTGAAATACCGCTTTGGCTGGCGAAATACTTCCAGATGAAACAGGGAAGTCGGAAGCAGGCGGCTTCGAAGAGCAGAAAGAACGCCATCCATTGGTAGTAGGAAATCTTCTCGCCGCCTTTCTTCACAACCCTCGGCGCGCCTTTTTGCGATCCAAGTGTGATTCCATCAGGTACGACGTCAGAGGCGTCGGAAACTTGTTCAACGAGCTCGCTGGTGAACGGAATGAAGTAGGTCGGCTGCGCCCAGCACAAGTTGTTCGAGTACTGAACCCAGGCACTGGTGAAGTCCAGCGGGACCATGCACTCGATTGGATTGCCGCCGAACTGCTTCCACGAGATGAGAACGGCGAGCCCGATGAGTAGATTGGAAGTGAGAAAGGAATGAACGCTGGCGACCAGATCTTTCGCCCCAGTCCTATTAGTGTAGGGGACCGTGTTTAAGACACGGAAGATGAACATCTTAACAGAGTTTTCTGCTGATTGCGAACTAAACAGTGATAGTGCTGCTTCAGGTACTATCTGAGCCGAATGTCTGACGGGTGTGGGTGGAAAACAAGGTCTAAACCATCGATGTTTATGAAACATCAGATAAATCAACAATTATTCGACGATCACGTCGGCCTCCTTGGTGGCGCGGGTGTAGACGACTTGTCCGTGGTGGTGGACGACGCACTTGACGAGTCCCTTAGCCTGGAGCTCCTTGAGTCCGGCCTTCGCCAAAGAAGCGCGCACCTTCAGACGCTCAGACACGACCGACGGGGTGATGAGCTTGTAGGTGATGACCTGAAAAAGCAAACTTAGTTTCAAACACAATTTGGCGTAGAATCGAAAAGTCTTCACGAAATGGAAGAAAATACTCACCTCCTTGTAGAGCTTGTCGTAGGTGGCCTGGTCGAAAAGCACCATGTTGTTGAGCTTATCCCTGACCTTTCCCTTCGACCACTTCTTCTTCTTGGCCTTTCCGCCTCCAGATCCCTCCTTCTTCTTGGCTGGGGGAGCCTTGCCTCCCTTGGGGTCCTTCTTTGGGGGCATTTTACCTGAAAACACATAAATGACAATAAATTACAGAACGAGAAAAGATAGAGAAGAATTAAACGGAAGCGACAAGGAAGATGAGACGGAAATCGTAAAAGAAAACTCGACAAACGCAGAAATTTCCATTTTCTCAAGTATTGAACGAAAAAAATCGACGTCTAATTTGTGGGCCAGAAAAAATAGAAAAAAGTTAATTTAGCGGCGGTCATCAATTACTTACACGCACTCACAATTAATTTTAACCGAAAATTCTAAAGACACGATGAAAATCGGTCAAAAACGAGCTGAAAATCGTGAAGCGTTTTTGGGATTGAACACAAAAATCGTTGCATTCACGCGGTTGAAGTGGTACGGTAGGAGATCGCGGCGAGACCCGCTGCCGAAACTACGTGCGCCTTTAACCGATGCGTCGTCTCTCGTCACTCGCCGCCGCGCGGTCTCTCGCATTTCGGCCGTCGAACATCGGAAAAATTGCAGATAAACAGCGATTCTGAAGCAAAAATTGGCGGTCAAATTATAAAATGCACAGATGACAATCGACCCAGCCTGAAATCGCATAATTATCGTTAAAATTTGGGGGGAAAACGGTGAAAGATAGAGAAATTTCTGCGCTTCAAAAGTTTATCAACATTGTTCATTTTTGAGAGAGAGAGAGATTCGGACATCGACCACGAAATCCCATGAATCCTAGTCGTAAACTCGTCAAATTTCAAACAAAAGTGTGGATTTTTTGCGAATTCTCACTCTTTTCTCGCTTTTCAAAGTGTTGGAGTTGGGGTTTTTTGGGGTTTCCAGTTTACACGAAAAATCTCAAAAACATGCGAAAAAACAGGCGGAAAACACACTTCAACCGCACTAATTTGATGATGTCCACACCCGAAATGGAAAAGAGACGCAGCGCAAATCTCTCCATTACATACCTTTCTTTCGCAACATCATTTCATTTTTTTTTTTTGGTGTGTTTGTTGCGGCCGCCCCGCTGTCCTTTTCACCGACAATTTATGAGTCATTGACCTAAAAAACTGGCGAAAAGTACGGAAAATTCCCGGATTTTGTCGGATTTTATTGAGTAGCCGCCGCCACCACCACCACGAGAGTATCGGTTTTCACACGCTTTCATTTTCTCGTTTTCTCTCAATTTTCGCCCCCGCCCAAAAATTTTCGCCCGGCTATTTGCTCAGTTTTGTACTATTAGTTGAGCTGTGTTGCTTTGTGTGTATTCGGTGTGTGTGGCACACTTTGTTCTCGAAATCCGCCCAATGCAAAATTTTTTTTGTTGGGGTAGGCCCTTATTCTCATGTACACACACAGATTATGGTAATTACGGACGTGTGGTCATGCGTTCTTTTCCGCTCACTTTTCTAGCCGTCACAACTACGTTTTTCATAATTTTTATATCTGTCCCAGAGCGGGGCATTTTCCGGCTGCGGTCTGGGTTTTTCGAAAAAAGAAGGCCGCATCGGTCGCTTTGCAATATCTCCAGAACAAATTGGTCTATCGAACTGAAAAAACTGTCCTGGAGATACTTCACACCAAGGCCAATGTTCAAACGTTTTTCGGGTTCGATCGGTCAACAAGAAGTGGCACGGTCTCCCAGGGGGCGCTAATGCTAAACACAGTGCGCTCGTAAATTGCGAAGTGTCGTTGTAACTTTTGAAAATTTGCAGGTCTAAAAATGGAGTTTAATTCGAGTTTACGACCTTTATTTTTATCTTTTTGACTTGAAAAATGTCTAGAAAACAATATTATACTGGTTGGAAACCGTTTTTTACAGAATTTAGAGTTTTTCATGTTTTTAGCGTCTTTTTCGCATTTTGTCAAAACTTCAAACCTTTATATTTCAGCTCATTTTGCATTTAATGAGCCCAACGAACGATAAAAATGTTTGCTGAATTTTTTTTCACAAAATTCAGGTTCCGGCGGTTAGTTTTCTTAAACAGTTTTCGAAAACTATTCGAAAAACATCAAAATCCAGGCCAAAACCTTCAAATCGAAATAACTCGCCTATTTCTCGACGATATGCGAGATTTCTGTTACCAAAACGTAGCTAGTGCTCTAATTATTCGAATCCAGGTTCCAGGCTTGCAAAAAATAGGTGTATTGTACAGAAAACAAGGAAAGAACGCTGCCTCCCGTTGAAAATTAATTAATCGGCCGCCGCGTAAATCGACACAGCCCGCTTGTTGCAAGTGCGCCCCATTGAAATCATTCGCGCCGTGGGAGACCGTGAGTGGGTCGCAAAAAAGGCCGCGGCCGGCAAATGCCCAGCTCCCTTCATTTTTGCAAAAAATTACTTGAAAAGTGAGTGAAACCGGAGAGTTTCCTAGAAAAAATGGAAGAAATCGTGTGAGTGGCGGTTTTTCGCAAAAATGACATTTTAGTTCCGGGAAAAGCGGTTATTAATGGAGCGACTCAAAAACAAGCAGTGAAACAAACACACATTTAGCAGAAAATCGATCGACAAAAGCCACAATTTTCAGTTCTTTTCAAAGAAGTGTGTAAAAAGAGAAGCGCGGTGCGTAATTTCAAAGTGTCGCTGTGGATTTTTCAAAGAAAAAGCAAAATATTCGCGAAAATTTCAAACGGTTTAGCAGAAAAACGCGGAAAGAAGACGAACGAATGACGCAAACGACGAGCAAAACAACAGAGACTCGATAGTTTTGCGTTGCGCGCCTAGGTCAAAACGAACGGTGGAGACCTTCCGCCGAAATCATCTTTTTTTCCCCTCCTCCCCCGCCCAGAGGCCATTCGTAAACAGCGCGCACCGGAATGAGCGGAGTGTCGTTCGGGAGGGCGCGCGCGCCAAAATCACTATTCTGTTCAGTTCTGTCTTGCCAGATTTCTCAACAAGAAAAAACGGTTTCACGTCTTCCATTTGTATTTGATAGCTTATTCTCCTGTTGCTCGAAATGAAAAAATTTGCTGAAATTTGATGACATTACTTCCGGAATTCGTTTTCGCTGTTTCAAAACGTTGCCAAATCTAGACAATCTTTCAAAATTGGCTTTTTGACTTTGCTCCCCATCATTTCGTGAATATTCGACGGTCGCAAGGTTGCAAAACGTCCTCCTCGTTCGCATTTTTTTCCCTCTCTTCGCTCATTCCATCCAGTAGTAACCCGATACTTTTTGTCACAAGTGTCTCTCTCCCATCTTTTTTACGTCCCTCCAAACTTTTACATGTTGTTACACACTTTTTTGAACTGAAGATTCCAAAAGTGTGTGTCTCTGTGTGTGTGTTTGTGGTGCACTTCCGTTCCACGCCTTTTCTTTGCAAAAACGCGCCGGAAAAGTACGTAAATCTTCGCGGAACCCTTTGGAAAAGAGGACATTTGCCGCATGTTCTGACCCCGAAATCCCTTTGGGAACTGAGAAATGGCGGATTTGAATAAATGAAGACACTTGACATTCGAGAAGACGTTCCCTTTCGGATTTTATCAGTTTACTAGTAGTGAGTCCTGAAATTTGATGCTTTTGCGTAGATAGGAGTTCCGCAGTGCTCTAGAAGGGAGAATTTTAAAACGCGAAAGTCGGTCGACGGCAGGGGTGTGCGGAAAATTTTTTTCGGAAAATTTCGGAAAATCGGTTTTTCCGAATTTTTTTTTTCGGAAAATTTCGGAAAATCGGGTTTTCCGAATTTTTTTTTCGGAAAATTTCGGAAAAATCGGAAAAATCGGAAAACTCACTTGTTCATTGGTTCAATAAAGTGTTTAAGCAACGTTCTAATACAAAAAAATGCTTATTATGATTTGAAATCACTTGAGTGGGCGGAAGCCAAGCAATGAAAGAAATTGCGTAAAATTTAAAAATCAAATTTAAAAAGACGCTCGCTGCTAGACCCTTCCAAAAATTTTGTGATGCGCCTTTAAAAAGCATACGGTGGTTTCGGACAAATTGACCTTGAATCCACACTAATTTTCCGAAAATTTTCCGAAAATTTCTCGGAAAATCGGAAAATTTCGGAAAATCGAAATATTTTCCGCACACCCCTGGTCGACGGTATTTTGCTTTTTAGTCCGGAATTGGCGCGGAAATCGCGGCAAACACAAGATAACTTGATTAGAGTCCATCTCCTCCTCTTTCTTTCTGTTTGTCGCTTGTCTGCTTGTCCTACTCGGGACCACGGAGCAAAAGGGAGCACAAAAAGGCGACCCTCCTTCTCTTTTGCACAAGCGCTTCCCCCTCCGCTTTTCGCTACGTCTTCATGCCCGCACACAAATCGATAGGAAGGAGACGAGAGGGGGGGAACATGCGCTTCTGCGTCTCTTTCCGACGGATCAGGCAGGCACCACCAAAAGAGAGAGAGAGCCGAGCGAGCAGGACCAGAAGCTTCCGTTTTGCACCCCACCAAACACACACACCCCCACGGTCACCACGCACTCTTTTTAGACGCCGTCAAATTACGACTTTTTGTACCGTTTCTCAAATTTCATCAAAACCAATTTTTTGCCGGTAAAATTCGCGGAAATCCACTTTTCTGTTACAGAAACACATGAAATCTGTACTTGCTCTCTTGAAATCAGTGCGTCCATTTGCCTCACTATTTTCATTCTTTCCAGAAAACTTTTATACTGTTGCACTTTGTCATTTTCTACTTTTCGCGATATTCCGTGCCGCTTCGCTCTACAAGTAGTTTGCGTTGATTTTTGCGCAAAAGTATAGACATTTTCGAATGAACGTCAACTGTTGAAAACGTGCTTTCCGTTGCAAAACCTATTTGCAAATTCTCTGCAACCGACTGCTCAAGAACTAATCCTTCCGGAATGTTTCGAAATTTTTCCCTCTTTTTCCCATCTCTCCCCAAAAAAAAACCCGCATTTTCACAGCCATTTCGCCAGCAAAATGAGCCCGTTCTCTCTATTTTTTAAGGGTTTCCGTTTCTCATTTTACGAGGAAAAACGAGTGGGAGACGGGAAAAAATGGATGGGGACCGGAAAGTGGCGATAAATCAGAAGAGCATCTCCATTTTTTTTTCGTGAGACGGAAAAGATTTAGAAT